TCACCCCTACCCCTACCACATTACTGTGGCTGTATCAATCCTCGTAGCTTCTATGTTAAAGCAACCAAAGCCTACCCTTGCTTCGTCCTGTCAATGTTGGGAAGGTATTTAACATAACTCCTAGGTACTAAGTTTCTACTAAAAACATTTCTGTTACTATACCAACCCTCTTTCCTGTAATGAAAGAACTAACAGAACATTTCATCCCCTATTCAGTAACATCATTGTTATTGTAACATTTCCATAAACATTTAATCCACTTTTAACACTATGTAAACCAAAACTGTTCTCAGTTCAAAAATAGGGGTTGAAACTGTTAAAATAACCTGCTGATGTTAAAGAAAAGCGCCAATAATAATGTAAGGTCCAGGAAATATGAACTAACATAACATTTCATCCCCTATTCAGTAACATCACTGTTATTTTAACATTTCCATAAACATTTAATACACTTTTAACACTATGTGAACCAAAACTGTTCTCATTTAAAAGAAAAGGGGGCTAACACTGTTAAGATAACATGCTGATATTAAGGAAAACTGCAAAGTAATAATACAAAAAATATATATATACATATATGACCTGCATTAAGTTTAATTGTTTCACAATTTGAATAATATTACTTTTTAAATATTTTAAACCCTGATTCTTATTGTCTTATTCCCAGAACTTTTTTGTTAAGTTTATTAGAAACAAATAAGTCAACCCATTACGTTAAAAGTTTCTTTAACCTTTTGAAAATTACCAAATCGTTTCTATAATAGAAAACCTTTTGAAACGTTTTAAGAATAACTCAAGAATTAGGAATTAAAAGTTCTCGCCCAAAATCATTGAAAGTCATTAAAGAAAATAAGCAGCTAGCTAACCAAAAGTCACGCACTCAGTCGGCAAGTGCTTGCGATAATTGTGAAAAGGGCTGGCTGGCTTTGCTGTAGAAATTTACTTCGACACGGAGTGCATTTGGAAAACATTTGCTTAAATGCCGCAAACCAAAACTCAGATAGTTGAAGAATGAAATACGCACACACTATTCCCTTGTTCGCTCTCCCTCTCTCTCTGGAGTGTGTGTGTGTGTGTGCAGCTGGGTTCAATGCAAGGATATGCTACGTGAACATGTGTGGATGCAACGCCCAATGCCACCAACTAGCGCGCTTGAACTCAATGGTGCACCACAAAACGCGCAGCCAATACGCCCGCGGGTCCTTGGCAACTCGGGATCGTTGGGGGTGTTGGGCTGTTGGGATATGGGAATTGGTACCGGTATCAGCAGAGAACAGAGCAAAAAATATATAAATTTTAAAAGGAAAGTGACAGAGAACTAAATTAAAAATATAATAATTAAATATCACTATAAAGTATCATATCATTATATTTTATTAATTTTTTTTAAACAAAATCCTCCGAGAATCCTTTCAATCGGAAAAATCAAAGCCGGAGGCACATCCTTAATTGTTTCTTTATATTTAACAAACTTATTTTAAATTTTACTTTGTAGAACTATAATTACATAAAAAATAATCAATATTTCAATGTTTCAATGTTTTTATAATTTTGACAGCACATTTATTATTCAATTAATCGAGAGATATTCCTAAACTATAAGGAGTCTCTACCAACTTTTTCACCGTGTCCTAACCAGTATTGATAGTAGAATGACTGCCAACTAGCACGCGAGATATTGATGTGTACAAAATATGCCAAATATCAGCGAGGAGGCGGCTGGCCCATACATAATACATACATACCAGTATGTATAGTTTGTACATCGGCATGAGTGTGAGCTGCCAAATCAAGCGCAAGCCCAAAAGTAGCAACAAATAAAATTTTATGCGCTGTGCGAAAAGTTGTTCCTTTTGCATAACGCCCAGCAAATCCAGCAACAGCAACAACACCAATGCCAATTTACATGTACAATGCAAAAGTTTCGATTTTATTGTATGGGTTGGGTTTTTCGTTTCGTTTCGCTTCGGTTCGGTGATGGGGGCGGCGTTGGTTGAGATGTCTGATTCTGTTTGTTTTCCCTCTGACAGCCATAGGAGATCGAAATGTTCCCCGCTCAACGTACCACGATAAACACAAAGGGCAGCAGCAGTAGGAGCAGCAGTATCAGACACAGCAGCAACATCAAGCGATTGCCGCTAGCGGCGATGGCCAAAAAGTCAAAAATAGTTTCGAAACGCCATTTGTTGTACTTATTTTGGGGAATGCCAGTTAAGTGGAGGACGACTTCATTTGCCATTACAAGCTGAGCGAACTTTTTGGTTTCAATTTTAAATTGGCTACACAATTTAAACGCAATTTTCGGTGAAACGATTTCACCAAATTGGCAGCCATTTAAAGGCATTTTATTTCACTTAGTTATGACCAGGAATTATTTTCTCATTTTTATAAATATCTCCATTAATATTTATTTTAATTTCAATAAATTAAATGGTAATTTATCTTTAATTTCAATTACTACTGGTATTTATTTATTTATAAATTTTATTTAATCCTCTTTAAATATTTGCGTTAGCTAGTAGCCTTGACTTGTTAAAGTCCATCTCCTTGAAGGTCTTTGCTATTTCGAAACAGAACGCATAGCCATCAACTTATGCACATCCACTAAAGCTGAACAATGGCCGAGATGGAATGTACATTGGCCATCTTGTATGCTATATGTGTGCTGTATAATGCAGTTTATACCCACAATTTAACATTGCCAGAAGCGGCAGTGGCAGTTGCAGTTGCATCAGAGTGCCTGGCCATAACTAATTTGCATATTGTCTGGCTTCAATTCCATTATAGCCGCTGCATTCCCGGCGAATCTTAATCAATCGGATTGTTGTGGTTACATCGAACCAATATCTAGTGGAGGCAACATGGGGACTCTAGTCGTGGGATCTTAATAACTAAAACATGGAATTAAATATTTAGAAATAAATCCGTATTAATTACGTATTAATATCATAAAGACACTAAAGTGGCTAATAAGTTAAGATAAAAGTGTATTTTGCCCCGTAAAACCATAAGTTTCCAGGGCTAAGCATTATACATAATAATTTAAAGCCACTCTCCCACCTTGCTATATAATCCCTAGAGAAATTCCGTTTCACAACTGAAAGATAATTTCAAGTAGCTATAGAACCTGATTAGCCCTTCTAATTAGAATAACGAAGGAGTGTCACAGGGCCTTCAACGTATTAGTCATCTGACAGTTTAAAATTCCACAGAGCTATTATCCTTTTTTCTCAACTTCTTTTTGGTCCAGCGTTTTTGTTGCATATTTCAGGGCGCCGCGGTCAGGAAACACAACGAACTGCCAAATGGCTGGCGCAAAGCGGAAGAAAAACTAAAACAAATGTCAGCCGTAGTTGACGCGTTGCCGCCGACCACCACCACCACCACCAGAGAGCGGTTCCATGGGTTCCCATCCCCTCAGGATCCCTCCGCGCAGCGAAATGCAAATGTCATTTGCAGTTGACACTTGACTCAGCACTTCGCACTGTCCTAGGGCACTTTGGGGTTTTCACCTGCGCGCGAAGACACCCGTTTTCCCTCTAAAACGCCACCCCATTCGCTGCATTTGGTGGCACAATGGCTGCAGAGACACTCGCACTCACACTTGCACACAGACACCGGCAAATAAGAAAAAGTAAAATAAAACAAAAGTTGTTGGGCCAGCTAAAAAAAAATATTATAGAGGTTGGGTTAGAGAGGGATGAGGGACGGCGACTAATGCCAACTGAACATGAATAAAGTCGTGGCCCTCGGGAAGCTGGTGAAGCTGCCATGTCGTCGTCGTCGTCGTTATTCTCGTGGTCGTCATTAGGAGGGCAGACGTCAAAGTATGCGCTTTGTTTTTGCTGCGTGCCATGCAGCGTGTTAATAGCCAGCCACCAGGCAGCAGAACACCAGGTTATACACTCAAAGAAAAATATAATATCCAAAGAGACTGCAGTAATTTATATAAATAGCTTCGAGCAGCTTTCCTAGCTCGCAGAAAACCTTTCCAACTTCATGTTAATTGAATACAATTTAATTTATTTTATATATCAATAAACAAACCTATCGCTGAGTGTAATATTCATAGATTAACACTGAATTTCTCTCTATGTAGAGCCATGAGCCATGTAACCACTCCCCGCTTAAAAGCCAGCAGCCCAAGCTGACACAGTCTGAGGGATGGGCAATCCACGTGGACCAGGAGTCAAGTGCTGCAGTTGCCGTCGTGTGGCGAAAGTGAAGCTTGCACAGCGTTCAGCGGGTGGCTGACATCTCGTGTGGCTATTGCAAGAGCGGTGAGCACATTAAATTGATGCCCCCGAAGCGAATAGCCAAGAAAAAGGTGGCTTCAAATGAGCAAGTACGTAAAAGTACGGAAAGAATACAGTTTCCAAGTGAAAGTTATTTTAAAAAAAATTTAAAATCGTTTTTTAAATTGATTTTTTACGAAAAATGTATTGCAAATATTTATATTTTCTACGCAACTCATTAAAAACAACTTTTGACTGACAATGGTGCGTATGCGTAATATACGTATGAGTAATGAACGCCACTAGGCAACAGCGGTTGTTCTGGGAACTTTTACAAAAAGCTTTGCGTGGAGACTTCATTTAACATACACTAGATGACGCCACTTGGTGATATGCTTAATATTTAAAATAAAAACAAAAATTGCATGTAATATCTCACTTTGATTTAACCCTATAGTCATTAAAGTTTCTTTCCTGTAAGCTAAAAATATTCCATAAACGTTATTCTCCAACGCTCTATGCAAATCAAGCTAGTCATAGCCCCGCAATTAAATATCGAAAACTGCATGATTAACGAAATAAATTTCCCCGCTTTAACTGATCTTCGCAGACCCAAAACAATAACAATAACAGTTAGAGAGGGAGCGAATATACAATTTATATTCACTGCACCGAGAGGAGAGGACTCGCACTCCGAATGCTTTGATTTTTTTTTTTGTTTAGCTTCATCCACTCTAGTGGGAATGCAACTCAGAGCAGTCGTCGTTCGGCTGTGGCCCACGAAGCCTCGCACTCCGGAAACGGTCAGGAATTTTTTTGGTCTCGATCACTTAAGCACTGAAAAAAAATCGTGGAAATCAGTAAGAATTTAGTGGGATATTTTGCTAATTTTTGGTAATAAAAAAGAAATTTTTAAAGTGAAAAAATAACTGAATAAATTTGTAAAACTTGTTTAAAGAAACCCTTTTCTATATTCTAAGATTGTGTATTGTTTAATTTTAAAAAGTACAATTTATCAAAGTAATTTTTTAATTAACATTGCTGAAATTGAAACTTAAAATTCAGAAAATTCGAAATTACTTAAACTTTTTTGTATGCAAACCAATTTTTGTTAGTGTATTTCTCTGGGAAATAATAGCTATAAGAAAATAATTGTACAAAACAAGATAAACCTTATTAAAATTCAAAGCAGATCACATTTATTGTTGGGGTTTTTGTTATATTATTTTTTTAAGGCGGCACACTTTCTTGAGTTATTTTTAAAATTGAAAAAAAAAATCGGAATATTCCTCTTTCCGATTAAATATTTATACACTATATTTATAACATAACTTATCTCTCTCTAAAGGTTTTTTAAACCCCCACAATGGCCGAGGAAAATGATCATCCAACAACCAATAATGCCTTGTGGTCACTTCAGGGCCGGGAAAGGCCGAATCCCGCCCAGCGACTGCATAACCTCACCTCGGCCGGTGCTGCTACAACCACCTCCTCCACATCGTCTTCAATCTTTACCAATCCCGGCGTGCCACCATCCAGCGTGATCAACTTGTCGCACTCCACCGATGTGGTCATTGGTCCTATGACCCAATATCAGGGACCGGTATCTATATACTATATGGATTACATGGAGGCACACGCCATGCAAACGGCAGCAGGTGAGTCCCCCGATCCTGACTTCAGTGGAAAACTATCAATGCAGTGGAAAATCAGGTTAAGACAGTTTCCATTCTGGGTTAGTTTGTACCTTAACCTGCTGGGTTTCGAGATCTTTCGAGTAAACTGAGCAAAGTTCGAACTTAAAACTGCTAACGCCTTTATTTATTTTGGCGTTTTTTTTAGCAAATTATAATAACAAATAGTAGCTGGTATAATAAGTTGCAACAATGAATTTTAATAATATATGAGTAAAGTTTTGCTTTTTAAAATAAAAACAGTGCAGTAATTGGGGAGTGAGAATAGGAACACTGATCACGACATTAAGGGCATGTTGTTCGTTTGAACGATATTTGAAAATAATTATTATGGTATAACTCGTTTTAAAATCATACAAAAATTAGTCTCGGAAAACTTTAATAAACTAAATAATCTTTGGGAAACAATTTGGCTTAAAATTTTTGTTTTATTTTTAATTTTTTGGATTTTTCTAGTCTATTGTTATAATTAATTAAAGTTAGAATTGGTATTGTAATTATTTTATTAACTAAACTTTAGATAAAATATAAGCCCAACCATTTAAGGGGAACAACTGATCAGCAACAAATCCGAGATAATGCTAATGCAAACAGTTCTATGGGGATTCCTGGAAACCCATTTGAACATATTTATTGAGATATATAAATACAAATGTAAGAAGTACTTAACCGCAAAGTGAGCACTCGCTTCGGTGCATTCGCCGATACGTTTATCATGTGTTTGTGGATCAGTCTTTTAGAGATGCACGGCACGGCCCACATTGCTCCTACGTCACGTAGTCCCCAAGAGAGAGAAAGGGAGAGAGAGCGAGAAATAAGAGGCCAAAGCGTGAGTGTGAAAAATGTGATATGCCAACAGCAACAAAGGCCGGCACCCGCACACATAACCCTCCATAACACCTCTCTAACCCAACAAACTAGGAATGTTACGATAAGAAAAATCGGATATAATATATCGGTATAATCGGTATAATCGAATATATATTTTCAAAAATATTATAAAAATGTTATTTAATGCATTTTCAAGTAAATTATTTTGTGGATCTTAAAAATATATAGTTATTTGCCTAAAAATACTATCTATATTATATCAAAAACTCTTTTAAAGATATACAGCAACTACTTCATGATCATGATTTACGTTTCATTAACTTTGTGTAAGCCATATTATTTCAAAATATTGAAATTCTCCTTTGATATCGAAAATATATTTAGCAAACCGATCTCTTTTCCCATCCCTAACTTGAAAACAAAACATGTCAACCAAGGGCAGAGCGAGATGGCTGATTTCAACGTTTGCCTTTTGCTTCCAGCTTTTGCTTTTTGCCTCTTGATTTTTGCTTTGTGCGATTTCTGTTGCTGTTTCTCTTTCTGTTTCTGTTATTCCGACAGCTGCACACAGCGTTTCAGTTGTTTCTGTGACGGGTTCAGGTGCGGTGGCGGTACTGGTATCGGTCAAAGCAATTACACATTTCATTTAAAATTATTGTTGAATACCGAGCCTGCCTTCTGTTCCCTGCGTACTTATTATAATGATAATTCCGATGACTCAGCGGGGCAATTACTCATAAAGGCTAGCCTATAATGCCCTGTCGCGTTGCGAGTGCCAAAGAGTTGTGATAAGCGAGGGGAGTGAGTGCCACCGTGGAACGCAGTGCCATGAAACTGCTGCTGAAAGTTCACTCGGAACGCACGGCCCGAAGGAGACGGACTCCGGAGCCGAGTCTAGCCCCATCCAGGGATTCCTCAAGTATATAAAAGACTTATTTTTACTTGTTTCATTTCCGCTTAAGTTACAGGGAATCGATTGCGATAAGATCAATAGTTTGTGACATAACAAGAAGGGTGTCAGTCCCTTGCTATTGATAAAGCTTTGTGTTTCTTTTGAAATGACGTTAATTTTACATGACAAAAAATGTTAGGTTCTCTAAAAATAATTTTATTAGTTATTACCTCAAACAAACTTTAGTCGGAAGTAAATTTAAACTTTGAACAATAATGATTAAATATAAGAAATAAAAGAAACAAATATGTAGGATATAGGCAACATCTTTTTTTATTCTCTGAATATATCTTAGCCTTTAAAATAATAAGAACTATAAGATTAAGTTCAATATATACATTTTTATATGCATTAATATTCACCCAACCCTTATCACAATTTTCGTAATAAAAACAAACCCGTGACGCTTAATGCTTAAATATATGTCTACAAATTGTTTACGAAATTTGATATGTTAATTTACCCATTGAAAAATTATCATATGTATTCAGTTTTTCTCTGTGCAGAGCAAATGCTAATTAACTTTCGCTAATTTAGGAATCAACAGCAACCATGGAAATGGGAGTGGCAGCGCCCACCATGGCCGCGATAAGTCACCATCGAAGCGAATGACAAGGAACACTATCCTCTTGATCACACTAATCCTTCTGGTACTCTCCACCGCTCTGATAGTACTCTACGTAGAGCTCAGTCGTTCGCGGCAGGACGTCGTGGTGCCCAGTAACAAGGCAATTTTCTTTGGCAATAACTACGATCACGATACGTGTAAGTGAACCGACTCGGGATTGTTCTCATAGCCAATTCACCAATTCCACAGTTCCGAATCTAGGAAACGGACACCTGGTCATCGATCGGGAGCAGTGGGGAGCGGCCAAGACCACTCCAGCCTTGAATATTCCCCTGCAGCGACCCATTCCCTATGTCCTAATCACGCACGTTGGCGTCCAGTCGCTGCCCTGCGAGAACATCTACAAATGCTCCATCAAGATGCGCACCATCCAAGACTCTGCCATAGCAGAGAAGGGTCTACCGGATATTCAGTCTAATTTTTATGTAAGTAATCTTTGAAGAGTAATTTTCTGATAAACATGAAAGTTAATAAAGCTTTTTAAAAAGGGTAACTTTAACCACTATTCCTCTATTGAGTTCTCCTGGAAAAATATTTTACTTATAATTAAAACAAAGGCTAACCTAAATAAAATCTCCACACTTACTTGTAAATGTTAAATTTTTGTAAAGTGTATTTTTAAAAAGAAATCCCCTCTGTAAATTGATCTTCCCCTCACGTTTACCTGCCATTTCGGGCATTTCGCTTTCCGCTTACGCAAATTGACGAATTTTCGAATTTCCGAATTTGTTTCAACCAGGTCTCTGACGAGGGCAACATCTATGTGGGCCGCGGCTGGGACTGGGCCAACACGTATGCGAACCAAACACTGGCACTTACCTTTATGGGAGATTACGGCCGATTTAGGCCCTCGGCCAAGCAACTGGAAGGTGTCCAATTTCTGTTGGCCCATGCAGTGGCTAACAGCTATCTCGAGGTGGATTACAAGCTGGTGGGGCAAAATCAGGTGGGTAAAAACAGAGACTATAGCTTGAGAGTATGTTAAATATATTATATAAATTTTATATAAATTTCTTTTAATTAATTAAATATTGGAGAAAGGAAGAAAAAGATTGTAACTGAACCAACTTAACTGGGGAAAAAAAACAAAGACCTATTTTAGTCTTTACAAAAAAACAAAGACCTATTTTAGTCTTTACAATATTTATATTACCATAATCTCCATTATTTTTATATAATTTATTATTAAATTCGCTGTTTTATATTCTCCAGACCAAGACAACAAAAAGTCCGGGCGCTTATGTCTATCAAGAGATCCGTAAATGGCCGCACTTCTACGGCTGCGGTTTGGACGACGAGGCCCCGGCGTGTGGCATCGAGCTGGGAATGAAACCGGAATCTTGGATGGGCAAGCAGTAGAGCCAACAGCGTCACAGACTTTTTACCACCTAAGTGTAGCCAAGCACAAAATATATATTTAATACGTATACTAAGGCGAAGCGGGCTTTCTTTTAATCGGTTATGCTGGGACACTGGGGGATTGGGTTTGGAACCCAGAAAACAGGTTGAGAGCGGGCGGGTTTTTATTTATTTATAGAGCAGAGCAGATCAAGCTCTCTGAGTGTCTCTGAGAGTTGTTTGATTTTTCAACTGTCGCTCAAAAAAGCTGGAAATTCCCAAGCTATCAGTACCAGTATCGCCATATAGACTGGATTTAACACTCATCACAGAGACAGCAGAGGTGGAAATAATAATACCTAAATAAAATATAATACCTAAATATACTTTAGGGGGGAATTTAAGTATATTTTTAATAATCAAAGACTTATATTTTTCGAAACCAAAAATAAAGTTTTTCTTTTAGTATTATTTTCTTGACCGCAACTGTCTCTGTGCACAAGTACAACATCATTATCGATGGCTTCACTTTACTTGTATTGTGCTCGTCGGGGGCTGCCTTTGTCATTTATCTGGTTTTCAAGTTAATTAATATACAATATATATTAATGATATTATACATATAGTTTGAAAGTAAAGTACTTGCTGGAAATTGCCCCGCTATGTTTAGTAACTTGATATAATATAAAAGAGCTGCTGCTTGGACCTTTCCCAAAGTAAATAATCAAATGCAAAGGTCGTTGGTAAATCCCCTCTTATCATAGAATAAAAATATAAGTAAAAACCTCTTTAAATTAGCACTTCCATTTATTAATTAAACCAAAAACAAAATATACTTACACTGCGGAACGAACTCGGCCAAAACTCAGGCACGTGTAACAAACAAATGCGAATGGACGGGTGAAGCAGGCAAAGTCTAATAATTAATAATAATTAAAGAAGTAAGGAAAATGTGTGTAAAGGTGTATAGCATAAAAATAAACTTAATGATTGATTTTTGTTGCTTATGCAAAGATATTATTACCTTGAGATATTTCGTTGGAAATGATTTGCCACAATTAGTAGAGTATTTTGTGCATTAGAAAATGGGTCAACAAAGAATTTATTGCCAGGTTAGCATCATTAAGAAAGCATTAAAGCTTGAACTTGAACTTTGGTCATATAATTTATGGCATTTCAAAAAAAATTCTTATCAAGGTAGCAACATTTATTTAGAATTTATAAAATAAATCATCAATTAATAAGGGAAATGGTAAATAAAATAAAATACTTTCTATATAAATTTATTAAACTTTTGTTTAAAATTTCCTGGTCACGAAAAGCTGGCTTTCTGGGTAAGCATATCTGCAATTCGTTCCGCTAATTTATTGCTCGTTACAATGCTCCATCAACTAAGGTTTCCCGGGCGTATATAGTATATTTGTTTTTGTAGTGAGACTATCACCAATCGTCGAACGCGCTTGGCTATAATTACATTAAATATTTTTTCAACCCAACTACAATGGGTCAAACCGAAGTTTGGCCGGAGTTCGGATGATGAAAAAACGTGTGCACAACAATGTGAAATGGCCAAAAACCGATTTCTGGCCGCAAACAAAACAATTCTCGGAAATGGTAGCGCAATTTAAAATGTTCACCAATTTTTGCCCACACTGCGGTGCCTGTACCGGTAGAGAGAGAGCCGTAGATTTTTGTGTTGTTTATTGGTTGAACAAATAAAAAAAAATAATAAGTATATATATACAACTATGTGTCTGTCTGGACGACTAAACAAAAACAAACAGTCATCGTCAGGTGGACCGGAGGCGGATGGCGAGAACTTGAAGCACCTGAGATCTCTACCGAGAGAGAGAGAGATCTCCAGACACGGGGTGTGTTAGCTAGAAAGATCATTATTAATTTGACTAATATCTGGAAGATATATATATATAAAAAACCCGAAATTGTGAACAGGTTCGTTGGGTTAGTGACGCACGGAAAAACCGAAAGGCGCGCTCACCAAATTAATGCAGGTCTGAAAATGCAGGAATCTTAAGCGGAATACTTTGATATTCTTGGTATCAGAGTCACCGTTACAAACCGGTTCGAGCTAAAGGAAAAGTTGTTCCTTTAACAAGAAATTAAGGCTTATGATTGAGGCTTGTGATTAAGGCTTACTTACTTAGTAGAAACGTTTAAAGCGAAATAGATTTTTATATTCTAGTTGCTATTAATTTTATTTACTTGCTAATATTTTAGTTTGAAAATGCAATAGATATTATAATTAACTTATAAAGTCAATAAAACAAAACTGTTTTCTTTAAATATTACTAAATTTAATGGTATTTTTCTCCTAACTCGTCGCTTAATTAATGAAAATTAAACTGAGCTTATATGACTTTGAAATGGCACCTATTTTATTGCCCTGGTCTATAAAATGATCACATGATAAATCAAAAGGTTCTTGTGTCATAAAAAAAGTAAAATTTAATAAACAAAAATTTTAATATTTAACGATTTATCATATAAAGCTTATGGTTATTTATGATTGATTTTTAAGGCAACATTTTTGAAATAAAATTTTTTTAATATTGGAAAAATGGTATTTATAACCAATTTTATTATTTTTATTTTTAAATATTATATTTATTATAAATATTATTATATATATATAATATTATTTAAATACCTAGAACATTTAATATATTCAAATTTTACTAAAACAAAAAGTTAGGCATTTCACATAAAGTAATATTTATAAAAAAAACTAAAAAATAATATTTCTAATTTCAAATTAAAAATTGGTTTAAAAAGTTATAATAATGTGTTGTGGTTTTCCAATAAATTAATATTCTTTAAACATATTAATTTATAAAATAATATTTTAAACAAATAATTACCTATCACTAACTGTTGCTTTAACTTATTACTTTTTAAATCATAGATACAAATAACAACTATGACTTTAAATTGTTGCGGATTAAAAATCTTTATTAAAATTGATAAGAATGTGATTATTTCACCTGCTTATCATATCAGATTTGAGGGCAAGGTTTTCCAGCCTCATGATGAAAATCATTTAATGTTAAAATGCAAATCTGAAACGAGTTCGACTGCAGTAGGATCGATCGGACTCGAATCGAGTAGCTTTTGGTTAAACAATAAACACCAATCCGCTCGCGAAATGCTCTCCGCTCTGCGATCTTTTGAGAGCGCTCCCACACGCCTCCGTCGTATAGAGACGCTCCGGGTTTTCAGACCGCTTCGATCTGATCGCCGCTCAGTTGATCAGAGACACTCGAACGCGCCGCTGCTCACCGACTTTGAATTGGCGCGAAAACGGACAGAAAAAAATACAAAACAATAAAAATTTACAAGTTTCTCACATATAGTATACGCGCTCAAATATTTACGTGCTGCAACGGGTTCGTCGGCAAATGGAAGTGCGTAAAAAAAAAATAAAGAAAAGTGGTCACAAAATGCAACACACCTTAAAATATCAAAGTGATTTATAAACTAATCATTTAATCATAAATTCATGTTTACAAAAGGCTTTTTAAGCTGAGGAATGTTAATTGTGAATGATAACAATTTTAAAACCTGTGAAAAACTTCCTGTAAATCAAAAATTGCTCAAATTTCCTGGAAACAAAATCAAAAGCTATCAATACACATTCGGAAATCAATTAATTTGCACATAGGCACATCACATATTTAATGATAATTTTGAAAACACGTAAAACACCAGACCTGGTAATAATTATCTCTCGCGAAACTCTGGCAACAAAGACTCGCGCTCCCATCTCTGTGTCTGTCTGTGGGTGTGCGGGTATGCGACAATGGCCGCCCTCCCTGAGCGTGTATTGGTGCGCTCAGCGAACTCCGAGTGCCATTCGGTGCCTTCCGTACATCATTTGTAGCCATTGTCGTTGTTCAGTGCTCGGTATTCTGGGTTCTGGGTTCGTTCTGTGTGTGTTATCTCAGAGCGAGCGGCGCTCTGTGCCAACTCCAGCACATCGATATACTGAATGTATATAGAAAGTCAGAGCCCAGAACCCCTTTGATATTGTTTTGGGTACACATACTGGGTTTTATCACGGTTCTGCGAATTCCATGAAAGAGAGTTACTGTCTTTGGCAACTTCAGACAAGATTTCATGTCTAAAATAAAGTCGTATATAGGAGAGGTGTTCGATATATAATCATGACTTGAAAATGTTCTTTAAAAGTAAATGAATTTAATGTATTTAATTTCTAAAAGTTGAAAACATAACTAGCATATATTTAGAAACAAAATCAATCATATTCAGAATTTGTATAAGCCCAGTAAATAAAAATGAAACATTTTTTGTTTTAAGCTAACAAATTATTATAATCTAAGATAAGATTCAAGAGTTTTCCAATCAAAAACAGAATATTCCCGAAATTTTTCAGGAAAGAATCTAAAATGAAAACACAAACTTTTGAAAATATTATAGAACATTACTATTTTTTGTATGTATTTTTGTTTTTAAAAAATAACACCAAGACAAACCTGATATAATATTTCACAACTCGGTTATAAAGTCTTCAAGGAGTTTAAAAATTAATCATTTCAACGCAATATTATAATATTTGCCTGCGTAAAAAAGAAACCCTAACCAAATATGATTTAAACTTTCAACTACATAATCGAAAAATAAATAAATAAATACCCTACTACTAGTAGTGGCAAGTGTCTGTATTGTTTTTCTCGGAAGCCACTTAAGGCAATTTACTACGTCAATGATTGTGGCTAATTTGCATAAGCCTCGCTTTCGTGAGAGTCTCAACGCTTATTGACCAACTTTATGAATCGAATTGAGCGGTATACAATATGTACTGTGCAAAACCCGTATAGCTTAATTATACGAACGGCAGTAGCTTTGTATACGCTTTTAAAAACTGAAAAACTGAACTCTATAGACGGGCCCTCAGGCAATCGAGAGCTTATCAGGCATCGTGTATACATGAACTAAAAGCGTTGATTATACGAATAAATCACAATGAGACTGGCAACTCTAATGGACTACGAGAGCAATAAAAAGATTATTGAAAACATTTGTAATTAGTGAAGTGATAAAGCAAGTGATAAATAATATAAAAACAGTTTCTACTGGAGTGATAGTGTGTTGTATAAAGACAATACCCAAGCAAATACTTACAATTATTCTTTATAATCGGAGAATATAATCCCAGAAAACAAAGACTGTCTCTCCCCTTATCAAGAAGTTAGTTATCAAAAAGTTATTTGCAGATGTGCTCATGATGTGATATTTGCCAGAGCTGCGCCCCAGTCAGCCGACCTGCCATATAAAGTGCTTATTCCGGCGAAAATGTTATATCCAACCTGCTAAGTGGGAAGGCCAACACACAAGTCATCTACGATAATCATAAGGAGATCCAGAGATCCGAGCTTACGTGACGGATTCGACATGCATTTGATCGGCAATGAAAAGGAAATGAATCAATGTCCCAGCAGCAGAACCATCGATCTGTCAGCCTCCAAAAACTGCAGCACCTCGTCCACGGACTCCGGGGTTATACTGATTGATAATGTGGCGTCATTCCGGCCGGATAAGAAGACCAAAGAGGCGGCTGAGCCACACAGCAAATCAAAGGCGGAAGAGAAGACGGATACGAGGGATACAGCGGACGCGACGGAGGCCAAGCGTATCAGCATCGAACATACTGTGAATATAACCAAGGCAGGAGGAAAGTCTTCATCTTCGCCGACGGTCTCCATACGGAGCACCACCATATCGGTGGTGTCCATCGATGAGAATGCCATCGACTCCAGTTGTATTGACAGTGATTCGGAGGCCGATCCGGAGGACTTTACGGTCCAGAAGCTGGGTCACCAGGTCACCTACCCGCCCAACAGTTCCCACCTGCGCGACCTCAATCAGGGTCTCACGGTGCTAAGTCGCCAGGTGGCGATACCCAGTCAGTCGGAAGTACCACCGCCCACGCCCTTGGAGGCAGGCGTGGTAGCCAAGCAGATCCTCAATGGTAATCTGGCACTGGCCACGCCCACAGCAGCGGGCGGAGGAGCCACCCAGGGAATTGGTAGCATCGCTTTGACCAACTCCACGGACGTGACCTTCGGTGACAAGCATTTCTACGAGGGACCCGTTACGATACAGCAGTTCCTTATCGACAATCGGGACAAGTGGAAACCAGGCGAGGGCCCAGGAGGCGGTCAGGATAATCCAGCCTTCAATGGGGGAACGACGGCCAATGGCAATGCTCCGGGTGAGTGAAATTTATAAATTCTATATTGGAAGAGGTTGCAAAACCATTGCTATATCTTAGGTTATACATAGTAAATCAAAGATTTAATTAGGACTAAAAGCAAAAACGAAATGATTCCAAGAAATACTTTACCCTATTCCGATTTTAATAGGGATTAGTATTTGATATACTAAGAATCATTTTATTTAAAAATCTCTTTTTATAATTTTTCTAGTTATATTTATTATATTTTTACCACTAGCTTGTTATATACATATATATACACAGAAAAAATTCTGGTGGGTTAAATGAACAATTTCTTTTGGTTCAATAACAGTAAAGCTACTGTCAATGTATTTTGTTGTTGGATTTGGTGACTGCACGACAGTTTATATGACAGTCAATTACAGTCACCCTTACGTACGAGATTCTGTGTGTTTTTTCTTGTTGGCTTTGCGAGCTGTCGTAACTGTCAGCTGCAGTCAAAATACTGTAGGTTTAACGTAAAAAGTTTTATGTGTTTCTTTATCTTGTTTGGTATCGTGTATGTATTTTTGCATTCCCAAGGTAAGTAACATTAACATTTTATAATTTTATTAAATATTTTATGAAAATCCATTGATTTTTCTGCCCACTAAAATACTTTCTGGTATAATTCTGGTATATATTTCCAAACTTCTAGTATATAGCAAGCGTTTCTTGAAAAAACGATTTCGGGCACACTTAAAAAGCGGCGTCGGTTTCGAGAAGTTGTGCAGCGAAAAAGTGAAGTGAAAAAGTTAAAAGTAAAAGTTATGAGTGATATTGACGAAGTGGCTACCTTGGAGGATCTTCTGGAGGAGTGGGATTTCAGAGACCTATCGCCCACATTTCTCGGTAAGTTCACAAACAATCATTTAAAGTATAATTAGATCCGCAATTGGCATATGTACATATACATATATGTATATATATATATACATATGTATACATATATATACATATATGTATGTATTTACATATGCAAGTACACGTACGCTGCTGATCGCAAGAAGAAACGCTTTTAAAAGTAAAGTTAGTATACAGATTAAAATATATACATATATGTAAAAACTTATATTTGGCACTGATCCTTGATTGCTTTTCTTTATTTTACAATTTGAATAGCGATCAGCGGACATGTACATGCATGCAAATGTATTTTTTGGCTTCTTGTTGACTTGCGATGCCAACCATCTCAGGCGAGTGCGAGCAAGATAGCTGGCACTGACATCCAAGAACCGTTTGTTTTATATCTTATTATGATATATATAATTAAATCTTTTATACTTTTATATTTTGTTTTCAGGTGAGAGTATTCACATGTAACTATAAAACATAACTATGTAAATGGAATCAACAAAATGTAAGTAAAATATTTGGCCGTTTTCTATTAATTTTAATAAACAAATTTATTTAAATCAATTTTTATTTCAGAAAAGCTATAGTCGAGACAAAAGTACTAGTTCGGATGTGAAATATGGACAAATATATATTTGTGAGTATTGATAATCATCGTTTGACTTAATATTTATTTATTAATAAATTTACAATTATAATATTTAATTTATTTATTCATAATATAGGAAATATATATATATATAAGTCCATAATATTATTAATTAAGACCCTCTGTAAATATTTTTAAAGAATAAGTAATTAAAAAAATATTAATTAAGACCCTCTGTAAATATTTTTAAAGAATACGTAATTAAAAAAATACTATTAAAATTTTAAAATAATTTTTGGTTTTATTTTGGTGGTAATATGAACTGCAATTACTGTAGTCGGGGGTAGTCTACAGTAAAATAGTAAAATAGTGTATTTCACAATTTTCGTGGTTTGGCGCTTTTTAACCGCAAAATCGTGGTTCCATGTACTGTAGAGCAGTACATGTTACGTAACGCGTTACGTCGTTATACTGCAGCGTACAGTTCATGGAACCCAAGATTTTGGTTGTTACCTTTTAACCCACGAAATGGTTGGATTTACCCACGATAATTTTTTCTGTGTATATTTCTGCTATTTCCTGCTGCTTTAGCTTTCTTAATCTCTTGTTTACATTCCTGCACCGTCTTTACCTTGGCTCGATTTTGTTTGCTTTATTGGGCGATTCTGAGCGCGTGTGGCGATTTGTTTACCCAACCCGATCAGGCAGTTCCAGTATCGACAGTTGGCCGCCTCTAACAACCGTGCTGCGAATGTTGGATAAGCAGATGGCCCCAAAGCTCTTAAATTTATGAGATACGCATAGAACAAATAGTACATATCGAACACTACAATGTGCTGGAATAACAAAAAAATGCATTGCAGGGTAGGGTAGGTCACCCAAAATGTGTAAGAACTAACATTTTGGTACTTAAACCAAGCTAGAAGATCAGATACCTTCAAAAGTTTAATAAGTAAAACCAAGCTGAAGAACTAAATAATTCCTTAAAATTCTCAAATAATACTGGTATTAACAAATTAGAAGAAAATTAGTGGGACTATTAATGTAATTAAATAATATTTTCCCTAATTAAGCAAAAGCTTGATTTACAAATAATTACAATGTTAAATTAAAAAATAATAATAACAATTCTTTGAAATAAAAGAATAAAATACATGAGCATTTAGGGAAACCCCCATACGTGATATTCGCTTCCGCGATTATCATAAATAGGTCGACGACATATTCGTAAGGGAAGCTCTAGCTCCCAGGGTATTGGGGATTTTTTCAGTTTAATGACATTTTTATTGCACAATGAATACCATTTTCTGCAAGAGATAAAATCTACAACATTTCAACCAGTTCTTTTATGTTAATACAATCTATATTCTTGGCAAGGGAAAAACAGAATTTCATTCACGAATAAGAAAATTTGTTCAAGGTTCCTCAGATCGTAAATCAAACTGGCGAAAACTTCGGGTAAATACTAGAGAGAAAAAAAGCCAACAGCTGCCTCCGCATGCAATTGTTTACTTGAATTATTTTCACAATTACCATAATTAAGCGGCGACTAGCGAAATCCGAATCCAATCGGAGTTCAACTAGGTGTAAATTTAGTTACTTGCTTTTAGTTAGTCGCTCTTATTACATAAACCTCAAGCCCAACAAGGTGCTTCCCCGAGCACCGAAAAAATATAAATTCCGCATGCTCCCCTTTGGGCGGGGGGTTTTTTTCCTTTGTATACTTAATTACTTGCTAAATGCAAACGTTAAACAGGAACGTATATATACGTACATATATATAGTACGCACTGGTAGGAAAAAGTACCCAATACACGTATCGCCAATCGGCTTCAGTTGCTCATATAGAGCGTTCGCGAAATGTCGAAGAACGCGCTTGAATATTGCCTAAAATGTCACGATTTAATCGTGGACACCTCGTCCCAAATCGAGTGTGATAGTGGAGTGTGTCGTCGGGTTTACCACCGAAAATGCACAAATTTAAGTGAAGACCAACTAAAAATGCTAGATACGTTGCCAAATTTACGATGGAAATGCGATACCTGCCTAGCACAGGCTCAAAGTGCTCCGAAAATGAGCAACTGGCTGGAGAAGTGCTTGCGGGAGCACGAAAAGAGATTGGAGATCCTTGAACAGGGTTTAGAAAAGCGTAAGGGATAATATTATAAGAGGAAAATATCAAGATCTATTACATAATATTTATTTTTTTTACTAATAATTATTTTTTAATATTTGCATTAAAACATCTTTCAATATATATCGTTTCTTTTTTGGATAAATAATGGTAAATCTCCATTTATTTCAGACGAAACTAGATATCGAACCAGACCTATTGAATAATTCAAAGTTTTTGTTATGAAATCGAACAAGATTTTCTTGAATATATATAAAGAACATTATAATAAAATTTCCATTAATTAGTTGCATTAACTAACCCATTTTTTCACACCCATTTTTCAGGCTCAAAACTTGATGATCCTGCTCAAACGCCACCCTTCTGCCCGTTCCTGCCCAACACTATTGGGCGCAAGGCCTTCACAATAGCGGTGGCATTCGTGATGCTGACCACACTTCTGGTCATTGTGCTGGGCACCACCACAAACATCTTCGGCAAGACGTTGAACCAAAGTAAGCTCAGCGATGTCGACGATTCCAGACAAAATATTCCAATCAATTCAACAATAGGTACAGTTTTGTCCCCCCCACTCAGTGTGCGAAAGTGCTTCCTACTAACCACAAATCGAATTGGCGATCGTGCTTTAACCCATCCTTTCCACAAATACTGCATGCATGTAATATATAACCCATTTATAATCTCATCTTGTATATAACCAAACATATTTTTGTGTTTTGTGCGTCGGTACATACTTCATCAGGCTACTCGAAATGCGCGTTTCTGATCACTGTTGTTCAGTTCTGTGAAGTGAAACATGAATCAAAAGTGTGGCCTAAAGTTCAATTGAATGGAATATGCCAGTGAATCGAGCATCACAACTACACTTGCGCTTAAAATAATGGTAGTTTCAATATATTTACAGCAAAAAATACTTACATATTACAAAAAAAGTAATATTGTTTTAAAAGTTCATCTAAGTAGCTATATCTCTTTTGTTTTTTAAGTTAGGGTTATTATAAAAACATTTTTAAGAATTTCAGTGTAAAATTTACCTTTTTCCGATCTTGGACCTTCTTAGGGAATTATATCCTTTAAAACCCGTTCAAATACCTACATTTCTTTGATTACTACCATTGTTTTGGGCACTTTTGTGCTCTGCTAATCCAAAACTCTCCATGTAGACGACGATGTCATCAATAATGGCTCCCTGGTCATTGTTAAGGTCGCCCAGTGGGGCGGTAGACCAGCCAAGAAAAAGCTTGATCCGTTGGAACTGCCCGCACAACGAGTTATTATCTCGCACACCGCTGCCTATGGCTGCGATTCACTGGTGAGTATAGCCCTATCTTACTCATCCACATACATCCATCCTGGGAGAGATGCTTAGTGCTATAGTTTTTTTGCTTTTGCCAGTGCAAAACTTGTTATGTTCCTTTCCTTTCCTTTATTGTTCATTCACTTGCTTCGTTGTTCATTAAGTGAACAAGTAAACAGTAAACCGATATGAACAAATGAACTGTGAACAAGGAAATAGAGGTTCACTCAGTGATCAAATGAACAGTAACTCTCCCAGTAAAAAAATAAACACTTCTTCACTCAGTGAAACCCTAAACAAATGAAAAAGTCATCATCGTTTTCACTCACTCATGACTCTTGGTAATTATAACAACCAATCTCCCTTCCACATCAAAGGATATCTGTTCGACGCGGGCACAGGTGGTCCAGTCCTTCCACATGGACAGTTGGGGCTGGGACCATGTGGGTTACAACTTCATGGTGGGCGGCGACGGGCGTGTGTACGAGGGTCGCGGCTGGGACAACCTTGGAGCCCACACCAAGGGCTATAATCACCACAGCATAGGGATATCCTTTCTAGGAACCTACACCAAGGAGAAACCTATGGAGCGGCAGCTAAAGGCCTGTCAGCTACTGATCGAGGAGGGTGTGCGACTCAAGAAAGTTGATCCCAACTACAAGCTTTACGGTCACCGTCAACTCAGCGCCACCGAGAGCCCCGGGGAGATGCTATACAAGATAATCCAGACATGGCCTCACTGGTCGAATGAGATTAAATAAGTCATATGTATTATATTAAATATAAATATATATTGTATTCTAGTAAAGAAAGTCTGTAGAATAATGACCAAGAAATGCACTTTATTCGACTTCATTGAACCCACTTTTTCCCACATCATTCATGTTGCTGTCAGTTTTCAAAAAGAAGCAAGAACGTGTTCCAGGTTGTTCCTAGGTTGAGTTGAATGGAATATCTAGCTGATAATCACAAGTATGTATGATTTTAAGATAACTTTTAATAGAGGTATCCAAATCATTATACGAAAACATAATTCGAATCTTTCCTGATTTTAATTATTTAATTCCATATAATATTTTTTTCTGAAATGGTTTGGATTCCTTCACTTAAAATGTCTTTTGACTTCGTTAACTCACCGAGCTCTTATTGATCCAGCCGACGATTCCGAGGTCCGTGTCGATGGAAAGCTGGTGATAATCGGCATTAAAAGCTGGGGTGGGATGCCCACCAGAGGCACTCTTGCTCCCCTGAAGCTTCCAGTTGCCAGGGTAATCATATCCGATACTCCGCCCGATGTTTGTGAGACAAGGGTGAGTGCCCATAACTATATTTCCAAGAATCCACCCAGGAATCGTAAGTTCCTCTTGCTTAGGCTTCCTGTTCGTATTGGGCCCGTGTCACCCAAAGCCGGCACATGGACACATTCAACTGGCCCCAGATGGGCTACAATTTCCTAGTTGGTGGCGATGGACGAATTTACGAGGGTCGGGGATGGAACATTGAAGGCGCCCACACGCGGGACAATAATAATAACAGTATCGGTATTAGCTTCATGGGCAACTTTCGTCGCATTGTGCCATCGCAGAAATCCCTGGAGGCCTGTCAGCTCCTCATCGAGCAAGGAGTGCGCCTGAAGAAACTTAAGCCAGACTACCAGCTCCTCGGACATCGCCAAATAACGGGAACCCTAATGCCGGGCGAGGAGCTGTACCGGATCATACAGACATGGCCGCATTGGCAGAACTTTACAAGGATAGGACCCAGACTTCATATGACGGAATAGATATTTATGAAATAATTAATTTAAGATTGAATAAAGGTGCCAAAAGATAAATTAAAATATATTATTTATTTCTAGTTTAAATGTTTAATTTTTTAACTTTAATCCACATCTACTTTACTAACAAAAATTTTATAATATTTACATTTAAAAAAAACTAGGAAGCACAAAGAGTCATTCGGTTATTGGCCTTTACTATTTTACTTACTTATAAGGTGTACTCCTAGTATAAGAACACGTTAAAAAATATACATATGTTTATAGCTTTGCATGTTTAAAAATGTATGTAGATACTTACTTTAAAAATCAAATAACTTATCAACCCATTGTACTAAACCTATGCCGCTTAAACTCAGACCCTTTTTAATAAGTTATATTTTTTTGTTTGTAGTTTTTAAAACTAAAAATCTTCTTCATAATCCACAGATCGGGATAATATTGGCGGCGGTTTAGTCCTGCGCTTCGTGGACCGTCAAGTGTGGCTTGCCCAGCCGCCGCAAAAGAAGATTCCGGATTTGGAGCTACCTGTGGGTCTGGTGATTGTAATGCCCACCAATTCGGACAACTGCACCACGCAGGCGGCATGCGTCTTTCGGGTACGTCTCCGCCAGAGCTATGACATTGAGTCGGTGCAGGAGGACGACATTGTATTCAACTTCCTCATTGGCGGCGATGGCAATGTCTACGTGGGCCGGGGCTGGGACCAGGTAGGCGCTCACATGGCCGGCTATAATTCACGGAGCCTGAGCCTGGCTTTCATTGGATCCTTCCAAACGCGAAAGCCGTCGCCTAAGCAGCTCAGCGTTACCCGTCTCCTCTTGGAGAAGGGCGTGGCTTTGGGCAAGATCGCCCCCAACTACCGTCTGACGGCGGCCAGTACCCTGGAGCCCACTCTCACCACATACAAGGCGGATGCCCTTTACCAAAGCTTCGGCAACTGGACTCATTGGTCGTGAATAGTATAGGATCTGTATGGATGAGATCGACTTGATATTCTAGCGTAGATTCTCTTTCTCCTTCCCTTTTAACGTGTGGCATATTCGATTTAGCTAGAATTACGATTCGTTTGAAAAAAATGTGATATTAAATGAAGCAAAAATATGAACTTGATGGATTTCAATAGTATCAAGGGGTCAACATCTAGCTGATAGCTGGAAGCGGTGATTTCTTTTTAGTTTCAGCTGCTTGGAAACCGGAAAAGGTGACTTACGATTCTATGTATGTATGTACATATGTATGTATGTATGTAAGAGAGCGTTCTAACTAGATTCGGTTCACTTCATTTCTTCATTGGGAATTCAGGGGAAGTCCCTCTTCCCAAGCTCTACAGTTTTGTAAACAACCTTAAAACAACAACGCTAATCTAAACGTCAACGTTTTTATGAAATAATAAATAAACACTTCTGTAGATGCTTGCTTTTTACTCTTTGGAAAGCAAATTAATAAAAAAAAAATAATCACCAAAGCTATTGTGAAAAAATATCTCTTTTGTTTAAACGGCTTTACATACTTAATTACATTTTCTAAGATTTCAAGATGTTAAAATTGTTTATATGCATATTTCTTAAATATTTTATATTTTTTCAGTAAGTTGAAGATTAAGAGATATAAAAGAGAGAAGTTGTACTAGCTCAAATTATAATAAAGCCAATTTTTGAAAACCATTGATTTTTGATAAAAAAAGAAATAATAATGATATTACAAAATGTTGTAAGAAATTAAGTGGAAATCCATCCGTCCTAGCCAGCTTGTCAGCTTTCTTATTTTCGGGGACGTCGTTGTGTTCGGGTACCCGAACTATTAGTTATCGTCAGCCTATTGTACTAAACCTATGATGCTTTATAAAGTTCTAGAATTTTTAGTTATAATTAAGAGCTAAAATCTTTTTAATAAAATTCAGATACGTCCTACAAATAAAAACCATTTGTAAATACTTCTCCTATACACTCTTATAAATCGAACAATATTCTCTTAGTACATTCACATAGCAATTATATATGTATAAATGCGATAACAATTTAAATACATAGCCCGGTAAAAATATATTAATACTCTACTAAAATGGGACATCAAAGCCTTCTAGCAGTCAGCATCCCGACGTCGCTTCGAGTAGTTTGGACTCCAAATGGAATACAAGGAGATAAAGGACCCTAAAGAAGCTCAGGAGTCCGGAATATAAAATAAAAAAAATGGGAATTATATTGGTGATTCTGATAATCGTATATAAATCGTAGAAATGTGTATAATCGGACATCCCAGAAACATGAAAATCCTTAAAAACTCAGGAAGTATGTAGTATATTTATCAAACTGAAAAATATGCAAAAAGAAAATGTATATAACCGTGAGATTGAAAATTTAATTTTGAATATGTGTGACTTAACTTTAACTTGTCCAAAAAATATGCTTCCAAAATCTTGGGCTTTTCTTTTAATGTCAAACCATATTCTTTGCCTGTAACTAACTGTCGTCATCCCAAAAATTATATTATTCAAGAACAAAATATACAATTTTATTTTCCTCTGGAAGTGAATATATAAAATTATAATGCTAGACCCTCGCCAACTTCAGTGCTCATTCAGATGTCTTGTGGACAACACTGAATTAATTAAATTCCACAAAATGTCCACAGACGAGGCGCAAGTGCTTGGAAGAGATAAGAAGGCTTCAAGAAAGTGGCTATATTGTCTGACAATTCTTGAGATCTTGTTGCTCCTGACAGCGGGCTATCTTATATGTGAGTTTAGTGATATTTAAATAGAGAATTTCTGGATATATATTTAAAACATTAAATTAAAGATCGCTCTGCTAAGTTTCACATGATCAGTCGCAAAGACTGGGGTGCTGTGGAGCCCATTTACAAGAATCTTCTCGGTTTACCAGTTCCAAATGTGGTTATTGATGAGAATCCTTTTGAATGCAACACTACGGTAACATTAAATATAATTTATTTATTATTTTGATTATGTTTATTTATGTATTGTCTCACAGGAATCCTGTATTTTTTATTTAAAAGAACTACAGCATTATCGCATTGAATCCACATTATTCGCGGACATCGACAGCAATTTTTATATAGGCGGCGATGGTTTGATCTATGAAGGAACTGGCTGGCATATAAATCCAATGCCAATGGGTATTGTTTACCATGAAGTTTCATATATTTCTATTTGTGTTTTGGGTAAACTGAACAAAATGGAGACAGTACAACGACAGTACAATGCCATTAGGCGCCTGGCGGCGGAAGGAGTGCGTCTGGAAAATATCGAACCAGACTATAACCTCTATAGCCGTCATCAGTTTGATAAAAACGGAAATACTGGCTCAATGTTATATGATCTTATACAAAAGTCAAACCATTTTTCAACTAATATCAGTTGGCTCTACCCAAAATTTTAGGAAAAGAAGAAGGTTTAAAGTTTGCAAATGTTTTTTTCTTATTAAACATTTACCTTAACAAAAAAAATTAAATGTTTAATAAAATAGAAAGTTAAAATTCTATTCCCGAACATAAAAAAATGCAAAAGGACTAACTAGATTTGTATTCTAAAAATATCCCAAGTTAAAACTTTATTGGAAAAACGTAGAAACACAATAAAAACCCTTTGTAATCCTTTTAATAATACCTTTGCCAAATCTTTAATAAATCTTAATGATTTCTCAGCACCGCTTTCTAATTTTGTTTATTTGTTAAAGGCAAAACTATCTTTCAGTTGGCCAAAAAGAAAATTGTTTCTGGTTAAAAGAGCGTAACAATAATCGTTTTGATGAGTTTCATTTCTTGCGGCCAAAGGGGGTAAAAACTCTGTCAGCTAACAGTGATTTGGGATTTCTTTTTCTATTAGTCCGTCGGTGTTCTGTTTTTTTTTAACCGGAAAGCCTGACTAAGATCCATCCGTCGGCTGGCGGCTTCTTCCAACTCTGAGCTCTGAGCTGAGAGACTCAAGTATAACAAGTATACGCCCCCTTGGCCAGCCAGGAGATTCCCATTTCTTAGGCTCAAATCTCACTCTATTACTTCAACCATGAGGTGAGCAGTGGGCGGCGTTTGAAGATCATACACCCAGCTGCCGAAAAAAGTAAGACCCTATATGAGACGAGCTTTGAAAGCTCCCTCACATTTATGTCTATATATATCTGTTTATAGGTATGACTACATGTCTTATCGCAAAAGCTTGCGGAACTGCGCTGCCACTGCGCAGTTAAGAGATCGGGGGATTTTTTCAAAGCGTCAACAGAAATAAACAACCGTCAAGTTAAGTTGCTAATGGGACCGGCTCAGAGCTCAGTTGGTATTGGGCTTTCGTCTGGAGAGGATTGGCTGGCCCATAACACACATCTCAAGATGCAGAAACCCGCGCAAAGGGCTCTCCCAGAAGAGCAGGAAACCATTGTGAAGCGGTTGCCCCGCGAACTACTCTATCTATGTGCCATTCTTCTAATGCTTGTCGCTCTCGTGGCGGGCTATTCCCTGTGGATGATGTGTGAGTGTTAGCACCGGATCCTGAATCGTTAGAAATTTAATTGGAAATTCGATTGTTAACCTGATTTTTTAGCCCACTCTGCGAACGCCGCAAACAAAGGCCTGCACATACTCGATCGCAGCGAATGGCAGGGGGAACCACCGAGTGGAAAGTACCCGCACCTTCAGCTGCCTGTATCCAACGTGATTATCCACCATACAGCGACCGAAGGTTGCGACCGGGAGGTGAGTCCCGCCCCAAAGGGGTTTAAGTAATTCCAAATTCCAGTACAATCGCGTCAGAATCTTGTACTGAATTTACATTTTTGCTGGGAGAATCTTCTTATTTATTTATTTTCTTGTTAACTAATTAAATATTTAATTTTTTTGCAGGACGTATGCATATATCGAATGCAGATTATTCAAACCTTTCACATGAAATCCCTTGGCTGGCCGGACATTGGCTACAATTTCCTAGTGGGCGGCGATGGTCAAATCTATGTGGGAAGAGGTTGGCACATTCAGGGCCAGCACGTCAAGGGCTATGGTGCCATATCCATTAGTATAGCTTTCATTGGAACCTTTGTCAACATGGAGCCGCCATCCTGCCAGGTTGAGGCTGCCAGGCGATTGATGGAGGAGGGAGTGCGACTGCATAAACTGCATCCGGATTATCATATCTACGCTCATAGGCAAGTCAGTCCCACGGAAAGTCCCGGCCAGAAACTTTTTGAAATGATGCAGCACTGGCCGCGCTACACACCGGATATAACGTCGTGTAAGCACAAGCCATAAACATAACTTCAGAATACTTAAATTAATTACTTTTAATGTTTCTTCAGTGCGTCGCCTCAGCAATGACACATTGAAGTTTGTGACTCGACCTTATTGGCTAGCCCAGCCTCCAAGTCATTCTCTAGAACCCTTAAGGCCACCCGTCAGAACTGTGAGATTCGAGACCACCAACATCCCAGCTTGTACCACCCAGGCCGAGTGCACTTTCCGGGTGCGAATGCTGCAAACGCTTCACATGGAAGCCTCTGGTTATAAGGACATCAACTTTAACTTTGTGGTGGCCGGCGATGGCAACATCTATGTGGGCAGGGGCTGGGATCACAGCTGCCAGTCCTTTAGCAGCGAGGGTTCTCTTTCCAACAACCTAATAATAGGCTTTGTGGGACACTCGCCAAGCAATAAGAAGCTGGCTTTGGAACTACTACAACAGGGCATAAAACTGGGTCATATAAGCCAGGATTATACTCTGATAGACCCGGAATCAGACTCAGACTCGGAGAAATCATAGAAGCCGGGAGGGATTAAATGCAAGTGCCATCTCGCAAAGTGATACTAGTCTTAAATATTACTATAAAATATCGAATTTCTTAACTCAATTTAAACTAGGGATTAAAATCGAGATATAATCGATATATATATCTATAAATATATCGCGCTCAATAGAATATCGAAAATATCTAACATTTCATATATCGAATTTTAGAATATCACAAATGTTTAGATTTATCTTTTAAATCTATATTTATCAAAAAATATAAGAATAATTTTAGTTTATGTATTTTTCCTTTTTTTCGATTAAATTAGTTCAATATTTAAAACAAAATTTCGATTTATCGCAACGTTAAAATATCGTTTTTCGCGTTAAATATCGATAAATTATCGTTACCATATCAATGTTTGTAACTCATTTAAAAACTCTGTTGTATTTATAGAAATAAACATGCCTTTATTGAGTTTTAACAACTTGTTGCTCTCTTTTTTGATATCTCAATCGAACGATGACTACTGCTAATATATTTTTGAAAAACAGATTGCGATGTACGTGGTTTGATTTCAACTTAACGATATATACAGACTACAGACACACTTTGTGCTTACAACAATTGGCTAAACGAAATTCGTAATTTGGAAATTTTGGAACGCGACTACATAAAACTTAGAAAATTAGGCTACGGTTAGTGAGACAATCCTGCAGTTAAAAAGGACTCAGGATTAGTGATCCAAGATGCGCATATTGCCGGACACGATCTTGTTCTCTAGAATGGCACCGGCGGGTATATCAATACGATCGCCATGATTGGCAATGATAATCACAGTGCCCTGAATAAAGTAAATACATTTTTTCATTAGAAACCAAAAGTCAAAGTGAATTGATAGAAAAAACTTACGCGTAGGGAAACGCCACGTCCGAAGGTCACATCACCGCTCACAGTCAAGTGATCCAGCTCAATTATGTCCGGGATGTTGGCAAAGCGTCCCAGGAACTCCTTCACCTTGGAGAAGTGATTCTCGCCCAGCTTAACCAGTGGCGTGGTGGGGAACATGCGCTGCGGCGACATCACCAGGCTGCCGTTCTTCAAAGTATACAGATTGGACATGACCAGCAGCAAATCCGAAGACTTCTTCACGGGCAAGAAACGGGAACGGGGCACATTGATGCCGATGGCGCCATCAAAGCACTTCATAGCCGCACCCACAGCAGTCTCCAGCTGAACGACACGGGTTCCGTTCTCCAGCGTTTTGTTATTCACAATGATCTCCATGTTCAAGGTCTTCTCACGCAAAACGCGATCAATGGCTATGAAAAACGCATTTTAGGATTTTTTTGGTAAATAATTGATTTTAGTGTAAGCTATGTACCTGCCAGATTGGCCCAGATATTGTTGGTGTTGAAGAACTTGAAGGTCTTGACGGACTTGAAGTCATCCACGTGCTCTGGCGGCACCTGGGCGATTTCCAGCAGTCGCAGTTTGTTCTCCATTTGGATGAGGGTACCACCCTGCAAGAGAAAGAGGGGAAATAAATTATTAAAAAAAAAAAGAAAATTTAGATATTCACAAATATGACTCATAATTTGATATCATTTCAAATAATATCTTAAAATAAAATAAAGAATGTTAAAACTAGAAGAACATTTAGATCTTCTATTATCAAATATTTCATTGCCTACTTTTAGACAGATTTAAATGTTTATATTTTGAGACTCATTGTAAACTGAAATCTTAAATATTAAAAATAGTAAATTATGCGATGTTTATAAAGCAACTAAGGTTGCAAATAAGGTTTTATAAAGTATTTTTTTAATAGGAACTCAAAAAGAAGTTGATTTTTATATAAACGACTAGCTTTCAAAGTAAAATAATGACACTTCTTTTCAAACAAAGAAAAAATAAAATCTACTTAATGACATTTTGTAAATTCCGTGAACCAATAACCGCGATAAAGTTTATTTATTGCCAACATTACTTTACCTTAACGTCAGCACGGGTCTTATCAGTGACCTCCATGACAAACTCCACGGGAGTGGTGGCCCGCTCCTCGCCCACCAGCTTGTTAAGTATATTCAGATCAACGGTGGCGCCCAGGTTATCAATGTTGGACAAGAAGCAATACTCTCGTCCCTCCTCGATGAACTTCTTCAGCAGGCCAGAGTTGCGGAAGGTGTCGTAGAAGTCACCGTGACCAGGGGGATACCAACTAAAAATAAAACAAAAATTAGTTAATTCAACACCCAAGTCTCTGTACTCAAACTTAAAACTCACGCCTCCATATCCTTCTCGACATCAACGTCCTTGGCCACCGGCAAAAAGTGTTCGCGACTGATGCGCGGGAAGCAGCTCTGGTTGAAGGTGTGGATCTGCACCCTGAAGCCCTTGTACTTGCGCACAATCTTCTCGGTGTCCTCATCGGTGTTGAAGGAGTTCATCAGGACCAGCGGCACATTGGCATCGTAAGTCTTGTTCAAATTCTCAATCTGCTGCACCGTCAAATCGAGGAAGGTCAGATCCGATCTCACGGGTATAACGCTCTTGGGACCATGGCAACCCATCGAGGTACCCAGACCACCGTTCAGCTTGATGACCACCAACTTGTCCAGCATGTTGCGGATCTGAATGCAATTCAAATTAATTACTAATAGCTCCGGACAAATAAATATTATTAGGATTTAAGGTGTTAGAGAGCAGCAGAGGAGTTGGTTGGTTAAGCTGCAGTTAGGATTTTTAGTACTACCGCCGAGTGTTTAAAAACTAAAGCCAAAACTAAAACAACAACACTACGTTCCAAACAATCTAAACGAAAAGCGTCCAAAGCCCAATTAGTTTAGATTTCTCTAGAGGAAGAGCGACAGATATTTACAGAGAATAGTCTTAAGCGGTGGTGAGAGATCCGCGAAGCATAGAAATTTGTAGGTAAGGGAAAAACGCTTTACCTCATTCTAGGTGCGATACACACACGATTATGTATATATAGTATTTATATAGGCAGACATATAGCCATTATTCAGTGTATTCAAATCAAAGAACATGAAAATATGCAAAGTTTGTAAAAAAAAAAAAATAACAAAATTAAGATAGTTTATATAAATATATTTCATCAGGTGTGGGGGCAGTTCGTTTCGGAATGGGTATCGGGATGATTCTGTGTCAGGATGATAACTGGGAAATTTTAGGGAATTAATGTCTGAAGGACAAGCCCTGTCTGCTTTACCTGCTCATTCTTGGGCAACTTGAGATTCGAGTAGTTCATCACGGCATTCTCGGGCAGTTTCTGGATTTTGTTCCAATCCAATGCGGGACCCTCTGTAAAAAAAAACAGTGTGATATATTAAAACTCATAAAACTATCACATATCATATTGGCTTTCTTCGACTTACCCTCCTGCAAGAAGCGTCCAAAGAGGTCCGCAAAGCGTCCCAACTCCGCCCTGAGCGCCGGCTGACGTGCCGGCTCCGTGGTCTGCAGCAGACGGTCCACATCGTTCTCCAGCAAACGCAGGGCATCCCGCTTGGTCACCTCATGGAACTCCTTTGAATCGGAGGGAGCTCGCTGGTGGCCGCGCACCTGCAAACACACAAAAAACACATTGAATCAGTGCCATGAGTTACACTTGGCGAAACTTTCGAGCCAGATCGATTAGCGTGGCTAGCAAAGCGCATCTGCAAATGCACTCAAGTGACAAAATTAGTGGAGGAAACGCTGACAAAATTGTTGTTATTGCTGGGAGCTGTTGCTGTCGTAAGCCCAATTACAGGCTTGGGTTGCCACTTAGACGAGGGCGTTGCCAAAGACTAGGGAACGGCGACAGTTTTCTTTCAAGCCTGGTGATGACAAGTCGCTGGCTGCTACTGACTTTGCTCCTATATTTAGGGGCCCAAGAGGGCTCCTCGGGTGTGATGGATAACTTTGGTGATGGCCTCAAGATGGCCGGCCAAATGTTTGGTATTAACACTGTCTCGGATGTGGCTAATCTGGTGGCTAAAGCATTTTCGGGTAAATCCCCGGTGCCCGTGGCCAACCTGATGGGTTTCCTGCAGAATGGCTATCAACCGCCGCAAAATAACGATGCTGATGGGGAATCAGAGAGGGAGGAAGAGAATGTCGATCAATCAGAGCAGCAATCGGAAACAGAAAATGCCCAAGAGGAACCGCCGACGGAAAATAGCACGCGTAGACCACCGCCTCTGCCAAGTTTCGATTCCGGACAAATGTTCACAAATATGCTAAGGATGGTGGGTTTTGACACCCGCAAACTGGGAGCTCTGGCCTTGAATGCCATCATCATGATTGCCCAGGCGGTAAGATTCATTGCATAGATAATTTTTGTATAGATTTTCCTTTACAAGATTTTCTCTCTTTAAGATTGGCAGCACTCTGATGCAGGTCACTCGTGGAGGCGGCGGCACCACACTCGATGCGCCGGATGACCTGTATGAGCCCAACGAACATCGCCCACGGTCTTTGTCCATGGGTTCGCCCATCGATTGGTTTCTCCAGCGATCTGACCGGCACAGCAAGCGACTTCTTACGGACATTATGGATCGGGATTTACCGGACCACATAGTGGACATGATTGAGGCAAAGGAACCAAAGGGAGATGGTCCAAAGGCTGGTTGCCTAAAGCTTCTAATGTGCAAGAGCCAACCCATTATCTGGGGCATGCAAGACTCACTAAAGAAAAGGCTGGCTGGAGAGGCCGAGGAACCAGAGGAAACCGATAGTTACTTCAACACAAAAATCTTCTACAAGTATCTGCCCAAAATTGACGATTTCAGAGAGCATGGTGCCAGCTGTGAGAAGAAATACCACGAAGAGTGTCCCAAAAATGCTACAAGTGGAGGTTTTTTATAGGTTTAATAAGCATTTTAAGTTTTAATTATTTAGTTCTTAATTAATATTTCATTAAGCAAACTAACACTGTAGATAATTCTATATTGTTTGTGGTTTTTATAGTAAAAAGAAAGGTTTAACTGCTAAACAACCAAATATTTTATAACATTATTATTCCTTATAATATCAAAAGAAATCACTCGAAAGGTTGAAAATAAACATTTTAAATACAATCCGTAAAGTTTGTCGTAGTTTAATAAACAATTTAGCATTCAATTGCCTTGATCGATCATTTTATGAATCTTATCAAAGACTCAAAAATAATCAATGTGCAGTAAAGTTTACGTCTTTCAATTTGTTTAGCATATTCTATTAGGAAATTATAGCTTTTGAAACCAATTTCCTGGTCCAGACATATTTTTAAAGTCATCTTGGAAACATTATTACAAAATTAACTTTAAATAGATAGATAGATTTCTTGCCATAAATCCACATTATGTTGCAAAAGTATTGCGTCAATCAAAAACGTAAGCGTAAACAAATTCGCACTAATCATAATCTAAACAACCAGCAAAGCTTGACTTTTTAACTGTTTAATGATGAGTTCGACATTCCGATTCAGTCAAGGATGATTGCAGAGATAAGAACCAACCATCCGGGATTACAATCCCAGCCTAGTGTACCATGAAACGACCTCTAAAAATGTGCAACCGAAAGGGCGAATTGTGTAATAATAATATGCAAGATCGCGGCTTTTGTCAACTACACCGCCATTATCGGCCTGCCTCCGCCGGGGTGATAGCTAATCTCTCGGGAGCATTATAAAACCTCAATGTAGCTAATCGCCTAATCTTGGCGTTCCTCTGGTCATGTAGAGTCAGTACTTCGACTTCACGTTGAAATATCTTGAAATCGTGGTCTGATAATCAAATTTAAACGATAAGGTGCATTAATATTAAAATAATAATAGCGAGTAGCCAAGTCATTAATGAAATCTAATTTGCCGTGACGAAATATAATTCAATAAAAAGAACTACCTTATCATTGCCGGAATTTCGTGCTACGTTCTTGGACCTTTCATAATTTTTGTTAAACAACCCCTCAGGTTCTTATCGAATTTAATGGCTTAGTAATAATGACTTGTGGCACATGCCATCGTAAAGTAGTCTTTAATTGTTGGGTAAATATATACAATTTATGCTTGGTTCGTATAGATCGGCATTGACATTCGTTCAAGGTTGTCAATCAATAGCTGTTGAAGATGACAAACTTAGTTTCTTGAACTGAAAACCAAACATATTAATGGGCAAAGGGAAAACTCTAGCAACAGTTGGCGCCTTTAAGCCTTGTCAATCAATGCAATGCGACGTCTTATGCAAAATAATTGCCGTAATCGCTTTTATTTTGCTGTTTCATTACGCAAAGAGGCGGCTTGTCACGCCTACGGCGCCTACAGACAATTGCATGCGGTTTATTTATAATTTTTTTTTTAAGGCAACCGCACTTACTGCCAGCCGCCGCCGCCGCCGCCGCCGCCACTGCCACAGCCGATGAGCAATCTGAGCGATAAGCCAAAGTCAGGGGGCAGGTGTTTGAACTTCGGCAAGGTCAGCAGCATGCTCAAGATAATTTGCCAACTTTAATGCTTCATTGATGGCTTCAGCTTTGGTGTCGTTGGTGTTAATATTATTTATTTTATATTGTTGGGTTAGAAGGCTTTATGCATTCCATCATCACTCAAAGCACAGATGTTAGAAATGCAAATATAATTTAATATTTCGTTTAATAAGCAAAGAACTTTAAGACTCAAAGATTTTTATTGTCAACTCAAAACCTATATTTATACTCATATGATTAATGTAAAGGGTTATTTCGTATGCTTCACATTTAAGACTAAAACTATTAATAATAATACAAAATATATATAGAACAAGAAAGGAAGCTAACTTCGGCACGCCGAAGTTTGTATACCCTTGCAGATATTATTTCATTGCATTTTACCTATACTTATTATGTTGAGAGTTTGACAGTTACAGTTTTACATTCCCAGTTTTACATTTTCCCTACACCTACCGATCGGTTTATATGGCAGCTATATGATATAGTTGTCCGATTTTCATAAAATTTATACCAAAATTCTGAACTAATAAAATAAGCTTATATCCCAGAGTAGAAAAAAATAGTTTGAAAAACAACGAAGTTATAATTTTTTTCTATTAATTTCCTGATCGTTCCTATGGCAGCTATATGATATAGTCGTCCGATTTTCATAAAATTTTTACCAAAATTCAGAAATAATATAAAATGGTCATATGTCAAAAATAGTGCACATATGTTGAAAAACAGCCAAGTTATAATTTTTTTCTAAAAATTTATCGAACATTTGTATGGCAGCTATATGATATAGTCGTCCGATCCGGCCCGTTCCGACATATATAGCAGTGAGAGCATATAGAAGACTATATGCAAAGTTTCATTCAGATAGCTTTAAAACTGAGGGACTAGTTTGCGTAGAAACAGACAGACGGACAGACAGACAGACAGACAGACGGACAGACGGACAGACGGACAGACGGACATGGCTAGATCGACTCGGCTGTTGATGCTGATCAAGAATATATATACTTTATAGGGTCGGAAACGTCTCCTTCACTGCGTTGCAAACTTCTGACTGAAATTATAATACCCTGCAAGGGTATAAAAATAACTAAATACTCTTTTGAGTGTGTAAATTATTGCAATTGGCACTCTAAAGATAAAGAGTTGAACTGAACAAGGAGAAAAGTCTGCCAAACATAGATATTTTATCTTATCGTACAAAAAATAACAGATTTTTTGCTCCATAGAGACACATATTTCTGAAGAAAGGTCTATTAAACATTTATTTTTTTTTTTTTTTGTGCTACAAAGATCTATACTTTTTATTGCCACGCGCCAGATTCGGTAATTTAAGCAAGTTACATGATTTGAACTTCTGTTTTAGTTGTTTTTTTAGATAAGATACCAAATGAGGAAGTGACTTCCCGGTGACATTGATAAAAAAAATATTTTCTTAGGAAAAAGATTCGATTTAAATCGAAATTCTGGATAAAATGGAGCTCGAAAAGAGTTCTTTAGTTTTGCAGTTTATAAAAATAATACAATTGCTCTAATAAGTGGTACATTTCTGTTAAAGATTTATATTCAAAAATATTTTAGGTCAATTAAGCGTGAATTTACGATTTGACTTTGACTAAAACTGATAACATATGAATATATACGCTTTATATAATTTGGGTGATAAGACATTATTATTGAAAGAGGTGTGCGGGTCTCGTAGTGTTTGAGTTTCTTCTTTGTTGACAATCACAATATTTAACAATTCATAATGTACTTTTAGGTGGTTTTAAAGCAACTGTATAATCATTAAAAATCACTTTGTTTTTAAAAAGAAGGAAGCTTGTTTAAGTACTCAAAATTCACTTAAATTGTTCTTTTTAAACATTAAAATCATTGAAAAATCACACATATTAATTGATATACAAATTTTTTATAGGTTTCACCCATATTTGCTCGATTTTGTTTATGGTTTTAGAAGGTAAAACCTTCCGAACTTGGCCCAAATATCGTATTACGAAGGTTTATGTTTTTTATTTATTTGTTTTATTTAACTTACGCCGGCGCGCTGCAGCAGTACATCTATGGGTCTTATGCCGGAAGTCATTTTATGAAACTACGAAACACTAAAGTATCTCAAAGCGAGAATCTCAACTTTTAGTTGTAAGTTCTAAGTGTTTTTTGTTTTTCCTTTGCACTCGCGTGGCTGAGCAAGAGGGCAGATCGCCGAGAAGAAAACAGAACGAGAACGAAGACGAAAACGGAACGGAGGAGAGGCAAGCGAGGCGATGAGAAGTTCGCTGGTCGAGTGTGCAATTGAAAATAAAGCTGGGTTCCGAACGAAATTTGAATTTCAATACGAAATTTTTCCAACACGCGGCGCGACGTCGAAGTCGACGCCGGCAGCGGTGACAAGTGAAGCCAGCAACAAGTGATAGCGCAAAAAAAAAACGGTGCATGTGTGCGACGTGTGTAAGAGTTGAGCAAAACAAAAATTAAACAAAAGGAAGAAGTGGAAAACAACAAGCCGGCACATGAAGAGTGGGTTAAGGGGCAAAAGCAGAGTAAGTGAGAGAGAGAGAATAAATGGAGCTACAGGAAGAAGCAGCACAGCCGGAGGCGCTCTTATCAGCAAGAGAAAAAGAAGTAAAACAATTAAACAATACAAATAACAGCCAATCGCGCACTCGTTTTTCTGATTTCGTTACTAATTTTCGGGGGCACGCACAACTGATAAGAAACGAGCCTTAAACAGATATTATTTTGTGATTTAATAACGGCGACAAATACCAAGACAACTTTTGGCTCCCCCAAAACAGACACACACACCCCCTCACACACATAAACCCACCGCACTGAAGGCGACACATGCCAGTACTTGGAGGTCACTTGAAGGTTAGCGCTATACAACTGCACGCCATACTTATTTACAAAAAAACTAAAGGAAAAACCAGTCAAGTCAATAGGGTAATTATAACAGCAGAAATGGGCCCATAACTGCAGGCCAACTGGAACCGGCAAAATTGCATACACTGTAATATCCAAGCTGCACTCACACTCACTAACACACACTCAGAAAGAGAGACTTGAACCGGGAGAGAGGAAAACTGGAAACGTATTTAGCAATTTAACTGTAAATTACCTTGGCTTCATGGGGAACATCCAACATATTTTTGGCCTTTTTTGTATTAATTGATCACTTGAATATTTAATTTATTTAATTAAGTTGCTTTTGCGGCGCAGCACACACGAACACACACGAACAACGAAAAATAGAGAGCGCGAATGTTTGAGATTAAAATTGTTTGCAAAATTGTTTGGCTCTGCCAAGTGGTTCGAAGACGCCAACAACAAGAACTGACGCTACGATATTAAATTAATTGGGGAATTTCAAAAGATCTCTCGAAGTTCTCGGCAACAAAGCAAAACAAATTTATTCGATTGCTCGATTACTCGATTGCCCGATTTCTTGAAATATCAAGCTTTTATCGATAGATACATTTTCCCTTTCGACCGGCAACCTCGCCGAATGGCGGGTTTTTCAAATGCTAATATTTATCAGCTAGCCTGTGGCAATATGGGTCGGAATCGAGAATATATTTAAGAAAAATACCGATTTCGAGAGAATCATTAAATAGTTTTTTAAGCCCCGACTCAAGGAGGTGGAGAGGGGGCTGGTGTCCACCAAAACCAAATAAATTGGTATTTTATTTGGTGGTTTCCACCCTCTTTGATCTAGAGCCTAGGCTAACTACTAATATTAATAATTTTATTCATTTATTGTTGCTCAGAAATTATGGCCCGCAGTGCTGCCACTTTTCTGCCGCCCCAAAAAAGTTATCGAATGCTGCCCAGCTCTGTCCGTTATCGAAGGCCCCCCAGCTCTTATTTTTGTTTACTTCTCATATTTTCAACTTTTAAGAAAAGAAGCCCTATTTTTGTTCAGGAAAAAGTATAAATTAATTAATTGGACAACATGGGCGCCTGTTTTTCATGCTGCGGCCAGAGCGCCGAGGAGACTAATCTGATGCCCTCGCCTGTGAGTCGCAATAGAGTGTAGAAAAAGCTGTAAAAATAAACTAAAAACTATGCTTTCTTTCTAGGAGGAGCGCCGGCAGCAGCAACTGGACGCGGCGGAGAAGCGTCGCCAGGAGAACGAGCAGCGTGGCATCAAGAATCCGGAGAGCGTACGTCGCCAGCAACAGAGGGCAGAGGAGCTGCAGCGACGCGAAGAAGAAGCCGCCCGTCAGGGTCAGGGACAGGCCAACCTGAGGGTGATTCACCTACCTTTATTTGCTCCAAAAATAGCCCCAATTAACCCCTCTTCTACTTGCAGTGGCAAACGAGCTAAGATCCAAGGGACTAACTCCTCCGTTTTTTGTACTTGACTCCAACCTGTTTCCTGATCTTTTTGTACTTGTAACTTGTCTTTGTTATGGCCACCTGGATGCACCGTCTCAGGGTTTTTCAGCCAGCGACCAAAAATGTACAACCAAAAAATAAAAACACACCAAATTGTTATCAGTGAATAATGATTCGTGGCGGGATTAGTCTAACTAATTCCAAGAATCTAAAATCTACATATGCATCTCTCGGTATTTGTTAATTGCTCGTCATTTCTGTTGTTTATTAAACTGTATTTTATGCTGTACATAGCAATTGTATTGGATAATAAAGACCGTTTATAAATCTAAATAATACTTTGACGATCGGATTTTAAAAACTAATTAAATCTAGAGGCCTCATGCTAAAACTGTTCAATATTTTTAAAAATGACAACTTAAAAATTCTGAAAATAATGTAAATATTCAAATTGTCCTTCTAGGTTACAAATTACAAAGCACCAACCATGTTTTTATTATTAGTATGTAAGTTTATCCTAGGATTATATTCAATACTTGTATTATTTTAAAAAAGTTTCAATTAAAACGCAATTTTATTTAAAAATTTCTTTAAAAACCAGTTTTTAGTATGCTTTTGCGTTATTTTTACCAGACTTTCCCCGCTCCACCTGGCCACACTGTTCCGTGGGGGGGCGGGTGATGCCAAAAGGGGGTGGGTAGACTGTTGATTGCATTTAATGGCTGTCCAAGGTCTTCAGATGATTAAAACTCACCAATTTACCGACAATCTCTTATACGTAAACAACCGTTTATAAATCCATCATCCGCTCACTGTTTACACCCGCTTTAACAACCCTTATCAGCTCTCTATTTGAGGCTATTATTCCCGGTCCCGTCGTCTCTGATAACATGGTTATCTCTCCGTGTGACTCGTCGTAGGCCCAGCAGGCAGCTTCGTTCGCTCATTGATTGGCGGTCAGTCGTCGCGGTTACTCCAGCTCCAGCTCCTCCTCCCACGTGAAACCACAGAAAAGATGTCCACTTCAGGTTCCAATGCCAAGCGGGTTCTGTCCATCCAGAGTCATGTGGTCCATGGCTATGTGGGCAACAAGGTGGCCACCTATCCCCTGCAGGTAAGCTTTTTAGCCCACATTGATGTCTTGGCTATGTCAAACGGCTATCTTTTTCATCCATTAGCTACTGGGCTTCGATGTGGACCCACTCAACTCGGTGCAGTTTTCCAATCACACGGGCTACAAGAGCTTCAAGGGACCCGTTTCCAACGAGAAGGAATTGGGTAAGGTCAAAAAATAAACTAATAAAAGTTATCAAGACTATAACGCTCACCCATTGCAGCCACAATTTTCGAGGGTCTGGAGGAGAACGAACTGCTGCCACAGTACTCTCACCTGCTGACAGGTTATATCGGAAATCCCCTGTTCCTGCGCCAGGTGGGCATCATTGTGCAGAAACTGCGCCAGGCTAATCCCAAACTGGTCTACGTCTGCGATCCCGTGATGGGCGACAACGGGCAGCTGTATGTACCCAAGGAGCTGCTGCCCGTGTATCGTGATGAAATTATTCCCCTGGCGGACATCATCACGCCCAACCAGTACGAGGTGGAACTCCTCACAGAGAAGGAGGTGCGCAGCGAGGCTGCCGTTTGGGAGGCAATGGATTGGTTCCACAAGCGCGGCATCAAGACGGTGGTCATTTCCAGCAGCGATCTTGGCCAACCGGGCGTACTGCGCGCCTTCCTCAGCCAGCTGGATGGTCCCCGTCTGGCCATCGATATACCCAAGCAGGGTGGCAAGGATCTGGTCTTTACCGGCACCGGTGATCTCTTCGCCTCGCTCTTCCTGGCCCACAGCCATGAAAGCAGCGATGTCGCCGCCGTCTTTGAAAAGACCATTGCCAGTCTCCAAGCGGTGATCAAGCGCACGGTGGCGGCATTGCCCAATGGAGGAAACGGTCCAGTGAAGGCCACTGAAAGGGAGCTGAGGCTAGTGCAGTCCAAGGCGGAGATTGAACAGCCCCAGGTAGTGCTCAGGGCGCAGCGACTTAACTAGAAAGGAAGAGCACGAGCACAGGCCCGGGTCAACGATTACCTTAATTATAGTACATATTATACTTGTTCACGGACAATAATCTTTTGATACCTTGAGATCAGCATTGTTATAGGAAAATATACATATTAACATTATAAATCAAAAAATGAAAAGTAAACTCACCATAAACATGCTCTTTGATACCTTAAGTTCAACATTTTATACGCATGATTATAGCAATTACTTATACAAATATACAAATCAAAGTGTCAGCTATTAATTTCGAGTACATTTCCCCCTGTTGACATCTCAAAAGAGCCACTCACCGTCGACACGGTTCTTGCCCTTGGCAGCCAGGTGCGCCGGCCTATAAAAAGACTCTCAACAATCCCCAGAAATAGCAAACAGTTGAGATACTACAATGTGGCTGCTCGAGGTAATCTTTATTGCCTGTCTGGCGGCGGCCTCCGTGAGCGGAGCCGCGGGGGAAGTTAAGCTCCCCACGGAGCAGGCCTTTGTGCCCCGCTATACGCCCGAGAGCAAGCGTCAGGATCTGGATTTACCCGCCTCGGGGCAGAGCCTGGAAGAGCAGCAGCAACTCAGACCTCCTGTGGCAGGCGACAAAAAACCTTGGCGGCGACGCGTGGACTACGGTTACGATGGCGTTTCTACGGCTGCCTGGTCAGCGGCTCCCTCGCCACCGGCCGCCATCCTGTCCATTCTAAATCCCCTGCTGGCTCCTGGTTTGCTCCTGCTAGGCGTTAATTTGGGCGCCCTGCTCTACATGCTGCTGGGACTTTTAGGCCTGGCTCCGCATCGTAGCAGCAGCAGGAGTGGCAGCATTTCCCAGGCCTGGCCAACTCACAGCGATGAGATCCTCTACAGACACAATCTAGGTGAGGGGGGCAAGGAAACGGCTGTATATTTTTAAATAAAGAGCGTAAAACGCTCAGCATTTTCTTTGAACTTATCAGAAAAATAAACTTGAGAAAAACATACAAAAATAAAATCAAAATGAAAAAGTTTCGGGTCAAAAAAGAACGAAAAGATAGAACTGGTGCTTGGTTCGATTTGGGGCTAGTGTACTATCTATATCTATATAGTTATAGCTATGGTTAATTTAATCATGAATCTGCCTGACTGGATTCATTTACTTCTTCAGCCGAAAAGAGGCTGCTCGATTGAATTTGACCAAGGGCGCTTCTTTACTCGCCGATCCCAAGGGTTTTCGCGTCAGCTTCGAGGTGCCAGCAACGGCTGTGAATAAAAATAAGAATTATAATCGAAGAGTTTAGACATTAAACTTCTCTGTATAACTCACCCTTGGCCACCAGCACTCGCGGACTTTTGCGCACATGGTTGGCATTATATTTAACGTTCTCCTTGGCCAGCGAAGCCGCCGCCAGCGTTCGCTTCAGGCCCTGGGTGGTGAAGTGATTAGAGTTGAGGAGAACTGCAAAATAAACAAATGTTAATTATAATACTTGTTTATATTTTGAACTGCTACAAATTCCTACCCTTTTTGATCTTCTCGCTGTCGCCGCGTACGTTTTGGTCGGTCATCATCTCGCAGAACGTCAGCTTGTGGGCATTTTTGGGCTTGGTGACCGTCGACGTCAGAGGCTTCTTGGTTACTGAGCTGGCGGGGGCTACGACCTGTGTCTCGTTGAGATTGCGCGGCCTCTTGAATGTCATGTGCAGGTCTTCGCCCTCCGATTCTATCACCTGGCTATCGAACTCCTCCAAACTCAGGTGGAGATCATCGTCATCGCTATGGACGGGCTGACGCAGTCGCTTCCTGGCGCTGGACGTCAAGCTGCTGGAGGCGACAGCCTCATCCTCATCTTCTTCCTCCTTTGCCGCTAACCCGTCCAGCAGGCGATCGTTCACCGCCAGGGAGTCCATCTCTGCCATCTTCGTGTTGGCCTCTGATTCGGCGAAGCGCATCTTGCGCTGCAACCGATCATATACTGCCTGGATATCCGGCGTTAGCTTGCTGCCATCCTCCAGGCGGTCGTACATCTGGTTGAGGACTTCACAGGCGGCACGGAAGGATTTGCGCAACAGGTCCGAGTTCTCCACCAGCTCCTGGTTAATGGCGCTCACGTGGCTGTTGAATTGGTTCTGCTTGGCCAGCTGCAGCTCGAGATCCTTGTACTTGACGTACACGATGAGGATCTGGTAGGCCTTCGACTTGTTTACCTCGCGCTTCAAGCTCTCGAGGTCCTGGTAGGCGCACTCCATCTTGGACCGCCACACAGGCAGCTCATCCTTGTATTTGTCGTTCTGGCTGGTCAGCAGGCTCATGTAGTTGGCAAAGCGACGGAAGTCCTGGAAGATACAACACAAATTATTTAAACAAGGAATTAAATATTTTAATTTGTTTAACTTTCAAAAAGTCCGCCATAAAAAGCATTTTTTGTGATTTTTTTTACAACGAGTTGGCAGTCCCCTTACTCAACAGCTGTGGCGCTGCCCCCTCTCAGTCGCATTTAATAAACAAAATAATTTAAAATAAAATAAATCCCACATAATGCTACGAAATACGTTGCATTTAGCCTCTCTGGGTGTGCGCCAAGCCCGAGTGGCCAATTTTCTGCCAGGATTCACTCAATTACTCCAAAAGCAGCCACTGAAGGCCGCAAGCCAGCAAATAGCGCGCGATTATGCAAAAAGCAAGGACAAAAAGAGGGAAAAGGGCGGCAAGGGCGGAGGAGGAAAGGCCGCCAAGGTGGAAATCAACGAGCAGCAGCTTCGCGAGATCCTTAACTTCGATGGCCTCAACTCGCAGATGCAAAAGAATCTCCTTCAAATGAAGGAGGACTTTGTAAAGCACCTGTCCCTGCGCTCCACCAGCGGCGCCATCGATACGCTGCGCATCAAGGTCGATGGCCAGGAGCACGAGCTGCAGGAACTAGCACAGATTTCACGCAAAAATCCCAAGACCATCATTGTAAACATGATCGGGTTCCCGCAGACCATACCCGACGTGCTCAAGGCCATCGAAAAGAGCGGCATGAACCTGAACCCGCAGCAAGACGGCACCACACTGTTTATACCCATCCCCAAGGTGACCAAGGAGCATCGCGAGAACCTGTCCAAGAACGCCAAGGCTTTGTTTGTCAAGTACCGGGACGCGATTCGAGGTGTCCAGAACGAGCATATCCGGAAACTGAAAAACAAGCCCGAACTGGGCAAGGACGATGCCTTTGCTGCCCAGGCTCAGGTCACTGCCATTGCGGATCGCTTCATTTCGGAGGCGGACAAACTGTTGGCCAGCAAGCAGAAGGAGTTGCTGGGTGACTAGCACTTAAACTGAGACTGATCCCTGATAAACCCTTAATTGTTCCTCTAAAAAGCCTTTTTAAATTGTTAATAAATCATGAAATAGAGCACTCACCTCTTGGCACACTCGCTGGTCGAGGGACATTAGCTTCCTTAACTCTTCCAGCTCCTTCTTGAGCGTCTGCCGGTAGTTGATGTTCTTGATCTTGCTGCGCATGGCGAGGACATGCTCCTGCAGCTGGCGGGCTGTCGCATATACAGCGTCTATCTTTCTGTACCACGACTTGAGCTCCTGCGGATCGAAGCCACTGTTGCCGGCCCGCTCCAGCTGGGCTGCCTTGGTCTCCAGCGACTTGTTGCGCTCCTTCAGACGCTCATTCTCGGCCACCACCTCGTCGATCTTCTTCACATAGAACTCGGTGGGCATCTTCGATTTCAGCACGTTCTGCTTGAGCGTGGTGCGAATCTTCTTGGCCCGACTCGCGTACTTCAGTGTGTTGTAGGTGTCCTCGTAGGTGAGCGAGCTCATCGAGACGTTGGCCACCATCAGAGTGCGGCAATTGCCGCCCAGCGAGTCCTTCAGGATGCGTGTCAGGTTCGAGTCACGGTAGGGTATGTGCTTGAGTCCATCGGCCAGCTTGTTGATGCAATTGCCCAGCGACAGGAGACTCTTGTTGATGCTGGCGCCCTCCTTGAACCGCACCCCAATGCCCTTGGTGCTCGCCGCTCGCTCGCTACCCGCCAGATCGATCATGGATAGCTTTACGGTCCGTTTGGTGTCCGTCTTGCGCTCCGTGATGCGTATGTGCACCTGGAAGATAGCGTGCGAGCGAGAGCTCTCCGCATTCGCGTCGGTGGGATGCTGGGTGCGATGTGAGTTGCCCAGGGCCAGCATTCGCAGCAGCTCCTCGGCACTGTAGATGGGCGTGAGGCAGAGGCCGCTTACCACCACGCCGTTGGTGTCCTCGCGCAGTTTGAGAGGCCCGGACTTGGTCAACAGGTTCATCACCTGCTCGTTATACACCTCCAAATAGGAGACGCCCACATCGAACTTGCGCACGTCGCTCTGCGCCTGGATCTTCTCGAAGAGATCGCGCATGGTGAGAAAGGTCAAGCCGGGATGCTCCTCGCTGCCCAGCATAGTGAAGGTCTTGCCGGCTCCAGTGGCTCCATAAACGAACACCGAGCAGTTGTACCTAATCATTAAGATTCAAAGTTTAATGGAGTTTCAATACAGCGTTTAATGCTTTGCTCACCCAGCCAGCACCGCGTCGACCAGCGGCGCCGTGCACTCCTCAAATAGATCCTGATTGGTGTTGTCAATGTCGAAGACACGATCAAATTCCATGGTCAGCTTCTTGTTCATCCGCTTGGTAATGTCGCGATACTGCTGCTTGGCGCCCTGGAAGAAGAACTCGTCGTCCTCCTCGTCCGGATCAAAGAGGAGCGCCGACCGGTCCATCACCTTCACTATGCTCCTTTGCTTGTGCTCCAACTCCCGGGCATTGTACGGCCGGACGCGTACCGCCACCTTTATGTTCGTATGCTGTTCCGCCGGCATTTCCACTACTTCACTTCACTTGCTGACGCTTAATTTTTCCCCTTCTTTTCAGTTTGTTTTCGTTTCTTCCTTGCGAAATAGATCGTCGCTTTCGCGGCACAAATAATTTTTTCGTACAGCCTGAAATGAACGTTGTTGTTTGAATCGAGGCTATCGGCGCGTGCGCTTTGGGGGCATCTTTATCCAATTCGCTTTTGTACGCTGGTTCCGAACTGTATTTTCAGGGCTGCTACTGGAGATCGATAGTTTGACTAGGGATGCAAAGACAGCATGTAAAAATTAACGGAAATATGAGGTTGCTATTATGATTTCCAAAGAAATTATGAATAGAAAATGGCATTTTTCTCTAGATTTTATAATCAAATATATTTTATCAGCTAAAATGTGCAAATTACGCATATAAACGTAATAAATAACAGTCTAAAATCATGTTCTCAAACCCTTTATCGATACACAGATTTTCTACATTACTCAGATGGAAAACTACCATTTTATTGACAAAAAATATAAATTTTAACATGGTTGACAGTTTAAATGTTTTAAAATATATTGAACTTTTATAAATTATAGTTTATAAATGGTATTACTCATATATAAAAATACATTATGAATTACGTTTTAAGATTACGTTTTTGATTACTTTACGTTGTTCGATAACTCGTGTGTTCAGCAAAGTTTCCAACCCCTTTCAGGGTTGCCTTTTTCCGATTTCCCTTTTGCATTTTTGGTTTTCTGCCATCGCCACGGTCACACTGAAAAGAACCATTTTATTTAAAGTTTTTTTAAGGATCAGCACAAAAGCCAACAAAACCCGACACACAAATAACAGACCACAGAATGAGTGCAAAAGTATTATTCGCCTGCTCCAAGTGTTTCTCGCGCCACCCGTACGAGGAGCTCTCCTCCGGCCAGCAGCTATGCAAGGTGAAAAAGCAGCAGCAAAAAAATGCAAAAGAGAAAAACCACCGACGACGACCTGACACTTGAAACAATAAAATAACGCCGACAAACAAAATGCAATATCTCTGCTTGCTGGCTGGCTGTTAGTGTGTGTTTGTTTGTTCGTTCACATCCCTGACGAGCGAAAAATATATCTAAATGACGCGGCGCTGCTGCTGCTGTGCGAAAACTTGCTGCGCAAATCGGGTGAAAATGCACGGTTGCAAGAAGAAGAACAGGGCAGAGGCAGGCGTCGCGTCTGTCCGGAGCATTTAAACAAAAACAAACGCACAAAAGCCAAGCTGGGAATCAAACTAAAAGAGAAAAGCTAACAATGATTCATTTTCGCAGGGCTGCCGTGGATCTACCTCAGTTGTTAAATGTACTTACTGCCGCTCGGAGTTCCAACCCGCCACGTAAGTACCAAGCCGCACATAAAGCCTCTATATCTGAACTATACCAGCTACCGTGTTCCACAGCAACAGCAACAAATCACAGAGTGCCTGCAAGAAGTGCGAACACTACCTGGGGAAGTACGGCAAGCCCAGTCCCTGCGAATGCTGCAAGATTGTGGCCGCCTTTGGCAGCTCCAAGTGCATGCGGTAAGTTTAAACCAAGAGCAAGACCACGACCAAGATCTCGTTTAGTAGAGCGTGTAACTTGAATGCACAATATGCGCAGAAGCTTCTGTGAAACCTATGTATATGTTCCCTTTTGTATTACCCGTAATTGTGCCTTCAAAGTACCTGGCCCCCTTTGATAAAGTAGACTCCTTGCTCCCTCCCCAAAAAAACAAACATATTTCCAGGAAAACAACAACAACAACGTCTCTTATGAACGCAAAACATTTTTCTTCTTCTCTTTTTTTGTGCCTGGCAAAACCAAAACCCCGAAACCGAAAACGATTACGAATGAATACCCCACAAATTCGCACTGTCTTACTTGCCGATCCGTATGTAGATGCGCCAGCTACGAGGCGAAGTATGGACCGCCGGTGCAGTGCGATGAATGCAAGCTGCGATCGGCCTTTGACAGGCGGGATGAGAACAAAAAGGTCAGCCTCAAAAGTATACACACGCAAAGAGCAGCCGCCGAAGGAAGCAGACAGCCAGACTGCCAGCCACCCTTAATGTTAAATAGAAAGAAAAAAACCCTAAAATTAAGCCAAATAAATGTAGAAACTTGTTGTGGGTCAACTGTACCCCTGCAGATATACACAACGATATAGATCGCGCGCGATTCCCAGAATCATGTACTTGCGTTCATAAGAGACCAGATTACCACCTAAGCCTTTTTCTGTGTAACCCAAACTGACCATAAAATGTATCTTCTACCTCTTTTTTTTCTCTCCAAAAGGTCAATGGCAAACTGCTCTGCTGGCTGTGTACCTGCGCCTACAAGCGTGCCCTGCTGAAGGCACAACAGGATGGCCGAATACCCATGTCGAAAAAGCGGCCGCACGAGAAGTCCTCGTCCTCGCACAGAGACAACAGCTCAGCGGCCAAGAAGCCGTCGCGCAGCGAGCTGGGCAAGAGCGGCAGCGGCGGCGGCAACAGCAGCTCCGGCGTGAATGCAGTTAGCGGGGCCGGGTTAGATTTGCCCGACAAGATATCGCGCGGTAATGGTGGGAACGGAACCATCGCAGCACCCGCTGCCATCACCGTGGACACCAATTCGTCGGATCATGTGGTGGCTATTACATACCTAAAGGAGCGCATAGCCAGTCTGGAGAAGCGCTTGAATCAAAAAGACAAGGAACTGCTGGAGAAGGACAAGCAGGTGGGTGGCCATACCCATGACCCTCTACTGGCAATAGTTTCATCTCTCTTTTTCTTTCAGCTAACCGAACTGAAGGGCAAGAACTTTGAGAAGGAAAACGATATGCGCAACCGGCTGAAGGAGGTAGAGCGCCTGCATGACATGAAGGTGGATAACCTGAACCGAAAGATCTCCAGTCTGCTCAAGGATCTGGCCACGCTGAAGAAGAGCAGCAAAGGCAAGGGCAGCAGCAGCGGCCTCAGCAAGGCCGAGAAGGAGGCCATCAAGCGGGAGAATCTTTCGCCCAAGGAGGAGCTACTCACGGCGGCACCAGTGCCGGCGGAGAAGCAGCAGATCAAACAGTCACCTTCGGAGCCGGCTGATCTGGACAAGGATGAGAAGAGTCGTGATCGTGACGAAGAACGCAGCGAGCCAGAAGATCGGGCCAGTGTGCGATCGCGTTCCGCCTCCAGCAGCCCCACGCCCTCGTCCAACTGAGAGGGGCTGCCGCTGCTCCGCCTAGTTTTTCGCTATACAAATTTATATTTTTGTACTTTTGCTTTAATTGTAATATAGTTTTACAAGATTGTTTCATATCACTCTTTTTTATGTCTCCCTCCTCTACTCCTTCCTTCCTCCGTGTTCCCTTTGTAATCAGTTTAGAAAATGTAATTTGATAGGCTCAACTTAACGAATTCTTCTTTAGTTTAATTCAACGATGGAGAACAACATAGAAACCAAGAACAAGCATTGTTTACATTATAAGAAATATATAAAAGTTGGGAAAGATAAAGATTCCAGTATGGTTGGTATTTCAACAGTCGTATATATTTACTACTACTAAAAGGTGTAACAATAATGACTTGCGAGCTCCGCTAGTGCGGCTTGGGCTTGTGCCCGTCCACGTAAAAGTTCCTGGTGGCCTTGGGAAGCTCCAATTCCATGCCCTCCATGCTCTTGTCGAGCAGTATCTGGCAGCCGAGGCGGGAGTTTTCGCGCAGGAACGGTGCCATGTCCAGCAGATCGTCTTCCTTCTCCTCCGCCTCGTTCAGCTTTTCCAGGAAGTCATGATGGACATACACATGGCAGGTGGTGCAGGCCAGGGAGGCCTCGCAGGCGCCCTCCATCTCGATACCGTGGCGATGGGCCAAATACAAGACATTGTCGCCCACCTTGCCCTGGACCTTGGTGCGTTTGCCGTCCTTGTCCACATAGGTGATGTTTACACTGGATTTTAAGGGGTTTCTTTAGTGATTTGTTGAGGATTTTCCTGGCTTAACTCACATTTCCTCGGGGGACTTGGGATCCTGCCACTCGTACTCGCCATGCCGCCGCGCTGCGAATTTCATAATATCAATGGGGATTTTCCGCTTACAATAATCAGCAGTGATTCCAACATTCCGCCGGCTCTTCCCATCATCATTCCATACTCACGTATGCTGGTGTGCAGCAGGTGTGCATTGATAGCAGGTGTGTTGAGCGCGGGCTTGGCAATCTGTTTACTAATTAATTTGCAGGAATTACGAACTCCGGACCGCCGTAGAAGTAAACAAATCATTTTTTTGAGGTTACAGAGTGTCTAGCTAGAGATGGGAACCTGTTACATATGTGTCACGGGTTATCAGTGATTACAATTGAATTACAATTAAAACGGGGAAATATGAATATTTTCTATAGCAATTATATAAATTATAAGATTTGGTTTAGTTCTTGTCATTTCTTTCATGCTGTTTTATTCATTTTAAAACTTTAATTTTATTTATATTTTGGTGAAACCGTTACTGAAAGCTATTGATATCAAAGATCTATCGGTGCTAAAGCTGGAAATCGATTTATTTCCAGCCCTGACTAAAAGCTATCGACAGCTATGCTTTTGGCGGGCTTTCATTTAAAATTCAAGACGTTGGGGGGATTGTTTCTCTGGGAAAAGGCTGGAGATAAAGCTCTCTTAAGTATGATTGACATCTGGGGACCTTTTTTAAATATGCACAGCTTGGGATCCCGCATAATTGAATAAGGGGAAGCAACAGTATTAAACATATGTACACCGTTAGCTTATCACAAGGAATTTTATACATTTCAGACTGTAATTTGTAATATATTCAGATATTAGAAAAGTGACAACTAAAATAATTCTTGTTAAGCAAAAGCTTTAGCTTAAGGCTATAAATACCCATTTAAATAATATTTAGGTCAAATTCACTTCAATCCCGTCGATCCCTTTGATTAAATCAAAGACCCAACAATTACTGAGACATTCATGTTCCTTTATTAATACTTGATTTCGATTAGTCTTAAATTTGAATTGGACATTAAAATGTTAATTAATTAGGCTAATAAATAAATTAATAAATATATAGTACGATGTGTGCGTAATTTCGTGACATTTTTGAGTGCAACGATAAACGAGAGTCTTGGGGAATCACTTGGCTGCAAAGACTGCAAATTTGGGATGTCTTGGATACTGGATTTTAGATTTACTTGGCCTCCGAAGCCGAAGCGGAAGCTGGCGAAGCTCCAGACTCCTTGTGCCCATTGCCGTTCTGGAAGAGATCCGAGGGACCCACATGCTTGATGGGAATTACCCGTTCCTTTGGCTCCTCCTTGGCGGCCAGAGGAGGCACCGTTATATTGAGCACTCCATCATCAGTCAAAGTGGAGGCAATGGCATCCGCATCAAACTCCTTGGGCAGAGGATAGCGACGGATAAAGTGGCGGGACACATGGCCGTGCTCATCCTCCCGCTCCTCGTGCTTGCCCTCGACCACGATGAAATCGTTGACCAGTTTAACGGTCAGCTCCTCCGGTTGGAATAGTCCGACGTCCAGATGGACCTCGAAGTTGCCCTGCTTGTCCCGGCCACCACTGCCGCCCAGAGCGGCCAGCTCGCCGCTCCGCTTCTTGGCCACCAAATGATGGGCATGGGCTCCCATCCGGGCAATCAGTCCCAGAGTGTGCAGATCCAGCTCATGATGCTGGCGCGAATGGAGCCGCCGGTACAGACGGTTTGGGAACATGTCGTGCCCATAGTACATGGAGTCCGGAGAGTCCAGGTTCAAGACAAACGGAATATCTGGCATTTTTCTTGAGTCCTCTTTTTGTATTCTGTATCTGGCGGAAGTTCGATGAACCGACGACCTGCTTTCCTTTTCACAAAACCTTAGCCAGGGGTTGATTTGCCAGCGGGGTGGAGGTGGAGGTTTTACTGTCCGAACTGCACTTTCACCTTGACTTTTCCAACTCGAATGTGGAGTTTAACTGACTGGCTTCACCCTTTTATAGACACTGGCTCCGTTCTGGCAGAGCTTTCCCCCACGAAGGAAGCTTTTCTGGAGCAACAAATGGGACGGACAGTAGCTGGTTTGGAAGATTCTGGGGCGACAACTGGGAACCTTCTGGCGGCAAAGCTTTCGGAGATGTGCGTCGCTGGCTAAACCGCAGACAGCATTCGAATTTGATCTGTTTAGCCTAGACAGTGGAGACTCTTTATATTAGATCGAAAGGTTATTTGTAATCTTAACTTTTTTCAAACTAATTGAATAAATATGACATTTTTTTAGAAAGAATTTTTATTAGAAACCCTATTTAAATCCCTTAAAATTCGGTGGCTAAAGGTAAGGGTAAAGGTTATAATAATAAAACATGACATTAAACCAATCTCATATTAGGTTTCTCACCTGTAGAGCATATAGCATGCTGAGTCTGACAAATCTTATTTAAAATTTAAAGTGAAATCGGATCGAGGGGCCCCCCGCCCAAACTTGGCGCCTCATCAAGCGAAAAATTAGCGGAATCTCCAGCGCCGACGTCGAGGAAACTGACAGAGCAAACAAGGCGACACCTCAAAAATCAGAATGCGATAAGCCGCCGTAGGTGGAGGTGCAAACAAACCCGAAAACCCGAGCCCCATAAATGTATCCACTGGGGCCGGCCGGCAAGTCAGTTGTGATTTAGCTACCGATTCAGGTGAACTGCGTGCTCTAACGTCTAGAAATCCACAATGGCCACATACGAGCAGGTTAAGGATGTGCCCAACCATCCGGAGATCTATTTGATCGATGTCCGGCGGCCGGATGAGCTAAAGCAGACGGGCACAATTCCAGCCAGCATCAATATACCCCGTAAATTGTAATTTGTTTACATTCAATAATTATTTTACTAATAATACATTACTTTCTCTTTTAGTGGATGAACTGGAGAGGGCTTTGAACCTAGATGGAGCTGCATTCAAGAGCAAATATGGCCGAACTAAGCCGGAAAAAGGAGCAAAGATTATATTTAGCTGTCGGTCGGGTAATCGGGTTTTGGAGGCCGAGAAAATTGCCAAGGGACTGGGCTTTTCCAAGTGAGTTTTCTCCTGAATGCTTAAAAATTTCTGCTAAATAATTATAATAAATAACAATTCCTAGTGTGGTGATCTACAAGGGCTCCTGGAATGAGTGGGCCCAAAGGGAGGGTCTCTAAGGACTTCGACTTATAATTTGTTTGATTTGAAATTATAATATTATTAGTAAAATGGGTTATGGAATAAATAAATACTTTCTTATTGGCCTTAAAAACCCTGTAAACTACGCCCATGGATAGCAATACAGAGAAACACAAACACACGCTTATCACATCCAGACACAGACACTCTCTCCTCCACCACCCACTCTAGGTTTCTCGCTCCCCCTCACTAGCTTTAAAGCGCTCTCTTCGTCGCCATAAAAAACCTGACCTGCCCGAAGGCGAAAAGAGAATTTTAGCAGGCAAACAAAAAATGTAAATAAACGCTGAGAGTGCGCGAAACTTCTACAAATTTCTATAAGTATTCTATAAGTCAGATATAGCAACCCCCAGATAAATGCCATTGCCCGATTTCAGCCAAAGCGGAAAATTGCATCAGCTAAGGGCGAAGAAAGTTCGAGAGAGAGCCAGTTAGTTCTCTCTCTTGACAAAACAGTATAAATAGCAGCCGGGAAAGCGCCCGCTCTCAGTTCAAAAAAAACCAAACAAAAGACAACTTGCTAAAAACAAACAAATAAGCTAAAATTTCATCAATTTGAGAAGAAATTACAAAGAATAAAAATATTAAATATTGCACCAAATAAATAGAATTTTACAAAGTCAAACTAAGCCTAAGAAACAGAAAACAAGGTTGAAAATATATTTATAAACTAAAAGGTAAGATAAATTAACTAATTTTAAAATTTTAATTAAATAATACCTAATTACCTTTTTTTTTAATTTCTAATCTCCCACAGAAATATATTCATATAAAAAAAATCACTATGCGTTCCCTGCCCATGTTTTTCCGCATGGCCGAGGAGATGTCCCGGATGCCCCGACTCACCTCGCCTTTCCATGCCTTCTTCCACGAGCCGCCCGTATGGAGTGTGGCTCTGCCGCGGAACTGGCAGCAAATTGCCCGCTGGCAGGAGCAGGAGTTCGCCCCGCCGGCCACCGTCACCAAGGAGGGATACAAGCTCACCCTGGACGTCAAGGACTACGGTGAACTCAACGTCAAGGTGCTTGACGAGAGCGTTGTTCTGGTGGAGGGCAAGTCAGAGCAGCAGGAGAGCGACCAAGGAGGTTACAGCTCTAGGCATTTCCTCCGGCGCTTCGTTCTGCCGGAGGGTTACGAGGCTGACAAGATCACATCCAGCTTGAGCAGTGACGGCGTCCTCACTATCAATGTGCCCAATCCGCCAGCGGTGCAGGAGGCACTTAAGGAACGTGTGGTCCCCATTGAGCAGACTGGAGAGCCGGCCAAGAAAAGCGCTGCACAAGCGGAGGAGTCCATTGAGAAGTGAACTGGAGATGGACACGGTGTATTGACTGAAGTGTAACCATTGCTAGTGAACCCCATAGTGATTATGTATTGCTAATTCCGAAAGGAGAGTCTCAGAATTCATTATTGAAAAAAAAAAATTGTTTTAAAATCCTTACCGGTTTCTGTAGCACCTTTGATACATTGAAATCAATTAAGCAAATATTTTTTTAATGTTTTATTTTAAAATATATTTAGAAAAAATAAATGTTAAATATGAACTATTCCTGAACAGCATATTTGCGTTAATTACTGAACTCAGGAGGGGGGAAATATTATAATAATAATATCGTTATTTAAATCTAAAATTAAAAATATTTAATATTATTTGGAATCTAGTTTTTTGGAAGGGTATACTAGCCCTCTTTTGATACATAATACAATGAAATTCAAACTTAGTAATTTTTTTTTAGGACAGGAGGTTTCTCGATGCGTTTTGAATTAAAATTTCCTTGACTAATAGTAATAGGGATACGAAATTATAAGTTTAACAAAAGGAAATTGTACGGAAAGTAAACAACACATATCCCTATCTAAGAACATAAATGTAAAATTATTATTATTACACATTAAAAGAAAAATTAAAATAAAATAAATATAAAAAAATAAATGAACAATAAAGTTCTCAAATATGACACGGTCTTTCAATACCTATGAAAAACATGCATTCAATTGTCTTAAAAATATACATACATAATTACCAAAAATATTAGAAAGTAAAGCAGAAAACAGCTTTCTCTACCTAGGAAAATACTCATAATAAACAAATAAAAATATGTACTTTCGTTTTTATGCATTTTCGAATGGCACCTTGGCCCCAGCTGCTACCTTTTCCGCTTCCTTCCTTGGACGCCGTGACGTAGCCAGTTGACGCGGTTCCAACTAGCCATACAACATCGGCGCTGGCCTCGCCTTTGCCACTGCACTTGACCGATCCGTTGATTCGTTTCGATTCCGCCCCGATGCACCTCGTCCGGATGAGTCATCCTCGTCGTCTGTGCCATCCGCATCGCCGCCGCATCGTCCGAGGGCAGTTGGTCATCTATAAAAGAGCTGACGGCGGCGGCGACAAATTTTATAAGAATTTCGGACTCGCTAGCAAACGAATCGCAGCCTCAATCCCGGCCAGAAATGTCACTAGTGCCCACAACATATCGCGATCTGTCGCGCGAGTTGGACCGACCTCGTCCGCTCTACCAGCCACCGTACGACTTCCAGCTGTATCCCTATCTCTGGGACGATCCACGGGTCTGGTGGCCAGCCAGTCACAGCAGCCGGAGTGACTTGCTCCGTCCATTGGACGAACTGGTGTCGCGTCGGGTGCGCAACCAGTTGATCCAGTCTACGCCTTACGAGTGGTCCCATCCCATGCGGTGGGACAACTACTACTCCGGCGAGCGGGTGCATGTGGACGAGAAGGGCTTCCGGATTGACATCGATGTGCGGCAGTTCCATCCGCACGAGATCGTGGTAAAGACCAACGATGACTACATCATTGTCCAGGGCAACCACAATCGAAGGAACGAGGGCTCCAATGGTCTGGTGGAGCGGCACTTTGTGCGCAAGTATCTCCTGCCACGCGGCTACAATGCCAACGAGGTGATCTCGGACATATCCAGCGATGGAATCCTTACCATCAAGGCGCCGCCACCGCCACCGGCCAAGTACTATACGCCTGGTGAACGCCTCGTCCGTGTCCACGAGACCGGAAAGCTGGCCCTGCCCTGGAAGTAGATCGGTGGATGGATCCCCGCAAGAAACAGTTTCCCAAGGTTAACTATTTTCGGACAGCAAGCCAAGTGCAGCCGAACATTTGAATTGGATTCAAACATAAATAAAAATACAAAATGTACGAGTACGAGTGTAGGTAAAATATAGTATAAAATGCGCAATAAATATTTGGTATAAAGAAGGAGGATCGGCCCGTTGGGTTTCTATTTACATATATGTATCTCGTCGCGCCCAAATGCAGGCGTCAATGCTATAGGTGGGAAAAATATGTACTTATTTCGGTAATATTATTTCCTCATTCGATCAATTTATAATGCTATAAATTATAATTAATGAAACGATTTGAAGGTTTATTTCAGGCACTATTTAGTGGTCACAAAAATGAAGCTGTTTTAAAATATAAATTTATTCAATGAACACAACTCTTATAAGGATAACATACATTATTAACAACAAAAAGGGGATATTTTTTAAAATTCTTAGTAAAATCCGGATTGATTCCCGTATCTTTATAGTAACAAGACATTACAAAAGGGACCTTTACTACTTGATGCGCTCCTTCGAATACAAAATATTTCCTTAATAACCAAGACTACTGCCAAGTCCTAAATATTAAACAAAAATCAATACATAGAGAAAGACTCCCACATTTCCAAAATAAATAATACCACAGTTAATTACATTTGCCACACCAGGTGAACAATATATTTTAATAAGTTAATTCTCAAGTCTTTAGCTCATTACAAAATGCCAGGCAATAAATAAGGAAGAGATACAGATGCAGGGAATGATGGGGTTAACTTCAAATGGGAATACAATATTTGTGATGATGATAACGTTGATCTCCTCTACTTGGCGTTGCCATTGGCGGAACCATTCTCCTTGCCCTTCTCCTCGGTGGTGTTTGCCTTGATGTTGAGATGAGCCGGTCCCACCTGCTGGATCTGGATGACGCGCTCCTTGGTCTTATCCTCGATGGCCTGCGGCTTGGGGATGCTGACAGTGAGGACGCCATCCGAAGAGAGTTGTGAGACGACCTGTTCCGGCTTATAGCCCTCGGGCACCTTGTAGCGGCGCACAAAGTGGCGCATGATGTGGCCATGGTCGTCCTGGCGCTCCTCGTGCTTGCCCTCGACCAGGATGGAGTTGTCCACGACCTTTACATTGAGCTCACTGGGCTTGAATTGGGCCACGTCCATGCACACTTGGAAGCCGTCCTTGCCCACATGAGTGGCGGCCGGCCAATGGATGTCATTGTTCTTGGACATCTCACGGCGCAGAGCCATCACCTGGCCAGCGGGAGAAGCGTGACACAAGGGTGAGGCGCAGGGGCAGCCGTTGATCGAGCGGCGATTAGGGGCCACGCCTGAGAGGGGCTGGAGGAGGCGCGAGTGCGGGTGCATGCCCAGGCCAAACTCGTACATGGGGCCGCGCGGCTCCTGGAGTTCGTCCACCAGCGAAAGAAGAGTCGAAAGCGCCATTTTTTCTTTAGTTTTTTCTTCTTATTTAGGTTAGGTTAAAGTGACTTTTTATTCTTCTTTGGGTTTCTTCCTTTTTCTGAGGTTAGGTTGATTGAACTTTGTGACTGCGTTTCACTTCCTGAATATTCTTTTTAAGTTGGCTAAATTGCCTTTTTGCGTGGAGATGTTAACGTTTCGATTTTTTAAACACGAATTCCGTGCTCTTTCAAGTTTGCGGCTGCTTTTATACCTCCCAACTGCTCTTCTAGAAGCATCCAGCAATTGCCAGGGTGTGCGTCAAAAAGAGAGTCACACGTAGAAAGAGAAGGTAAGAGAGAGACAGAAAGCGTATGTGTGTGATAAAGAGGGAATCAAGAGAGCGAGAGCGCCGAAACAAATACCAAGGAAAGAGTGAGAAGCAAAAATGCAAAATCGAAAGCCTGTGTGTGTGTGCGAACAAGAGAGCGCTGCCGGCAAAACAAAAACAACGCAAGTTTTCTTTATTTTATCCTCTTTATTGTTTAGTACATGTAATTTCTGTTTCTGGCTTTAAGTTTTACTGGAATACTTGTAGTTGTTGTCACATATGGTTTTAGGAAATCATACTTTTTCGTTATCTCAAGATCGTTTAGTAATTGAGTTCCTATTTACCGTAATTTCTAGTCTGCATTCGTGTGTGTGTGAAAAAGAAAAACATGAAACATTTATGGAGTAAAACGCACACATACTCGTGCAGGTTATTATTTTCTTATATCATTAATTTTATTTTTTATTTATTTCAGTCTTCACTTGGCCAACTCCTCGACTTTTGTGGCAGTGGCTCCGTTTTCGCCCTGGTTCTTCGCCTGGAGAATGGCCGCATCCACGGCGGCCAGCTCCTCTCCGCCTACCAAGGCTACCTTACCGGAGGACTTTTCCTCCTTGTCCGACTTCTCGTTATCACCTGGCGCTACCGGCGGCATCTCTACGTCCTCGACGGCATCTGGAACAGTAGCTGCTCCATTGCCATTATTCGAGGCCACGGCCACATCGTTGGCATTAGCGTCCTCCGACTTCGTTGGCTCTTCGGCGCCGCTGCTGCTCACCACGGCAGCCGGGGTGGGAGTAGGTGTCGGTACCGGTTCCTCTTTGGCAGCCTCTTCCTCCTCCTTCTTTTCGGCCACTTCCATGGACTCTGGTTCGTCAACGCCATTGTTGCCAGTGGAATCAGTGCTGGAATTGGAAGTGCTTTCCACTGCAGCAACAGCAGCAGCAGCCTCAGAAGAGAGCGAGGGAGAGGGAGCTGCAGTTGCCTCCGCCGACTCTGTCTCCGTCTCTGTCTCCTCCGGCCCGTTGCCGTTGCTCTCGGCGAGAGAGACCGAGAGCGAGGGAGTGGGTGTGGGAGCTGGGGCACTGGCTGCCCCTGCTGCCGACATTTGCACCGGCTGCTGCTGCTGCGCATCCCTCTGCTGCTGCTGATGGGAAATCTGCTGGATGTCGACCATGCGCTCTAGTCGTTCCACACCCGGCCTGGGGACGGGCGGCGGTGGCGGAGGCGCCTTCACCGTTAGGATGCCATCCGTGGACAGTGTTGAGTGGACCTCGGCAGGATCGTAGCCCCGGGGCAGCATGTACTTGCGGATGAAGTGGCGCGAGATCACGCCGTGCCCGTCCTCCTTCTCATCGTGCTGGCCCTCCACCACGATGCAGTCATTGATGGTTTTCACAGTCAGCTCACGGGCGGTGAACTGCTTGACGTTCATGCTCACCTGGAAGCCATTACGGTTCAGCACGGAGTAGGCGGAATTGGTCGGCTTCGGCTGCATACCGATTCCAACACCGCTTCCAGTTCCAGTTCCGACGTTCATTCCAGTGCTACCACTCTTCTCCGCGAGTTCCTTTTCCAGGTCCAGCAGGGACCGATTGCAGCAGATGGTCTTGGCTCCGGCCACCCGATACGGATGGTGGCGCTGCGTCGACGCCTGATGCTGCGGCTGCTGTTGCTGGTGCTGCTGCTGGCCCTTAATGGGCACCCACATCATGGCCCCACCCGAAATGCCGCCGACGGCCCCGCCTCGTCGACTTATATGTGGATGCATGTGTGACGCCGGCGAAGCGTCCAATGGATACACTCCAAAGCCCTCATCCACCTCCATGGACATGCTGCGATTGAAGTCATGCAGCTCCTCGGCCAAATCGAGTATAAAAGGTATTAGCGACATGTTTTCTTCTTTTCTTATTTTTTGCACAGTATTTTCAGTTTTTTCACTGGGGTTCCTTATTTTTTCAGCTGAAACTACTGGGGAATGCGATTAGTAGTAGTTGTATTTCTGGGAACCGGCGAACGATCCGTTCTGGCCTCCAACTGGACGTCGTTTGAGCCCTTATGGCTGAATGCCGACGCTTTTAAGCTGCTGTGCAGCGCTGAATGGAAATCGGACGTCGGCTGGAACTCGCAGTTCCGCCACCTTCCAGGCCACTGGCGACAGCAGCTCCCAGGCGAAGCTCACAGCCTGAAAAAAAAATAAAAACTTGGAAACTCTTCCCCGGAGAGCCGGCTAAAATGAAGAGGCTGAGAAGGATATTCCCGGATGCCAAGAGTGCCTCCTCCCAGGTAACTACTACTTGCTCCTGCTTTTCTTTTCCCAAGGCTCGCTAAGAACAAAGAAAGTACTCGTATTCGTACTCGTATTCCAGAAAACCAGACAAACTGCAGGGTAAACCGGCTTGGAACCGAGGGATACATATATGCATGTACGAAAAATAGACCCCAATCCTCTCCGCGACCGGCGAAGATGGCATCTCCCAGCCCAGTTCATGTGTAGCTTATATATATGCATCATGGAGTGCCGTATGTAAAGTGGTCGTGTTGCAGCTGAATTCCCATTGCCGGCGAGCGAACAGCTGAGAGTCTCGTGCCGGTTGCCGAGTCGCCGGCGCGTAGCAACTACAACAACAGCTGGCTGGAAGCTAACACCCGATAACTGGAGCCCCATCGAGACACCACCACACACACTGCCGGCATCGCGTAAACATGCGCAGTGTTAGCGTCTGAGCTGGGAGGCACATATATGTGGCTGGGATGATGGTTATACATGGGAGCACTTACATAGCCCCCGCTGCAACTGTGTGCGCGCAGCTGATGGCAGCAGGCAGAGACGGAGTAACCGGCTGAAAAGCTCAACAACATCCAGACGAGGGCCAGACAGTGGTGTGGAGTGGCATGGGTACTGGATTTAATGGGAGCAGCAGCGGCAAAAGTCCCCCCAAACACACTCCCTGCTGCAGTTCCTCAACATTTTGTGGGATAGAGACCCAAAACCTCCAGAGATGGCTGCGTATGTATATGTGCAATTCCTCGCAGTGGTAAAGCAAGTAGCAATACCTAAAGGGAAGAGATCCCATCGACCAGTCGCACATTATGTGTCCACCTTTCTAAATAGACAACTTCCATTGCGTTGGCGTTGGATTGTGTAAACTCAGGGTACTTTCATACATGGACTGGCTAACCAGGGAGGGGAGAACAAAAAAAAATAGGGCCATAAATAAAATGCTGATTATATAATGGACAAGAATCGAGTTCTATAAACAATATACTGTCATTTAAGCTTTTGGATGGGTAAACTCATATCTGTTTATAGTAATAGCATTGAAAAGTTATAAGCAAGTTTTAAGTTTATTTTTCACTGTATCTACAGTAAGTGACTGTCATTCATCAGAGTTGTTTCAATTTACCTATTTATTTTTAAAATTTACAATTCTTATCTCTTGTATTGGAATTGGCTAGAACGTACTCGACTTTTCCCTTTGTCTTTTCGAATTTTTATTTTTAGAAAAGCGATACTTGGAAGCTTATGTTTTATTTAAGCTTTTGCCCTTTTGTTTAAAGACTTTAATTAATTAAAATTATATTACAGGGTATCTTATAAATCCAACATGTTACTTAGTTTTTTAAATATGGTATATTAAGCTCAAACTATTTAAGAAAATTCCAGAAAACTCCAGAATTTCTCTATTTGTCTTGCCTTTAATTATGGCTTAATCTATGTTTAGTGCTTTCCCTGCTTAGGGATTACTTTCTTATATATTAATTAAAGTTGACACCAATGAATGCCAGGTCGTAAAATGAGCCATATAATCATTACTCCAAAGTGCCAGAAGCTTCGCGAATATTCTCCATCCGCCAGTGTCTGTGCCCCGTACATCAGTTTCCTCCCAGATACTCCCTATTTGTAGTATATAAACAATCATATTTATCACTCCACCAGACAGCCTACGCCGCTTCATCAGTTCTCCAGCCCAATCCCCTACAGATTGTACCCATTTCCCTATGCCGATACTCTCGCTTTCAATGGCAGATAATGCGTAATTTCTGCAAATTCGAGAACTTTTCACAAAATATACTTTTCAGCCCCCGAGAAGTTTCGCGACCCTTCTTGTGGGATGTTGCGCGACACACAGATACTGCGCTCGCTGCTCACACAGATACACACAGAGGCAGGGCGTCGCACACAGCCACAGCTGGCGGTGGTATAAATAGAAGGCGTTCGCTTTCAGCCGGCATCAGTTGAATTCGAAAAGTCGAAGCGATAACAGCTATCAAAAGCCAAGAGAAAGTACCCACCAAACAGAAGATTACAAAAATAATCTTTAAAGAGGAAAATTAAACAAAATTAAAAAATATTAAAGTTGAAAGAGCATTGTCAGATAATCCTTCAAGACAAACAAAAACCACTTTTAAAGAATACTTGAGCTAAAAACCCAGAGATACCTCCTAAAGGAGCATAACCAGACAACCTTCAAAGCAAGAAACATTAATCAACTATCAGAGATGGCCAACATTCCATTGCTATTGAGCCTTGCCGATGATCTGGGTCGCATGTCTATGGTGCCCTTCTACGAGCCCTACTACTGCCAACGCCAGAGGAATCCCTACTTCAGCCTGGTCGGTCCCATGGAACAGCAGCTGCGCCAGCTGGAGAAACAGGTGGCCTCGTCTTCGGGCGCTCAGGGAGCCGTGTCCAAGATAGGCAAGGACGGATTCCAGGTCTGCATGGATGTGTCGCACTTTAAGCCCAGCGAACTGGTTGTCAAGGTTCAGGATAACTCCGTTTTGGTCGAGGGCAAGCACGAGGAGCGGGAGGATGACCATGGCCATATTACCCGGCACTTTGTGCGGCGCTATGCCCTGCCCGAGGGCTACGATGCCGAGAAGGTGGCCTCCACTTTGTCCTCGGATGGAGTGCTCACTGTGAGTGTTCCCAAGCCACCGGCAATTGAGGACAAGGGTGCGGAGCGTATCGTCCAGATCCAGCAGGTGGGTCCAGCTCACCTCAATGTCAAGCACAATCCCAAGGAGGAACTGGAGCAGGACAATGGCAACGAGAAGTAGAGGAATCTGGAACATTATGTACTGCATTTAACCATTGTCAAAGTCAAAGTCATTAATCTGTTTTATAAGCTGTAGTTAACCGGGACACTCTCTCACTCATTAGCCATTGGAGGTGTCTTGTCGTAATATTAACCTTTCCAACTATATATTACTGTAATTGGATTCTAGAATCTAGAATATCAAAAATACCAATAAAATATAAATATGTATCTTAAAATATGTATCTATTTGATTGCGTTTTACTTTCTTTGTTGGTCTTCGGGGTAATTGGGTTTATTTTCTCAATTAGTAGAATTTTTACTGGATATTTGAAACTTATTCTTCCCTGATTCTTAAAAGTTAAAACCTCTCTGTTACTATTGGAATTAATGGCACTTCTGAAGCTGATGTTTAAAAGTAAGCAATGTTCAATGTTTATTTGAAAGTATCTTGCTGTCACTATGATTAGCAAAGTATGCAAAATACTCAATAAAATAAAATTGTTTGAGAAAAAAAATTCATGAACAACTTTTTTACATATGTAAATATGTCTTGAAACTTAAATTTAAAGTTTCTTAATTGTTTAAATATGTAACTAAACCTTTCCTTTTTTATTTTTAATAATTCCCAACACCAACTATTATTACTTTATACTATTAGGGATATACAAATATTTATTTTACATTTTATTCAAGAGATTTCGAAAATTTTCTAGTATATTCTAGAAATAAAAAAAAGTTTGTATATACATACATACATATGTACATATTTTGTTAGGTATGTACATATATATTTAATTATTTTGTTTATTTATATTTTACAAATTAATAGAATTTTTGAATATGATTTATGAATTTAGCTCTGAAAATGTTACATTTCGTATTGGTATTGATTTTTATTTAGGATTTTCTTGAACTCCTTTTGGGAGTTCTAGAACTTTCCCCACAATTCTATAATACATATTATAGAATTTGTTGTATTTGTTGTAATGTAAATACAAATACATATGTGTTACATATTAATATAACGTTTTCTGGGTAAATAACATACTGGCTGCAACCGACTGCAAATATTTCGCAAAACCTTGACTCCGCGAAGCAGCCGCAAAGAGAAACGCAAAATGTTTGCAGCAAACAAAAGGGCAAACACGACAAGGAGACAGCGAAAGGAAAGTTCAATGCACCATTTCTTGTTCAATGAAAATATCAGTGACTCCGGCGGCAGGCTTCGTTGCACTCTGAGCAGTCAACAATTAAACAATTCGATAAGAGCGGAAAGCGCTTTAAATAAATGCATACATAAATATGTACATATATAGTACATGTATTATGTACTAGGGCATTTACTGTTCCTTATTTTTTTGCAAAAGAGAAAATGCCAGAAAATGCAAGAACTTTCCTCTCTCTTTCGCAAAGCGACGCCGGCTGTGCCAGAAAGAGCCAGAAGCTACGAAAAAGCGTGAGAGAGAACAAAATGCTGTTTGCCTTTGTATTAGTGAGCGATAACTCCGGGCATGGGCGTAGCAGGGGGAGCAGCCAAGAGTTGTAAAAATGTTGTATATTCGCAGAAAATGTATAACTATCATTTTATTTTTTCGGAAATTTATTTTCAAATGATATAATACAACTATTTTACCTTTTTGTTCAACTTTCATTTTAATTTGACTGAAAAGCAGACTTGTCACCTATCAAAGTTCGTGCTTCTCTAGAGCCCCTTCAAAAATAAATACAACTACGCCCCTTAACCTTGGCGTCGGTATAAAAGCCCGGCGTCGACGTCGACGCTCGCAGTCACATACGAAAATTGAAGGAAACTTTAGCCGAAGGAAACTTCAAAGGAGAAAAAAAGAAGAAAAAAACCTTTATTGTCTAGACAGGAGAATACATTAAGTAAAGAAAGCAAAAATGTCGATTCTTCCACTGTTGAACTTGGCTGCTCGCGAATTGGAGCATGAGTACCGAAACGACTGGGAGCACTTGCTGGAGGATGACTTCGGGTTCGGCGTCCACGCCCACGATCTCTTCCACCGCCCGCGTCTTCAGCATCAACTGCACGGCTCCCTGGGCCGCCGCCGCTTCTTGCCGTACGAGAAGATCCTCCATGGCCATGGACACCACGGCCTGGGCCACCATCACCAGTTGGTGCCACGTCGCCAGCTGTCCCAAAGCGGAGGTCCGAACACTTTGCTGCCCGCGGTGGGCAAAGATGGCTTCCAAGTTTGCATGGATGTGTCGCAGTTCAAACCCAACGAGCTGTCCGTCAAGGTGGTCGACAAGACTGTGGTGGTCGAGGGCAGGCACGAGGAGCGCGAGGACGGACACGGCCTGATCCAGCGTCACTTTGTGCGCAAATATACGCTGCCAAAGGACTTTGACCCCAACGATGTAGTGTCCACCGTCTCGTCCGATGGAGTGCTCACTCTCAAGGCCCCACCGCCGCCTAGCAAGGAGCAGTCCCAGCCCGAGCGCATTGTCCAGATCCAGCAGACTGGTCCGGCCCACCTCAGTGTCAAGGCTCCGGAGGCTGCTGCCCCAGCTGATGGAAAAGCTGTAGATGGAAAAACCGAAAATGGCGCCGGCGAGAAGATGGAAACTGGCAAATAAAAGAAAAAAGAAGATGGAGACCTATCTCGAAATTTCGCTGGCGAAGAGGAGGAGAAGGAAGAAGAGAGACTCGGAGGAGTGTTGCCGCGCTGCTCGGAGAGTGCAAGACTAAAAACGTAATAATATTATCCACTCTACACACACACACACACACACGTCAATTCACATTAGTCTTAAGCAATTTTTAAACACCAATTATCATAAACAAAAAAAAAAACACTTAGTCTGTATAATTAGGCTAACGGGAAAATTCAATTTTCCATATTTCGTAATTATCAATTTTCTGTTTGTTTGTAACAAGAACAGCCGCAACACTCGGGAGAATTTTGCATTTCATTTTTGTATCCAAATAAAATAAAAAGCGATCAAGTAAAGTCAGCTGTGTGAAGTCTTTTGTTCAGATTCTTCCCTTTCTTTGCAGTCTACGCATTTGCATTGCAGGAAAAACCGGTCTTCTTTCTGGGTTTCATTCAAGTTTCTGGAGCTATTTTCAGCTGAAGGATTTCAACAAAAATAAATAAATTCAATAAAAGAAACAGCCTTGGCTTTGTTTACAAGAACTAAATTTTACCAACTAAAGTTTTACAACAAAAATGTTAAAAAAAATGTGTCAATAACTGTCTTTTCTTTTCCATTTCGTCTACAAAGAGCATGACGTCAATGCATCCTCTTCTGCTTTCTGTTCGCCTGTTATACTAGGGGGTGAAACTAAAATTTGATTTTTAAGAAATTAATGAAAATTAAATTACAAATTCATCAAATGCTGGGTCTCAATCACCAGGCGCACAAAAGACAGCAGAGAGAGGATCTGTTTCTTTTGCCCTACTCATTTTTCCAATTTAATATATATAAAACAAGTACAGCCTGAAAATATGCAACTCTCTATGTAAAGAGTCATATCTAGATCTAGGATGGTCAATTAATCCATACTCGCTGTGGCGTACGAACCTGAAGAAAGCTGAAGCGTTCGCTAATAACCTCAAGCAATACGCCAAAAAGCATATATTGACAAGTTGAAGAGTTTCTGGAATCTCCCTTTCAAATAACCCATATGCCATCGCATTAATGGGGCCAAAGTAGCAACTTATTTGGAAACTAAAATTATAATATATTGAAGAAGTATAATAAGTATATATATTTTAATGGTATGCCAGTTAAAATTTGTGTATTGTGTAAATTTAATTTGGTTTATAAAACATTAAAAGATAATTTATTATTATTATTTTTAATTTACTTGATAAAAGTCCCCAAACTTCGGTGATTATATCAATTAAATAACTTTTATGTTTTTGGTTTGCACATATTTATTTAAATATTTAGTACATATTAAAAAATTTAGTTGTCCTTTTTGAAATTTGTTTCTCATTTGGTTTTTATTTTTATGCTCGTAACTCTGGTAGCGATCATAAGTATTTACTGTTTTATGCTAAGTGTCTATTATCTAAAAAACGGCTTCCATTCATATATTTTTTTTCAGCTAGAGATTTTTAAAGAATAAATCCCTATTTCTCAGCTCCCGGAGGAGCGAAAAGCTTTTAGTGGTTGTCATGTTGCTGTTCTTGGTTTCTTTTTCATATCTATATTGTTGTTTAAGTAAAAATGGTTGGTTTTTTTTTACTACTGCTGCTGCTGACTGTCAATATATGTATGTTAATGCTTGCATTTTTATGTTGTATGTATGTTATGTATGTTTATTCAATGACGCTTAATCACAGATCAATTTTTTTAAAATTTCATTTGACTTAGAAGTTAAGAAAACAAAACATACACACATTTCGTACGCGGACTAAATAATTACTGTCTCTGGTTGATTTTTGTAGGCTTTCTTTTGGCTTGGACAACAACTCAGGTGTGGACACATATGGGAGGATTGGATATCGGAGGCTGGATGATGATGATGATGCGATTAGCAGTTAAATTATACATCAGTTGGTTTAGCGCCTAAATCTAAAGATACACACACTGCTTGCTGCTTGCTTGACTTTAAACGATACAATAATCAATACTCCACTCTGTCAAGTGTTTGTTTTGCTTTGTTTATCCTTTCTTTTCTTAATCATTGCAGTCTCAAAAATTGTTATGGGCTCTTTGCTATACAAAAAAATCGTTAAACACAACGAGGAGAACTTAGGGGATTTGGGCTGGCCGCTGGCCACGCGATCTGTCTGGCTTTTAAAGCCCAATTGGTGTGTTTTGTGTGTGCGGTATAAAAAATAGTATTTCCTTTGGATGATCTCGGGGATCTGTCCGTCGACCAGCGGTGAATACTTGAGAGCAGAGGGTTACAGGGGGGGAGAGAGCACATGGTGAGCTGGATTCACATCCGGCAATCACTTTTGGATGAGACTCTCGCAGCTGCTGCTGAGATTTGGCAACGACTTGAAACTGAGCCGCGATCGATCTATCTGGGCAGTGTTCGAGGGGCAGTGTCCCTGCCGGCTCCTGTTCACGCCCCTGTCAAAGGAGGAGGAGATAATGAGCGGCGGTGCCAGCGGCTGCTTATGCTGGCTGTTACTGGCATAGGCGGCAGGTGGCGATAGCGGAGATGTGGGCAAGTCAATATCCAACACGGTATCCGCCTCGCCCGGCTTCAGTTTCGGATCGGAGTAGCGACGCAGCTCCGCCTTCCTGGACTGCATGGGATGACCATCCATGCAGTCGGCAGTGCAACATCCCGAGTGCCCGATGCCCGAATGACGATAGTCGATCTTTGGCGGCGTACTGTAATCGTATGGCGGATGCACCGCCGTGTCGGGACCCACGCTGGTCTGGTCGCTCAGGACATCGCGGTTCTCCAGGAAAATGGACGAGTTGGAGTATCGCTTAGTCTGGTGTGGCTTGTACACAAAACCGCCGAGTCCATTGGCCACTGCATGCGACACTCCCGAGCTGATCGAGGGCGCCTTGTGCTCGCCACTGCCTGCAAGACAAAGTGATGTGGGTTAGTTTTTTTTTCAATAAGTAGGAGTGGGTAATGTTGCTTACCACTAAAGCTGCTTAGCTGGAGGGCATGCTCGCGGCCCGTGTCCGTGGATATGCCGCTGGCACTGAGATCTTGTCGAGAACCGGCACAGAGATCCGTGGCCGAGCCGCGACTAGAACCCTCCGAGTGCTCCAGCACATTGTGAATGGAGTCGTGGAAGGGCGTCATGCTGCCCGAACCCTGCGGACAGGGTCGGAATGAGGAGATCTGTGAGACGACGTCGTCGAGCGCCCAGTCGCGGTCATAGTTGTGCTGCGACTGTGAACACTCAATGTTGGCGGCCACCGCCACCTGTCCCAGCTGCTGTTGTCCGTCCTGCTGCATTTGCATATGGTGCCGCTGGTGGCCATGTCCTCCGTCCTCTGTCTGCGTGCAGGCGCTGCTGCTGCTGTGCGGCACCTCCAATTCTGCGGCCAGCTGGAGCATATGATGTGGCGAGGAGTTGAGCAGTCGCTGCTGCTGCATCTGTTGCTGGTGCAGGCCTAATCCTCCACCCACGCCGTTCTCCAGAGTAGCCGCACAGTTGCCATCGTGGGCAGCCGCTCCGCTGGCATTAATCTCCACTGCTCCGCCGCTGGTTGAGCCCGCATGAGCTAGTGGCTCACTGTAGTGATGATGATGGTGATGGGCGGCCACCGGTGAAGGCGGAGCCAATGGATGGATCTTCTCAGGGGCATTTTGAATTAGCAGGATTCTGTGAAGAAAAGAGGGAAGAGCGTTAATTGAGTTTAAAGTTGTTTTTTTATTTATTTTAATATTTAAGTATAAATTCTCTAAAATATGTATAGAAAAATGTTAAATCTACTGTAAAATCTCTTTGTAATATTTTTAAAGATAATAATTAAATCCTAAAAGTCAAACTAATCTTTAAATATTTATTAGAAGTTTAGTTTATTTAAACCTTTAACTCAAAATATCTATTATATTAAACAGTTTGATTAATTAACCAATTGTAGCTTAAATAATTAAAACCATGACAGCATCATCTAACGACTTAACGATTATTCAAATGACCCACAAAGCAAATATATGAATATGTAGGTACCTCTTAATTATTAGAAACTTTCTGATAAATTCTATATCTTATAAATTACTTGCCACATAATAAACCCGTATCAAAAGTGTTATTAATTATTTAATTTTGCATTTGTTTATAGCCGCTAAGTGCTTGTTTCTCTTAGCCAAGATTGATTTACAACTTTGGCGAATGACAGATGATAAATCAAAAGATTGAAAGGCTAATCTAAATAAACAGTGTTTTAAATAAATACGGTAAGCTTAATTGTTTATGTGATTGCAATTAAGCCTTCAGTGGCATCAGTTTTATAGGGTCTCTAATAAAATATATAAACAAGGTAATACAGCTTGTAAGCAATTAAATGTAAAAAACTCTACAAACGAAACTTTGGGAACAATGGGCTTTAATTCAATAGAGAATTCCAGATAATAAAATACTGATTTATGATTGTGTGTCTCCCCGTAGAAATGGGATTTTTCTTTGTTTTGTAGAGATAAGACCCAACCTCCGTATGTATGGGATAGTTCTGGCTTTAACAATAGGTTTTTATGATTATTTAAATGGATATTGAGTAGGAGAGACGCTTATATTAGGTCTGTAGGGCGATTTAACTTTCTTATATTGTAAAAATTTTAAGGGGATAAGGAATTTAATTTGTTTGTTTATTATTATAAGCTTACCAGCTTATATTTCATATAAAAAAGCCTTCACAAACTCTTCCCTCAATCCCTAACCAAAAAACCTAATGAATCCTAACCTGTTGCGTGCCTTCCAGCGATGGCACAGATGCAAATAGGTCCTGCACTGGATGTACATAAAGACAATGCCGCCGGTAAGGCCCACGGTGACAACCGCCAGCTTCGTCCAAAAGGGCCAGTCTAGAGAAAGAACGGAGAACAGGTTTGTTTGTTAATTAGAATCCATCAAAAGCGAACACAAACAGAGTACATTAATGACAGCAGCAGTCCCCAGTTCAGGCAGGTCAGGTAATTACACAATTACGGATATTTCGCTGTGCAGTTAGTCGACCTGGCCGAACCGTAAGACCGGGGCTCGCACCTATTAGGCCACGTTGGACATCGTCGGCGGCCCGCTCGATGAGCACACACAGCGACCAGATGACGCACAGGGCGGCGGCACAGTGGAACAGCACGGAGCAGCACAATCGCCGTCTCTCAATGCCGGAGATGTCAAGGCTGCGCCACTGCAATTCCAACAACGCAATCCATCCAATCGATTCCAATTCCGATTTCGCAGAAGCCACACAAAATGTAAAGACAAGATACAATAAATTAGATTGCTTTCGTCAAAAGGAGAACCCAGGGGGTACTTACCTCGTTGAAGGGCTTGATCTTGGTGTGCATGATGAAGGGAAACTTGCAGAGCTCGCAGGAGTTGGTCTCGGATGCGGTGAGCCACTGCTGAAGGCATGCCTGATGGACGTACTTCAGGCTTCCGGAACAGTAGCAGGGCGTCAGGAGTGGATTCTGCGGATCACTCTCGCAGTGGCAAATGCGGCAGATGTCGCCGCTGTTCTGCGAGGCTTGGCTGCTGCCGGAACCGAATCTGAAAGGGAATTGAGAGAGATTGGATTTGAGTTAGTCACAGTTTTGAATAATTTGAATCTTCCTTATAGATAATTCGAATCAAAAACCCAGATAGGTTCGATTTCTCTTTGAGAAGGGTTAAACTTCTTAACCCCTTTAATATCAGTTTGTAATTCCCCATAGATTATTTGTAATTTCACTAGGTTCATCTATAAGTGTGTTTCTAATTGCTAAGAGGCAACAAATACTAAAGATAGCTATTTTTCCTGGAAAACGTCATTGGAAATGTAGGTCATCGGGTTTCTCGCGCCCCTTTTAGACTACTTTAAGTGAAATGTGAGACATTTTAAAGCATATAATAACAAATTTATTACACTTGTCTACAAAGTAAATAATTTATTTGTAATTAACGCTTTAAAAATGAAATGAGTGTTATTCTTGGCAAAAACAAAGTAAATTTATGCTATTTTCTTATCGAAATAGTGAGTGAATAATGTAAATATTACGTTATGGGAAAATGGATCGGAACATATCATTTTCTAAGGCAAGCTAACAAAGCAAATTAATTTCTAAGATGTAACAAAAGTATTCAATGAATATTTATTCGATTTCGCGTCGTATGAGCAATGCCCGGGGTAATTAAAACTTCAATTAAAAGATATAATCGAATTAAGCAAGAGATTAAATGTGTGCTAATAGTGTAATTAAATGGGAATTGCATAGATTAGCTTACGACACTTTTCAGTGCCACATTTTTGTATTCGTCATATCTCATGATGATGATGCTCATGATATCCCCCGATGCCATCCCTTTTTTTCATTCTTTATTGGACATAAATTTAAATTAACGAAGCAAAATTGATAAGAAGTCAATGACCCTTGCCCTGTTAGGCCGGATGAGTGTGATCTGTGAATGATTCACAACAATGGTTGTTATCTTCATTCTTTCAGATTCACTCGATCTCACGTTCTCATATAGTAGAGCTAATATGTTGACATAATTATGCATTTACATACATAGAAATGATGAGACAGGCGCTAGAAACCATAGATAATATTAATAAATAACAAAGATTTATTTGAGGTTCACATATTTTAATGTTACTGACAGTACCGAGAATTCTATTTGGAATTAGTATTCAAAAGAAATTTTTAAAAATATAAAATCTAAAGCCAAAGCTTGTATACCCTAACAATTTGCAATCGGATTAGATGGGCCGAATTTGAAATCGATCATAAGTAAAAAGTGTTAAAAAAAATTAAAGTTTATTTTTTGAATTTGTTGACTTTTATAATTATAAAACCCTAGTTTAATATTTTAAAAAATGAAGTTAATTTTTTGCTAGATCGACTTGGCTGTTGATGCTGATCAAGAATATATAAGGAGGGAAATTACTTATTCATTGCTTTGAAATTTCTGGCTAAAATTATAAGTACATTTTTCTAAGTAAAATATTTTTAATCGGATTTCCCATTTAGAACATTTCCTGAACTTGTTTTCCTAATATTTCGTTTATTCCGAATTTAAAAACATGACCCAAGAGGTTAGCATTTTGTTGATTTTGATATAAAACTGACACTTTCCCAGAAATGATAATTCCTTAGAATATTGAATATTGATCTTTAACACAACATCAGTATTCCAAGTAAATACAAATTATTTTAGAATTCATACGACTTGAATTGAAGAAATCAGTGATTGTGAAACATTAAGAAAAAACGAAAAGCTTATTGTATTTCCGCTAATGCGGTTTGGCGGTGATTTTTTCCAGATATAACCGAATATAAGCAAATGCATTTTTATAATGAATTACTTGCGATGAGTGATTAGCCTGAAAGCTTGCCCCTTCTTCACAGCGAGCACAAGGGAGCACTCACATTCGCACCCCTTCCCCAGAGAGGGAGGGCTATAGCATATATTAGATAGGTACCGTGTGGATGTGCTTCCCTTTTGGACTGTGGCAATCTGGTGCTGGTTTATGGCCAAAGCAATTAGCTCTGTTGGCCGCCCTATCATTATGGCCAGCAAAACGCCCACTCAGCACCTGCGAAGTGACTCGGGACCGGGGCTAGGTGCTTGCTGCTCGGTGCTTTGTACTCTGCTCTGTATGACTGTTGTAGGGTTTAGGTATCGGGTTTGGGGTATGGGAACAGTCAACGAGTGCTCTGTATCTAATCTAACTAACGGCGAGCAACTTTTACTTTCTAGCTCATGTCACTTGCACAGCGGGAAAATGTAGAATTTTTTCTATTAAAAATAATTTGTTTCACGAGAAGATTGTTTTGGGTGTGACAAACTTAATAATCAGTTGATTTTGTAGGAAATATAAGAACTATAATTGTTCCGTTCAAAGCTATTCCAAAGCTATATTTTCTATTATTATATTAGAAGTTTCTCTCCCATTTTTCAGCTCAGTGTAAACTTTCCCCCGTATCTCAAGTACCTCTTTGCTACGTGTGTCTGTAGTATCCTTTTTAGAGTTCAGGCGGCCAGTGCGTGATTGAGGCGAAGGACAGGCCAGTGAAAGGCTCTGCCAGCGCGCATTGGTCATGGACATGGGAACTAGAGCTGGACACGACGACGTCCTACTGTGCTCATACCCTTGTCAGAAGTTTACCCTTGGATCGATGAAACATTGCAGAGGAAGCGGCGCTTAAAGTACCGCCCAACCGCCCATGTTTTTCTAACCACGAAAATGGATGGACGGATAGTTATTCTCCTTCTTAAGTTGGAGGTTAAGGACATGCGTAAGTCGCAAGTTTTACGACTTCATCAGACGGCTCGACTCGACCCGAGTCGGCTTTTGGGGCTCCAGACAGTCGCTACGGCAAGACAAGACACACCAAAACCCCCTTTTTGGAGCCACTCAACTGAAGCAGCCTCATGACTTGGCATTTATTGGCTTTTTTGTGGGAAAGGGAACGGAACGGGGTGGTGATTCAAATTGCCTGTTCGACATTGAAATACAACGAATTTCAACTCAATTAGAACGGAAATGTCGATTCAAATCCGTAAACACACACACGCGGTACATATGTAAGTACATATGTAAATTCTTGTCGATCACACGGAACAAGAAATATATACTAATCGACAAACCGATATAAAAATAATAATAATAAAAGAGCACTTCTCGGAAAGATTTCTCACATTATTGATCGACGATTTTTTTGTATTGTTTTTGTTTGTTTTGCTTGCGTTTCTTTTATTGCCTCTCACAATTTGATTAAGCGATATCAAAGGGTACACATACACCTGCAAAGCGCTATCGCATTACCAGGTGAAAAAAAAGAGTGAAAGGTGCTTAACAAAAAAAAAATACAAACTTTTTTGTCTCGGTTTCAATTGCACCTGCAGTTGAGCATTTTCCGTGCAAAATATTTAATGCCCTTGACAAAATGCTTCCGTTGTATATTTACAAATTCCTTGAATTATTATTATATTTTTAGAAAAGAAATACAAATTGAAGTGTGGAGCAAGTCCCTATCGCAGAAATATGAATTTCATTCACTTGCTTCCATTGAGAAATCCTTAATCGGAATAGGCCTTAATCTCTAAAAACAAAGGAATTCAAGACGAGGCAATTGAACGATATATTGCGTGGGACAATAAAGAAAAATAATACATTTAAACTTAAAACTTTTAAGTATTAAACAAATTTATTTAAGAAATTTATTAATTAAGAATTTAGTATGAAAAAAATAAAAATAATAAAGAAAATCAACAGACTTATTAATTAAGCAACAGTTTGTATGATTTTTCTTAATTATTTGTTAAAAAATATATTATTTTTATACTTTTAAAATACCTTATAATTTTTACAAATTTTTATATGCGAAAAATGATTTAGAATTGTTGAACATCCTATGTTTATCTCGTTTAAGTAGAAAAATATTTCATTTCTTACCAAATAATAATTTCATATAATATATTTCATATATAATATAATTTCATATAATTAAATTTATTTATTTAGATAAATATTGTTTGATATGCGATGTTTTTAAATGCGTAAATCGAAATTGATAAATATGAATTTATTATATTTATCAATTTCGATTATTACCTCATAATAAACAAAACTCGTGTTTGTGCTTAAATCTTTTTTGTAGTAACGACAACCGGTGCTTTCTCAATTAAGTAAATAAATGTAAAACAATGTTATGAATATTACAAATTGTAAAAACCCTTAGTTATTACAAAACTTGTGCAAGTGCTTAAACATTTTTGAAAGGCAATTAATATTGCTACTGGCGATGATTCAGAACTAGGATTTTTTGACCCATAAAGCTTTATGGCATTCTATTTATTATCGGGGTCGGTCGGTGATTCCGCTTCAAGCCGTTTTATTTCAGGTCTTTCCATTTTTATTTCTTTATATTTTTGTTAGTGCGAATTTTTTGGAGAGTCAAAAGACTTGCCATGCTTACATTTTTAATTACAACTAAATTATCGCATTTTTTTAAATTCCACGCCAGGGCAACGAAACAGGGCACGCCCTCCACGGGACCAGAGATGAAACAAGGAATCTTCACATGGCGCAAAAGCAGGGCGATGAAGCAGGGCGGGATCGAGTCCAATTCAACTGTTTCTCGCTTTGTTTTTCGCTGCTCCGCTTTGTTTCAAGCGCTTTGATATTTTTTGCGCATTATTTTTGTGTGCTGTGTAAACTTATTTTTAAGTCCCAACTGGTTTAAGTTCGAGGCAACGGCGGTGGCGGGGGCCAAGTCAGGGCAATTAATGCAAAAGTTATACCGATGCGGGACGCCGCCAAAAAAATAAAAATATACATATTTCGCCTTTGTTTGGCTCAATCGAGCAGCCAGTTCCCACTGCGGGCTGTAATGGTCGGCGGAAAAGCCGGGTCTTATCAGTAGCTGAGTTCGTTCCATTTTACATTTTCATCATACTTTGCAAATATTTGATCGTAATTGCCCTGGCCAGGTCTCTCGTCTCCCGACTCTAGCATAAACACCAGCAATTGCCAATGTTTATTCAACAGCGACACCTGAGACAACAACAACATGAGCAACCACAACACCATCACGTTATATATACCTTTACACACCCCAACGACAGATTAGATTTGCAATGGTCTGGTGATAAGCCACAGACCCGTCGACATTCGAGAGGGTGTTGCTCCGTTTTCCTATTAATAAATTAAAAACTCACTCGGGGAGCAGAATATTTATGAACTCAACTAAAGGTATTAGAGATAACTTTGGGTATCTTCATGTGAAAAAATTCTATTTAATAAACAGAACGATCGAACGAATATAGAAGGGGAAGCAAAGGCACGGCTCTCCTTGGGAATTTTGATGATATTTTCAAATTTAAACCATAAAATATCAATGATAAACAATTAAGGAGCTTAACATAGTTACCATTAAACCTTTATATTTTTCAAATAAAAGGAATAACACGTAATTTCATATAATTCATTCATGGAACTGTTCCGTTCCCGTTTTTATATTCGATTTTAGTACTCGAACTCGAAAATTATTAGCTTGAATTTACACCCAAACCATACCATAGGTTATCTCTTACCCGGAAAAGGTCACCAAAATCAATTAAAATTTTTGTTTGCTCAACGATCCCACACATTATCTGTTAATTTTGTGTGAATTGTGTAAAAAAAAAATATATAAACAAAGGCATTGCCTCGTAAAACAAGCGATTAAATTCTATATATTTATTAGAAACCTGGGTCAATTAGTTAATTTGTCGACATATTGCCCTGGCGCCTCATGTCAATTACATTTTTCACCTCTTCCCAGCATCGTTAATCCGCCGATGATTTGCATTTCAATCGATCCGCTTCGAGCAGGTATGGTAAGTGTGCGCGGATTAAAACTAAACAATGTTATTAAGCTAGCTGTCCCGGCTGTCCAATGATTGTCATTAACCGGCGCTAAGTACAGATTAGAGCGATAAAGATCGCTATGGCTTCGAGCGTGCATACAATTTAAAATTATAAAAAAAAAAACGGAGCCAAGCCACCTGGGGAAAGTGATATCATCTGTGGGCCAAAAGATGAATCATTTTCTGCTTAAAAGTTGGCTCACTTTGGGTTTCATTTGAGGGTTTGTCTTATCTGGTTTAAAATGCTCTTTCCTCCGAAGTATGTTTTGATCAGCACGGATTTGACAGCTGGACTTGGTAAACAGACTTTAATTTAGCATTTGTAATTGCATGTCAGAGAAATAAACTCAATTATTTCGATTTCCCCAAAGAGCGTACAATCAAAATCAAACATTTAAATCATGTCCGTTTCCTGGCTATAAATAAACAATGGACAATGCCAAGAAGAATGTCACCCGCCACCGCAAAATCCCCTTTCGCCGACCCACGATTTCAATTGCGTGCTTGCACTTATTTTTTATTTTTATTTATTTTTTTCTTTGTATGTTGTACTTGAATGTTTTTGCCGCAGAATAATTAATTTACAGTGAGCGGTCGAAAGCGAATACTCCGGTTTAAAGTTTCATAAGGTTTAAATAAGTTCAGGTTCAGGCACGAAAAGCCCAACTGAATTTGCGAGGAAAGCGAAACCTTAGAAGCCGTAACGCCAGGTGCCCGTCTTTGGCGATATGTAAGTTTTGTTTTTATACTTTTCTGAGTACTTTGAGAAATGAAAAGGTATAATTTAAGAAGAAATCTAAATAAATTTTGTCTGGGAGTATAGTACATAAATTTGGTTTTAATTCCCATCGTTACTAGTTTTCACTAATTTCAAAAATATATTTTAAAATATACATTTAATTACCGTTATAAGTGATTCCATTCATTTTTTCCCCATATCACGTATTCCCCGTACCTAAAGTTCCTTCACTATTTTTTTTTCGACCCGTGGTCAAGGGCATTGTGCGACGCAAACAGGGAGGGGGGAAAAACAGAGAGTGCAAAACTCACCTGACATTTGCATAGTGCTGGCCGGAATTCCAGTCCACATGCTCGATATCCGACGAGGTTTTGGCGTTGTCGCAAGGCATTATGTTTGATTTTTAGATCCCAGGGTATTGCATAGTCGGAGTTCCTGCTCTCCTGGTCCAACCCCAAAAAGGGGACTCTTGCAATCCCCCGCAGCTTCGCCGCCTTTGTCTTTGTCTTTTATGCTTCTGCTGCTCCTTTGCTCTTTGTTATGATTCTGCTGCGCTGGGGTTATTTTTATTGGTATTTGTTTATTCCCAACGTCGGAACGGAACCTGTAGCAGTGCCAGAGCTATTATTCGTGCTGGCAGAAAAACTACTTCGATTTTTTGCACAATCCCAAAACCGTATCTATTGCACTTTTATTTTCTTTATTTTTCTCTTTCCTTCTCTCGTTTTCCTTTCTACGAACAACGAACTGCTCGCTTGCGCCGCCCGTGCGTTTGTTTGTGTTGGTAGGTCTATTATTATATTTTTTTTTCTTGTGCGCGAGCAACGTTTTGGCCACCGCCGTGTAATTTTTATATTTTGCCCAAAAGGCCAAGCAACTGTGCCATCGCGGACACACTTTAATATATTAATTTACAACAACGCAACGACCGACAAAAACAACTCTACTGTGCAGTGTTGCCAGACGAAGTTTGGCTTTACCCCTAAAAAATCTCAAATTGTTGAAATTTCCCCAAAATCCAAACATCTGATACTCGAACCACATCTGATACTACAACCGAAATGACAGTAACAGAAAGTGTGCCCTAATCTGGTCTGGTAAATTATCGATGACGAAAAGATAGAGCAAAAACAATCGGCGCGATTTTAAATTCTCTTTTTCTATATATTTCATAGATAGTATGCATTTTTCTCAAGAGACTGTAAATATGGGCAATATCCTCCTCAACCTGACCTCGTTTCCCCTCTCGGAGGAGTCTCAGAAGCATTTTTACCTACAAAAACATCGAAATCCACATCTCAAAGATATTCTTAGAACAAGATACATCTTAGCTTATAGTAGCAGTCAAAAATCTTGATATCCGGTCTTAGTGTAGTTTTATTATTATTAGTATTATTATATTCCGTTTAATCCATTATCGAAAATGACTACAAAAAAGCGGATCCATTTTTATAATTGCCGAAATTTCTTTTTATAACAAATGGTTCTCATTTTAGGTTCGGGTTGGGGTAGCGGGTCTTAGACACGAGTGCTGTTGTTTATAACCATATATAGAGGCAAAAACACAAAACTAACTAAACTCAGCATGATCGGTTGGCGGGCGAGGCCCGTCTGCTTACAAAGTGTAAATCGATTTGACGTTGGAGCCCTGCTTGACCATCGTGTCCTTATGCAGCTGATACTGCAGCGAGTTCTGGCGTCCCAGACGCAGGGCATCGCGCAGCTTGTGGCCGATTTCCAAGGCGGCCTCCTCGTTGTTTCCGTTGGCAGTCCAGATGGCTAAACAAATAAATTTCACAATCAGTTTGCCATTTGAAACCAGTTAAGCGCGAGTGTTTACTTACAGATCTTGTTGCTCTTGCCGCGAATATTGACAACAGCTCCGCAAATCTGATCCGAGTGATCGAATGCCTCGCCGATCAGGCAAAGCAGCTGCAAGACAGAAAACATATGGATTTAAGTCATTTAATTGAAGAATTTTCATAAGAAAACGTATGCAAAATATATGTATGCAAATAACGAAATATCATTACTTGTAATTGTAATCGAAATGAGTTATACGAACTCGGCTATTAATACATGAACAATCTGGAATCATTAAAATAATGATTCCGATCTAAAAATAGACCAATGTTAAAAGTAGCAGGTGGTGCTTCAAAAAAAAACTCTCATCTATAAAAACACTCACCACATCTAGCCAAAGGTTATCCAAATCGCTCTTGGAGCTCTTATTGAGGGTGATCACCCAGCGACCGCCCTGCTTGTTGGCAGCATCCTCCCACATGGGACTGTAAAGCAAGGGAAAACATTTAGCATACATAACAGGAAGGACTCTCAGACGGAAACCCACCGAATTCCCTTCTTGAAAAGCGAGTAGTCACTGCCCAGTTTGATCTCTGATGGCGGCTTGATGTGATTGTATAGACTCCAAAAGTCCTCGACGGTGTCGAAGCTGGTAATTTCGTTTTGCATGTCCTCCCAAGACTTGGACCGATCGTTCTCAAGATACCACAGGGTCCATGTGTTCTGAAGCGGGTGTTTAAACAGATGCTCGGTGCGCACGGCCTCATCGCCGCCAGCGCTGGTAGCAGCTGGGGCAGCGGCATCGGTTGCTGCCGGGGCCTTGGGCTGCTCCTGATCCTTCTCCTTGGCGGGAGCTGCAGCGGGTGCCTGAGCAGTCGGCGGTGTGGGGTCTGGGCGACCGGGGGCCACCGTGTTAGCCGTCTGCTCGTTGCTGGTAGCACTTGTCTGCGTGGAAAGAGAGAGATAGAGAAAATGGATTAGGATGGGCGAATCCCAGCGGAGAACGGCGATCGAGTGTTTACTTTGAACATAGACTTGGGATTGGCAAAGTTCTTCATTCTGTGAAAGTCGCTCTGCATGTTGGCGGCCGTGTTTGGAGGATGCGATTTGATGGATTTTCCGGAGAGATCTTGCTCGATCGTAGCTGATTCACTTGGCGCGCTCTCAGGTTCTCTCTGTGTGTGAGTGTGTGTGTGTGTGAGAGAGTTGGGTTGAGTTCAGTGGGTGAACGTGTTGGTGTGTGCGTGTGTGCGATACGAGAGCGAAGCTTTTGATTTCGGTTCGTGTATGCGTGTATGTGGATTACTTCTCGATTTCTCACTGCAGTCTCTTCACTTCGGGTATTATTAACCAAAAAAATATTAAAAACGTTAACTAGTTATGGGTGAGTGTTAAACTATTACTTTAGACGGGTTGGACTAGAAAAATACATTTATAGGGTTAAAACAACTGTTCCTGACGAACTCCGAATCGAAAGTAGCAATGAAAAACAGCACACACACACACACACACGCGTAAAAATTTGACATAAAAACACAGATAGCCTGTTGAAAGAATTGAGGTTTTATTGAATTAAAGAATTTTCACTTTTCGTCTCCAACTGGAACAAAGAGTTGCGGCTTAAATTCGCGACACGACTGGGCGTGCGAGTTCGAGGCAGCGGTTGACTGAAAAGTACACGAACAAGAAAGGAGCTGAGAGAGCAGATGAGCAAAGGAAAACTAACGGTTCACTTCAGTCGATGCAAGACGCGGCGCGGTCATGCCAAAAAAAAAATATAATTTAACTGTTCGTCGCGACCGCTTATTGCAGTAATTTAGTCTTTCTTTTTCGTCTCTCTGCTTCGCCTATTTATGCTGTATATAAATCCACACACACCAGCACGCGGGCGCGCGATATAAAACACGCACGCACTCACACACTCGCGTGCGATTTCTTGACAAAATAAATTCCAGCAACAACGAGAGAGAGCAGCGGTGAAAAACGTGTGGATGGTATGCAAATGCGAGAGCGAGTGACCGCGAAGGAGGGAGATAGAAAGATAGTAGGGTGGAGAGAGAGCAATGACGTTGACAAAGGCGTGCAAATAACAAGTAACAATTAGCGGTGAATATGGGTAAATGTGCGCGAAATTACAAATCTTCGATTGCGGATGCTGATTGGAAACGGTGAGCAATGAGGGAGATGGTGCCACGCCACTGTACTGCTGCTGCTTCTGATCGACCTCCCCTCTTGTGCAACAACCCTGTTCTGTTTTGCCTCTGCTGCCACGGCTCAACCTCAGCCGACGAAATTGAGAGACCGAATCCGAAACCATGCGGCGTAGCCTTTTTTCCTCACCTTTTCCGTCTCCGACACTACCATGGTTTTCGCGTTGTCGCGCTGTGTGGGCTAAGGACTTGGTTACGCACTGGCACTACTCAAGGGGGCCACAATTAATTTAGAATTGTTAAATACTTAAATAATTTTTAGTTTTTTGATGAACAGACTCAGTGTGACCGAAGCCAAAACAATAGTGTGTAGCAAAATAAAACCGAAACTGGTGGTAGTTAACGACGAGCTATCGCATGTATCGACGATGCAGCCCTGGTCGTCAAAGCATAGCCGTTCAGTGACTGTCTGCTACGAAACTTCGTTGACCGTTAAATTTGAATTACAACCGTATTAAGCAAGGAAAAATAAGTCTTTTTTATTTATAAACAGAAAGTATTTTTGATTTAAATAAATATTAAATACCTTACTTTGAATATAATTAGCTTTAACTTATATTTAATATTCAATGTACTTTATGTACTTATGCCAAGGAATTAAAATTTGTTTGTGCTTTTAATAACGCATAATGTTGGTTAGACAATTTCATTAAAATGTATGTGGGGAATCAGTACCCAACTCGGCTACATTCTTAGCTTATGTTATTACGCCTCAGGCTCTTGAAATGCTTCTTGTTTAGTGAGCTTTCATTCAAAATAATGAGGAAGTGCCTCTTGGCAATTATGAAGCATTTTGGAAGTAAGTAGCACCTTTACTCTTCAATCTCATTGTTCGCACTTGATTCGTGCTTACCTGCGAACTCTTTGAATAATTTATTTCAAAATCTCGAGGAAGTGAAACCTAGCTAAATCGAAAATCTTAGAACGTTTATCAAAAATAAACATTCATGCAAATTTAATTGACATTTCATCTGTTTCCCACAGCAGCAGCACGACCGATCGTTTGGCATCAAAAACAAGAAAACAACGTCAGCGCATTCATTTATCATACGCAATTATTTTATATTATAAAGCCAATATATTATAAATAATTATCAACAGCCGAAAATTTAAGACGGAGAGGCCCCGAAACCAGCTTTTTTGCTGGAAATTAGGTCTTCGTTTTTATTTAGACATTGGCATCATCAATTGGAATTCGATAACAAAATAACGACATTTAAGAATGAATCAATGAATTTTCCATATAATAAGAATCTACTCGTAGTTTGTTTATTTATTTATAAAGCAGATTCCCGAAATTGCCAGAATAACAAAAAATAAATCTGAATGTATCTGAATGGGACGTCAGAAGGTTAGGCTTTGTTGTTGTCGCATAAATCCGCACCCAACCTGTTGGTGAATCATAAATTAACCCAGAACCTTAGTTGTTACCAAAGTTGTTGTTTTTAGTTATTTGAAACCAGCTTAATTCTATGGCTTAGAACACCGAAAGTCTCGAACTTGGCTCGTCTTTGTCTGCCAGCTTGAAACAAATAATAATAATATGTTTAAAAATAGATAAAAAGACCCCAAAAAACAGTGTGAAACACTCGGCAACCGTAAATGTTGATGAGGATGATGATACCTACTTGGGAGTAGGATGATGATGTGGCGCTTTGGCTACGCTTGGCTTTCAAAATAGACGACGACTGCAACAGTAGAATCGGAATTCGAATCGATGATTGAAGAAGAACGTGAAGCGTGTTTATTATTTAAATAGTTAAGTCATTTTGTGTAATCGAACAACTGCGCAGTTTTGCCCTTTGTAAGCAGCCCCTAATAAGCGCCTTTCAAGAGTTTGCACGATAACGAAATCCGAAACCCGAAACCCTTCTCCAAACTGGAGGCCCATTGAGCTCTAATTACACTTGAGCTTCGAGGCTTATTGAACTGACATTTAAAACCCGGCATCTAATTATGCAGCCATCTCCAAGCGGACTTCAAGTGCTTGGCAGCGCATGTCTAAACACAAAAAACTTCCGCCGATCGGACAGGAAACCCGGAGTCATAGTCAAAGCCTCACCAACCTATAAGGCAGTAAAACTTTGCATTAATTAAAAGTAAAAAGTGATTGAGAAGCTTAAAGATGCTTAATTGTAAATAAATCATATAGCCCGCCGCTAAGTGAAAAATATGGTGTTTATAGGAATGTTGCGACTGGGAAATACCTTTTTATTGAAAATGGGAAGTAAAGGGTTTCTGGGATAATCATTGAAATTCAAACAAAATATCCAAAAATTCGTTTTTTTTTTTTAAAGATTTTAAAGAAAGTAAAGCCTTCTTTTTATAAAGAAGCCTCTCCAAAGACTCTTAAGATTTCTTATACATTTATTTTTATATTTATACAATTCTTTTACGACCTCTTCTGAAGTTATATGAAGAAGTTTCAAAGCTTTAGATAATTTTACGGACAAAAATCGATTTAAAATCGATAAACATAGATTTTGTTATCTAGTATGCAGATTACATGCAAAATTCTAGAGCTAACTTGATACAAACCGCCTTTGCCATCAAGATAAGTTCAACCGAAACCAGATTTTAGGCATTCTTCCATACCCGAAATACCTCTGAAGAAACCATAAGAATCTCGAGTGGCAAAAAATGTATCTATAAGCTACTCGAACACTCGACAGGCAATGTGAGCTTGAAATGCCACTTGAAGCTGGCCCCAAAAGGGTTCTGAAAAGAAGCAATAATTTATGATGGGTAAGACCCGTTGAGCTATTAGATAACTAATTGAGCATTGCGGCAAACATACAATTAATGATGTCTCCGGATATATGTATGTATCTCCCCGTATCTCAGAGAAGTGCGAATTTGAGCGACGCGTCGATAATGAACTTTATATTGCCGCCACTGGCTGTACGATTCTGAAGCTGAGTAAGAAACCGGACAGGTGAATCCGACCACACGAATCGCACATCTTCATTCAGTTCGTAGTTCGCCGAGATCTCACAGTTTATGCAAAACGTAAAAAAGCCGAGCTTAGAGTTAGTATATAAGCCAGGGGGTCCGAGATATTCAGTTATTAGTAGCGCGCCAACGGAACAGAACAGTGAAAACGTAGCGATATATCTGGATATATTTAAACCACAATGAAGTGCTTCATATTGGCTGCCACCCTGATGCTGGTAAAGGCAGAGACTACTTTGCATAATTAAGCTAAAATTTACGATCACTGAAGATCACTCTGAATGGGAGATCTATTCAATTAAAATCCGGGTTGTGACTCCATAAAATGTCAACTGTGATGCTGATCAGTGCAAATATACAAAAGTTATACAATGTGAAAAAATATTAAGCAAACCTTAGCTGGCATTACATGCGACCTGATGCGCGACTTTAATCAATAACTAAAAATGACATCATCTCTTATTTTGTGTGTGATCTTTAGAATTGTGTGCCTTATTTTTGAGGGTTGTCTTACCTTTTGGAGTTTTGCTTTTTTGGCTAATCAATTTCACGCTTTGCTTCCATTTACAGGCCACCTTAGCCAGCGGTGAGAACATCTTCAAGATCAACATAACGCCCGAGGAGGCTCAGCAGTTCCTCCAAAGCTCCCAGTTGCGTGGCATTGGTGACATCGAATATGCCCCGAAAACTGGCGAGAATCCGCTGCCCGAGGCCCGAAATGAGAGGGGGGAATTCGTCTACATGGGCCGTGTGATCGAGCACCCGGAGGACTATGTGGAGGAGCATTACGACGCCCACCAGTACCACGGTCAAGATGGTTTGGGTCAGTTTGCCTATGGCTATAGGGACTGGAATCAGGGCAAGAACGAGAAGCGTGATGAGACCGGCAAGGTGACCGGTTCGTACAAGTATGTGCAGCCACATGGCCGTGACTTTGTGGCCACTTATTACGCCGATAAGACCGGTTTCCATGTGGAGGACAACCGTCCCGCTCACCTCAAGCTGCCGGCCACCAAGACACCGGCCGTTCTCAAGGCCGAGGAGGAGCACTTTAAGCTGTGGGGCGAGCTGGCCGCCGCCGCCGGTCACAATCCGGATCCCTATGCCGCCGAATACCAGACCGCCGAGGGTCGCTATCAGCCCACCGAGCAGGAGCAGCAGCCCTATGTCCACGAGGAGCCCCCATATGTTCCCGGTCCAGAGGAGACCGGCGAGCCCAAGGGCTTCTTCTATGCCTTCGATTACAATGTGCCGCTGTTGCGCAACAAGGAGGAGCGCGCAGAGCTGGAGCGCCTGCGTGCCGTCAACAACCATGACGAATGAAAGGGTCTAAGTGATCCCTACAGATCCTGGAGATCTATTGTATAGGTTGTTCTGTAGAAAGTAGCACACACATCCAAGTATCCCACATATTTATTAAATCCTTATTCGCAAAATAAATAGCAGATTTTAATCAAGTTTTTGTCGTGTGATTTTTTTAATTATAACAGTTTTTTTCATAGATTTTACTGTTGAAAATATTCTTTTTTCGCTGAAATAAATCCCAGCTACAAATATTGAATCTATAAGAGTATATCCTTCTTTTACCAATAAATCGCAGATTCAACTTTGTATCTTTTTTTTATTGAATAAATGGCATTCAAGATCCTGCAGATTCTTGGATCTAGATTCTTTCATGCTATAGTAAGTACCAGACGTATTTGTTGATTTTGAAGCTTTAACTTCTCTTTTATTATAACTCATCGATCCTCGTAGATCCTAAAGATCCATTTTTTACTTTTATCTGTGGAAAATATGGAATTCTTCCCTAAATAAAACAAAACTGTACACTTTTGTCAAATACGTTCTTTTTATTATTACATACATATACAATATAAAAATGTGAGTTCTTGTGTGTTGGGTTTCCTCCCTCGCTAGTGTGTGTTGTGTAGAATTCTTCCGGGCTGTTCTGCAAATCTCCAGATATCTTAAATTTAATATTTCATGCTGTTGAACTTAAATTCCACTGGCATGTTATTTTTTTAATTATTAACCCACTAATTGCCAAATTTTCAACGTTTTTATAATAAATGTTTGCCTCGAGGTCAAGTTTGGACTTTGCACGGAAAAAATAAATTATATTTCTTTTAAAATTTGTCAGACAAAAAGAAATTTAAAATGTAAAACACACAAAAAAATATTTTAATAAATTTAAAAATCATGCTTTTTAATATTTCTAAAGTGAATTTAAAAACAAGAAAGAAAGCTAACTTCGGCACGCCGAAGTTTGTATACCCTTGCAGATTGGTTTTCATATTTATGTCATAAATTATAATGCCGAAAACAGACACTAAACTGAGTTACATACCATTTTACCTATACTTATTATGTTTGCAGTTTGACAGTTACAGTTATACATTCCCAGCTTTACATTTTCTCTACATCTGATCGCTTCTATGGCTGCTATATGATATAGTTGTCCGACTTTCATAAAATGTATACCAAAATTCTATAATAATAAGTAAAGCTCATATCTCAGAGTAGATGAAAATACATTGAAAAACAACGAAGTTATAATTTTTTCTATTACTTTCCCTATCGTTCCTATGGCAGCTATAAGATATAGTCGTCCGATTGTCATAAAATTTTTACCAAAATTTTGAAATAATACCAGAAGCTCATGTGTCAAAGTAGATTAAAATACGTTGAAAAACAACGAAGTTATAATTTTTTTGATTAATTTCCCGATCGTTCCTATGGCAGCTATAAGATATAGTGGTCCGATTTTCATAAAATTTTTACCAAAATTCTGGAATAATATAAAAAGGCTATATCTCAAAAATGATGGAATAATATTGAAAAACAGCCAAGTTAAAATTATTTTTCTAAAAATTTATTGAACATTTGTATGGCAGCTATATGATATAGTCGTCCGATCCGGCCCGTTCCGACATATATAGCAGTGAGAGTAAATAGAAGACTATATGAAAAGTTTCATTCAGATAGCTTTAAAACTGAGGGACTAGTTTGCGTAGAAACGGACAGACGGACGGACAGACGGACAGACGGACAGACGGACGGACAGACGGACAGACGGACATGGCTAGATCGACTCGGCTGTTGATGCTGATCAAGAATATATATACTTTATAGGGTCGGAAACGTCTCCTTCACTGCGTTGCAAACTTCTGACTGAAATTATAATACCCTGCAAGGGTATAATTAACATTCGGTTGATCCAACGTACAATTACAAAAAAGACTTGGATGGACAGGCTAAATGTGTTCTAGGCCAATGGAATCAGGTTATCAATTATTTTTTTGGGAAATGTATTTTGAATATTGTTACCAACACTTGAATATTTTTAAAGAAATTCCAGAGATTTTAAAGAACAGCCCTCACTTTGCTGTTCGGCACGCATTTTCATCATCATTTTCTTGCACCGCCTTTCTCTTTTCACGTAAAATTATTGCTTTTTTGCTCTTCGCTTAGAAGACTTGAATCTTAAACTAGTTTTTAATTTGTAATTATATAGTGTGATTCTGTTGATGTTTCTTGATGTGGTTGTTGTTCTTGTTGGGTTGGTGGTGCTATAATTTAATACTAATTTTACACGAGCATTTCTCTCATTTACAACCAGTTAAAAACTAGCATATACTTTAGGGTTCTTCTCATCCGTCGCCCACGATCCGTGGATCCTCCGATTCGGGGACTCGTTCCAACTCACAATTAAGGAAACTCTAGGTTTAGGCAATCAATTTTGATTAATTCTCATACATCTTTACTTGTATGGCACCTAAACGAAAGAACTAAGAACAAAAGAGAAAAAAACAAACACAAAAACCAAAAGAAAAAGTTTTTGGTGTTGCGTTTTCTTGGAGCTTACTTGGTGTTTTTTTTTTTGTTTAGTTTTGTTTTGCCTAGCAAACAAAATTATATTTTATTCGGTATTCTGTATACGTGTTGTATGTGTATTGGGTTTGTTTTCTTCAAAATAGTGTTTTCGATGTGGAAACAAAATTAGATTTTTCGAATTGAATCACAATTGAAATTTCGTTCATTTATGGAAATTGCAATATATTTGCATATAGATGTTAATTATATATATTTTTATATGGCAGCATTGTTCAGTCCGATATTGCAGTTGAAACTGTTTTTTAGTTTTTTTTTTCTTTGTTTTTCTTTTCCTCTTTTTAGTTGGGTTCCCGAATTTTTGTATTATTCGAATTTTTGTGATTGACTCTCTCTACACTCTATATCAGTGATATAGCCACACTATATATGTTTACGATTCGTGAATGGTTTCGTTTGAAGTTGAGGGTTCTCGGGTGTTAGCACAAAACAATAAAAACACATTAAGGGGGGCTCAGGTAAAGGACATTCCATCAATAGTTTCAATTACAACACAGTAAGCACGCACGAAAAATAAATAAAAAATGGGAAAACACACTCAATGGAAGGGAAGTTAAAAGTTAAACTTTAAACACAAATAAAACATAATAATAGCGACATGGCGGATCTGTGTATACGAGTTCTCGTGTCGGTATCCTGGTATACTTTTAGGTACATAAGTTAGTTGTTGCTACATATATATAGAGCCGTCTCTAAAACCGCGCCCATTCTACAGCCCTCAACTTCAAAGCGTGGAGATCAATCGATCGAGGGTGCTGAGGAGGAGGTGGTGGTGGAGGGATCTGCGAGGATCATTCGTAATACTTTTGCATGGCTTTTAGTGATCATGGATGTGAAATCAGGGAATGGAGCTAGCTATCTGTTAGCCCAAAATGTGATGAGTAGTGAGTTGTGTGCTGGGATGTTTTTGGCGCATGAGTTTCTCTTGATTACAACTTGATTATTTGTTAAATATACTTGACTTCTGGCTGCTAGGTTCTTGGATCGCTCTCCCCTTGTTGGGTCTTGTTGTATATAAGGCAAACTCTGTGTATGCGAATCTCATACATATGTATATTGAACTATGTAAATACGTTAATCATTTTGTCAGTTGCGTAAATGCCGGGGGAAGATCCTTGGGAGAAGCGCTGTCTATATGAGCTGGTGAGCATGGCACAACTGTCTCTGATTTATGTTCTGTGGTCTCTCAATGGCTATCCAAAAGATGTTTTTGTGTGTGTGAGTGGCTTGTGTTCTGTATACTGTATATATAAATCTTGTATATGCTACACGACTCCCTCTCGCTCTCTCTATTCACGACTCTAAGCCCTAAGGGACGCTCGGCAGATCCTTGCACTGTCGATTTCCTAGCTCTCCCACTTACCTACGAGATTTGTGTTCAGGATTCTGGGTCTCTACTTGGCCGCCGCTGCCGCTGCTGTGGCATTGGCCGCCGGCGACACTTTCAGCTTGATAAACATACTGTTGTTATCGCTATTGCTGCCGCTGTTCAGGTCCAGCTTCTGCACCTCGCACTCCAGATTATTGATGCAATTCTTCTCGTACTGCGTGGTGGTGCCATTGTCCGAGGCAGCGGCAGTCTTCTCCACTGGCGGCTGTTCGCTGGGCGCCACCTTCTTCTCCTTGCTGCTCTTCTTGAGGGCATTCAGCAGGGTCTTCTCTTTGCTCTTGCCTTCCTTGTGACTGCTGTCCTTGTCCTTGTGCTTGTTGTTCTTGAAGCGCGGGAAGATGCAGCCATTGGGCAAGAAGCCGCCCAGCTTTTCCTTCTTAGCGGGAGCAGCAGCAGCAGCAGGTGGTGTTGGTGTGGCAGCTGGAGCCGGAGCAGGTGCAGGTGCTGGAACTGGAGCTGGTGCTGTATGGGGTGTGACATTTGGCGAGGGCGTACTGGCTCCATTTGTGGTTACTGGAGCAACTGCCTTTATCTCTGATTCGGTATCCACATTTGGGTGATTGTCCAGCCCAGTGGCTGCTCCATTTACCGAGCTGCCCGCATCCGTTTGATCCACACAAGCCTCCTCCAATAGTGCTGATTGCTGCTGCTCCTGTTGCTGCTGCTCTGCCTGCTCACTGGCCACCTTGTTGTCCAGCTGCTGGGCAAACACAGCCAGGGTGATGCCATTACCGTTGCCATTGCCATTGCCGTGCTCTGCCAGCAGCGACTCTGGGTGAGCCGGTGGCGAGCCAGCCTCGTTGTTCATCGCACTGGCACCGGCACTGGCCGCCCGCGCTGCATCTGGCGATTTGGGAAACATTTGTTGCGTGGTGATGTTCTGGTAATGCTGCTGCTGGCGCTGCTGCATCATTTGCTCCTCCCGTTCGCGATCTCGCTGCGCCTGCACTGCATTCCACACGTCCTTCAGCTCGCCGGAGATGTCGCGATCCTTAAGTATTACGGCGTTTCTAACGGGGAGATGATTTTTTATTAGTTAAAGTTCATTAGGAAATGGCCATGTTATTACCTGACTAATTTCACGCCTGGATTCATAGCCTCCACAAAGTCACACATCAGCTCCACCATGGCACGTCGCTCCTCGGGGTCTTTGCTGTGGCGTCCAGAGTCCTTGAGCACCTCCGGATTGGCCATGACGGCAAAGACAATGGGAGGACTGCGTGGGCTGCCAGGTGGCACCTGAAAGGATATGATTTGTAGGTAATTAATAATTATTTAATCTTTTAAGATCCCTAAAATGTAGAGTTTATTCCCGTGAAAACTTACGCGCATGCCACCGTAAAGAGGAATGGGATCACTGGGCTCCTGCGGTATCACAATGCGTGTCCAGCTAAGGACGTTGATGAACAGCTCCTCTCCGGCTTCCGTTGTGGTGCGAATGCACATGTGCGGCTGCGGCGGATTCTTGAAGTGGCGATAGGCCCGCGAGTGCCGGTAGCTGTGCGGCGGCGGTGAGGAGTTCATGAGTCCTATTCCCAGTCCCTGGATTCCACCGTTGTTGCTATTACCCTCCAGTTGCATTTGGTTGTGATCCAAGCTGCTCATCTGCAGCTGTGTCTCTATGTCGATGTTATTGTTGAAGCCGTTGTTGGATGTCGTGGAAGCATTTTCATCGATGGCAGTAGTGTTGTTGGTTTCCTCGCTGGGCGGCGGTTGCTGTTGCTGTTGCTGCTCTTGGGCGGCAGCTTCCGCCTCAAGTTCCGCCGCAGACATGGCTCTTGGGTTGTATAACTGGGCAGTCTTAAGTATATTCAGTTTCAATAAAAATCCGTAGAATCCTTGTTTTCCTTTCGATTTTTTGTTGGTACAAAACAACAATTCGCCGTGCGGCGAATTCCAGCCCAGCCGTGTTTTTCGTCCTCTTTGTTCTACCACGCACTCACACCTGCACAATAGCTCGCTCTCTCTCTCTCTCTCTCTTTATTTCTCTGTAGCTTGCTCTCTCCCTCGCCGCCTCCTTACAACATTATTATTGTGGGGCTCCTTGGGTCCTAACTTTTGACCTTTCGCGTAATTAATGGACGTGCCTGCATATTATTCCCTCCGGTTGACACCAAATATCCTTCCGGAACAGAAACTCGAAGCGTAGAGTCTTTTATCTGCACGCACACCACTGCAAACACAAACACCCCTGCTTCACTGCGCACCCCGCACACGTACAAGTGGGAGTTGGTTGTCGTCGTCTGCTGGTGCGCCGAAGGCGGGGGAGCGGAAGATGAAAGGATGAGGTGAAAACACGTAAATGCGAAAGTTCAAAGCCTTTTCGGTGGCACACTTACACATTTCTCTGCTTTTCATTTATAATAATCACTTTTCCATTGCACCGTGCACCAACACAAGCACAACCGCAAACGCATACACACTTATGTACACACACAAGATGCGTTTTCCATTCCGTCTCTCCGCATTCACATATTTCCCGTGTCCCGAACGAGAGTCTGGCCGCGCGCTGCGCTGATTTTTATATTTAGCTTTTTAGCAGCTTTTCATGGCAGAGCGGACGCACGGGAAAACAGCCGATTTTTCCGACAACGTCCAACATAAACAAAAAACTAATGGAGCAGTGGTGCCAGATTGGGGGCGATGAAAAGCGAAGCGTTGCCACTCGCTGCTAAACTGCAATTTCCTCGGAAGGTATGGCAGCGCCAATGTTTGTGCGATTAAAGTGTGACCAGGGGTATTTTTTTTAGAGGTAGAGTCTAATTATCATCTGGCAACACTGATATATCAGTAGTTTCTGAATCCCTGGTCCCGGCGTAAATTTTTTTTGCAAAATTGCTGGGCAATAAAACATTAAGAAATCGCCTCAAACTAATGCCAAATTATCAACAACGTTTGTAAATATATAGCCAAAGCTAGTCCAGTTGTGGGAGAGTTGTCTCCGAGCACCCAGATCACTTGAAGAGCAGTTTTCGTACACAAACGGGACCGGAGCGGACTCGCGGTGTGTGTATAACAAAATGGCGTCCTCGCAAGTCTCAAATAAATCGGGCTCCGGCTGGCCGCGCCGCGGAAGCCAAGGCCAGGCGGATGCCGTCAACAGCAACAACAATGGCACGCAAAAGTATGCCACCAACCAGGCGCTGACCATCAATCGCACCATCAACCTGTGAGTTATCTAGGGAATCTCGATTCGTGGAGTCCCCCGATGATAATAAATAAATGCATCATATTTGCAGATACCCGCTGACCAACTACACATTCGGCACCAAGGAGCCGCTCTTTGAGAAGGATCCGTCGGTGCCGTCGCGCTTTCAGCGGATGCGAGAGGAATTTGATAGAATTGGCATGCGCCGGTCTGTGGAGGGAGTGCTGCTGGTCCACGAGCATGGGCTGCCCCATGTACTGCTCCTACAGCTGGGCACCACATTCTTCAAACTGCCGGGCGGCGAGCTCAATGCCGGCGAGGACGAGGTCGAGGGTCTGAAGCGATTGCTTTCCGAGGTGAGATGTGAATACATGAATGTCATGAGCTTGTTTTGCTCTTTTATCTCGATTTTTAAAATCAATAAATGCAATTGCTTTGCAGACGCTCGGTCGCCAGGATGGCGTTAAGCAGGAATGGATAGTAGAGGACACCATTGGCAATTGGTGGCGGCCAAACTTTGAGCCACCGCAATACCCATACATTCCGCCGCACATCACCAAGCCGAAGGAGCACAAGCGGCTCTTCCTCGTCCAGCTCCATGAAAAGGGTAAATATCCGCAGGGGCCTCGCCCGATACGCCCGTACGCGTCGGCATATCCGAGCAACGTATATCGAGGATATCCATTTCTCCATGTTCTTATATAACCTATATAGCTGTTCTTTTGTTTGCCAAAAAAAACCGAATACGCTAACAAACCTCATGTCATATCTTTTCAATGCTGTTTAGATACGGACGGGAACGCCAGTTACGATGTACCCTGAGCTGTTCCATTAGCGCCGTGTGTGTCGTATCTACCCAACTCAACTCTCAAGAGTGCAATGCCAGAATCGAGCAAACAGAAAAGTCAAAGAAACAGAGAAAGAAAGAAACAAACAGATCGATCGCAAGGCGGGCGGAACTCTTAGTTAGTTTGATTCTTGTATCTTGAAAAAAGTGTCTCAAATCCAAATCAAAATTCAAATTGTACTCTTTTTTGCTCAGAACTGAACTGCGTGTTGGCATATTTTGTTCTTTTTTTCCCGTCCAAAACTCAATGATTGTTCTTGTACATTAATTATGTAAATATGTCGACATGTCTTGTGAGACTGAGCGCAGCCATGTTATTATCCTCCTACTTACTTACATTATCTCCTAGCTTCTACTCTTACTTTTGTCAAGTGATGTGTTGTTCAATCTTAAGATTGTGTATCCACCGGGCAGGCAGTCGAGTGAGCATTGTAACGTTGCTGGCTGCTCTGGTCATGTGCCCAAATCTCGCGTGTTGTGCAGATTTGCGTGCATGCTGCGCCGCAGCCAGGTCGCAGATTCCAGTCGCTCCTTTTAATATAAGCACTCGTCAATGTAAACACAAAGCAAAATACTCTCTCGCCCATACGTACTTACTTGCTTAGTGAACCGACCACACCATGTATAAGGTTGCTCTTAATGGAAATTATGTTCATAACTGAAACTTATAAGCGGGCTTCGTTGGGCCAGCAAAGTGTCATATATTTTGCATTTTGCGAGTCGCAACGAAGCCCAGTGTAATTAGTCTAATGAATCCAACTATGAATGTAAAAACATAAAAAACTCTTTATATATCATACGGCAGCGAGACTATTCTTTATATGTAAACTGTACCAACCGATTGTAATACCCCCTAGATAATGCCCTCCGTGACTCTATGCTCCATGCTCTCTCAACATACATCAATTCTGTCTCTATCGTTTTCCGTAATCTAGCACTTTTTGCTGTGCCCAAAAATTATAAGCTTGTTGCTGCGCCGCTGTTCGAGCTATACGACAACTCGCAAGGCTATGGACCGATCATCTCGTCGCTGCCGCAGGCCCTCTGCAGGTGAGTTGTGATCGTGGCATACCCAAATATCAAGCTAATTTTTTCTCTCTCTCAGGTTTAACTTCATCTATATGTAAGCCCAGGCGAAGGGATTGCGATTCCAGAGTCGCCAGCAATAGTTTAGCAGCATCACCAACGAGATAGCTCCTCTACCCCAAAAGATTTCAGTGCACCTCTCAACATCTCAGCTCTCAGTTCCGTTTGATTTCCATTTCATGTGTATGTGTGTGTAAACGTACATAGTTGTATTTGCAGATTAAAAGAATAATGGAAGAGACAGTAGAATCGACAAAAAACATTGTGTGTGCTTTATTTTTATATTTATTTTCATCTTTAATGCCATGTTCTATGGTAGGTTCTATGGAGGAATGTTGAGTAATAGCTACAAAGATGGATCTGTGCCTATAGCATGTAATCGCTATAGATTTGCTCGAAATATTCGCGTTTGCTGGAATTGGAAGATACACACAGGGGTTTGGATTACATTAGGGGTTCTGGTTCTGTACTCTTACTCTACATTTAATGGCACAAAGCAAAACAATTGATTTAGTAAATAAATTAGAAGATTCAATTAAATTATCGCTAATTAGATTAATTATCTAATTAGTCTACACATACTTTGGAATTGCGCTATTGTTAAGATTAAGGATCGATCTGGTGTGGCTCTAGAGATTACGGCTTAGTGCGTGGCTTGGTAACAAATGAACGAATCAACAACAAAAGGTCTGAAGAATAAGCTCACAACAGAAAAGTACATACAGGAACCGTTGCTGGTTTTGGTGTCTTTTGAGTAATTAATACGTATACTTAGTTCCTAGATTAATTCTTGTTAATTATGCGTACAAAAGTTTGCGAGATTCGCTGTTGTTGTATTGTTATTTTTGTGATAATTTGGATTCTTTCCTTTACCACAACTTGTTGTGATAAAACTTGAGATCATAGTAGCCCTGATCGGTGAGGCCGCCGCCGCCACCACCAGAGGACACGGTGGACATGGCATCCGCATTGTCATGTCCCGGCGAAGTGACATCATGGCCCGGCGGACGATTAATCTTGACAACACCGAAATCCTCGCGCTCCGTTTGATCGAACTCCATCTTGCTGCTGGGCATGACGGCGCCGCCGACACCAAACGAACGATTCTTCATGCCCGTGTGCTGCTTGCTCAGCTGGAAGGCCGGCGGCCTGCGGTTCTCCCCAATGATGCTCTCGGCCACCTCCGGCGAACGCACAGACGGCGGAGTCGGAGTGTGGGTCTTGGGCGGTGGCGATGGGGGTGTAATCACCTCCGGCTCTGGTTCTGGCTCGGGCTCGGGTTCAGGTTCTGCCTCTGGTTCCGGTTCAATTTCGGGCTCTGGGATGTATCGACTGGCCTCGATCTCGGCCAGAGACTGCTGCTGCAGTTGGGCAGTAATCTCTGCAAGGTCATGGTTACCCATTCCGCTGTTTGAAAGATTGGGTTTAAATTCTGTTGTAAAACTAGTCTTTAAATCGAAAAAACGACACGCAGAAAGTAGAGCTTGCAAATAAACTAAAGAACGTTTGTGTGAACTTCTTTTAAATATTTAATAATTCTGTAAATATTAATTAAAAGAGCGTAAATACAGATTAACATCTCAAGAGAGGGAGAAATCGACTTGCACAACGGTCTATTATTATTTACAAGCTCGTCTTGCTGGACTTGAAATTAATCGATTTGTTTTGATTTTATTGCTTGGTAAAAAAAACGAAAATAAGTTACGACAAATAATTAATGTTTGTTAAATGTTAAATGATACATAAGTATTATGTTGTAATCACAATTTGTCAGGTATTTTTGTTTTGCTTTTTCTTTTGTGTCTGTGGAGTTCCGATTTTTCTGGTGTCTTTCTTGGGGTATTGGTGTTTTTTATGGTGTATTGGTGTTTTTTTTTTTTTTTTTTGTTGGGGTGAATTGGTGGCATGCGGCAAGTGCAGGTTCTTCTGCTTGTACTTCGTACTTTTAAGTGTAAAATTCATCGTTTGTATACAATAAATTAACTAGGCGAAAAAAATATAAATAAATTGGCTAAAATCAAGGCTTTGTACACTGGGTTGTTATTTAAGTTGATGCTTTTGATTTCTATCTTCTATCTTTTGTATGTGAGATGCAGGGCCGTGTGTTATATTTTCTATTTGATTCTGAAAGACAAAACGAAAAAAGAAGGAAACGAATGAAACCCAAAATGAAGACGATACACACAGAAATGAAAATAATTCGAATAGGAAATTGGCACACCTCAGGGTGCTTCTGGTCATTTACCTGTTCGATTCTGCACTGTTGCCGCCGCCGCCATTGCCACCTTTCGAGCTGCCTGCATGAATTATCTGAAATAGAGCAATTTATTAAGGTCATAAAGCATTGTAGAGATAGGATCTTAGCCTATTAGCTTACATATTAATGGTCATTCCCCCCGTGGGCCATACAATTCAATGAATTTCTCTATTAATTACCGAGTTCTAAATATATATATATAAATCCGGGTTACAAAACGCAAGCTACGTTTTTTATGTCACCTCCCCCCTGACATGACCAAAAACAGGCACTTGGCACGCAGCCAATACCCTGGTACACTTCGGGGGGTGGTTAACCTCTCTGAGGGTTGACTGAAAGTAAAAGCCACACATAGCTACATGTATATTTATATTTATTTACTGGACATTTGCTACCACCAAATATTCGTTCATGAGAAATTTTGGGTTTACACACAATTTTGTTCGTTCGGAAAACCAGTGCAGGTTGTCGAGATTGTCATTCATCTTTAAAATCTAATTTTGAATAGTTTCACTTGGAATTTACTAGTCTCGCCCCCCGTCAAGTCAATCATTTAGATTTCATTGTATGGCCGGGCGGCATCGCCGTGTCCTAGTTCCGGTGAGCGCACCAAGTAAATGGTGGTCTGGCAGTTGGGGCAAGTGGTGCACATCTCGGCATCCGGTGGAGCATTATTGCCAGCGGCTCCTCCTGAGGGTGGTGCTGCGGTGCCTCCAGCTCCAGCTCCTCCTGATGAAGTTGCAGGCGGTGGTGCAGCACTTGCTGCTGGCGTTGGCTGGGTATTCTGTGGGTCGTAGGTATTTTTTGTTAAGGAGCCAGAAAGAGGAACTACCCATGAAGCTTACATATCCTTGTTGAGGCTGTTGTGCTGGGTATTTATTCTGGGTTTGGACATCTGGTGTGGGGGCCATGGGTTGCTGTTGCTCATAGACTGGCGGCGGCTGCTGTTGTTGTTGTGGCATCTGCTGCTGTTGCTGCTGCTGCATGTGCTGATGGACATGAGCTCGGCCCGTTGGTGTTGGTTCATGGCGCGTTGGCTGACCGGCGGCCGGCTGCTGCGCGTATTGCTGCATTAATTGTTGCGACGAGGGCACGGCGGCCACTGGTGGCTGTTCACCACCTGCGGGAGGAATCTGTTGGTACTGCTGTGCCGGCGGCGGCGGCTGCTGCTGCTGTTGCTGCTGCTGCACTTGCTCTTGACCAGCGGACATGCGAGCTGGAGTCACACCTGGACCAGAGCTTGGCTGCAAGTCCCTTTCCAGTCCAGAGTGACGCAGCCTGGGCGGGCGGGCAAAAGCATTCGCGGCCAAAAAGGAATCATCCACGTCCTGCAAGCCCGAACGACGCTGGAAGGGATTCTGGTTGCGTGTAGTGAGCCCACTGCGGCTCAAGGCATCCAAAGGGCTCTTGCGAGGCTGTGATGAGGTCTGGGATCAACGGGGAATACAAACAGGAAGTCTAGCAGACGGCTCACGTTATCCTGATTCCTAGACTGGCTGGGCGTTATGCTGACCTCGCTGACCTGCTTGCGTCCAATGGCTGCACCGCATCCGCCACCCGCGTGGCGTGACTATAAGCCAAGTTAGTCATCATCATCCGGAGGAGACTTTTTATTCGACACTACTTACCGCCATGCTCGTCTTGGAGGCATGATAGCCACCGCCAGTTGGGCCGTGGCGTGCCACGGAGGCATTACCGCGTTTGGCATCCATAAATTAAAATCACTCGAAATTAGTTAACCGCACGAAAAAAAAAAATGAAACTAAACGAAAGAAAATCTTTGAGCACACAAATCGCAACAAAACTTGGTCAAGTTATAAAACTATATAAAAGTATACGGTTTTTTTGTACACTGGAATGTGGAAAGATATGTTCCGACTGGTATCGAGTATAAATTTGAACTGTGCTCTACGCAGGGAGCTGCTTGGGGATCTTGACATACCGAACTGAGGGCCAACTGCGATGGAGATTTTTTTTAACGAATTTCTGGATATTTTCTCACAATCTTACTAATTATCAACGCATCATTGCTGAGAATGTTTCATTATTACGATAATCTAAGAATATTCATAATAATTAACCTTACCTTAATTGTTCTTAAAAATATAAACAAATGAAACCCCAATGCCAGATAATTCCCCAATTAAGTTTGCCGCATTACCTCAGCCATGCTGCAGGTGGGACGCCTGGCCCCATATCGTCCTTGCGGTGAGATTTGTGTTACTTGCTGGAGCAGATTGGGCCCTGCCTGTAGCTGCTGCTGGGAGCCACGTCGTCGATTATCCTCGCCCAAGTAGGTAGCCCCAAATAGCTGGGTGTTAGGACTGTTTCATATTGATGATGTTGTGTTATCGTTGGTTATCATATCATGGGGTTAGCGCAACATGTGGAGAGAGAGTTATGAATTTAGTTGTATTTGGGATAAGAAAAGCTGATTATAATTAGTACTATGCTTGGTTGTTATACTTGAATTTCTTACAATAAATTAAAATATACATTTTGAATGTAAAGAAAAAGTCTAAGAAAATAAGCATACACAAATCATCACTACAAATTAACAGCGATGGATTTAAAGTAACAAAAGAGTTTAAAAATAAGCCAAAGTTAATGGGTTTACCTTATTCTAGAAAATAAGCACAGTTAATTGCTTAAGCATTTATATTGTTAAAATTTTAAGCTAGTAAAAATGTAGAAGAAATTCCTTTTAATTTTAAAATTAGTAATGAATTTACATATTATTAAATTAAATGTAAGCAATGGTTACATAGCAGGTTACAAAGCAAAGCGAGCAACAGGCCACCATTAAGCCAGGAAAGTTAATTATCAACTTGGACCTAGCTTTATCGATCAGCGGGCTTCCTTCGGCAAACAAACAAACAAACAAAGTAACAAATCTACAGTACGGATTCCGATTTGCATACGATATGCAAATGGGGCCGAAAATAAATGGCCAACTGAGGCCGAAAGTGAAATGTTTCCTGCAGCGCCAACGAAAGCAACAACGCCTTAATTGCCGCGGACTGCGCCAGGTCAGGAAGCCAGGAAGCCAGCAGGCTAGCCGGCAACGCCTCCTTAGCTTTTCCACTTTCCCCTTTCCACGCCACTCACTCACCTGTTTGTGATGTGCATACCATTCCGGGTGTGCTGCGGCGACTGGGCGTTTCCATGACCATTTGCAGATGGCGCATCGTCAAAGAATCCTTCGAAGAGCACAAAATTATTGGCCTGCGGTATGGAACGCGTTAGACCGTAATGTTTGCCAAGAAAGGCCAGCAGCTTGTCCGAAGGTCGATCCACCGAGCACTTGACCGGTGTCCACTGCTCCTCGATGAGCATCGTCTGGAAGAGACGCTTTCCCAGGCCATGGCGCTGGCGGGACTCGTGGACATAAAAGTCCAAAATGGACGGTGCCTGCTGGACTTTCCGGGTCTGTCCAGTTTCATCGAAAAGATAGAGATCTTTTGTTCCGACTTTGAGGAGACCAACGACTGAACCACTGTAATATATTGGTAATTATTTAAAATTAGATTTCTTTATAGAAAAGCCAAGGTTCCCCTTGTGAGCCCCACTTACTTGTGACCCGCCTCACTATCCGCCAGCAGATAGACGGTCTGGTTCTCCGACATCCTCAAGCGCTGTCCGGTGGTCACCGGCTTGCTAAGACCCTGCGACGTGGCCGAGAGCTGACCCAGGCGATCAATAATCTCCGTCATCTTGGAGGTGGCGTCCCTGCACGCAAGTGGATGAGGATATGTGGATGAGTGGTTGGTGTGTGAGGTCGTGTGGGTGAGTGTGGAAAGCGTATCGGCTAGGCGAAACGATCCCGGGGGATGCCACTCCGCGTACAGTTTCAATACTCACAAACACTGACGACGGTCGCCGCGGAAGGTGTGCGGCAGTAGGTTAGACGTAACCTTGATTATCGGCTGGGGAAAGAGGGGCCTGATATCGAACCGGAAGTCCACCATTATTAGGCTGCTGCTCCTCGGATATACAATGCCGGCCTGCAATTTCGAATTGAGAAATGCGAATTTAATGGAGCGTTGCGCAAACAATTTCGATTATCTGATTGATGCCGAGAGCTCAGGCATTCAAAGCTTTAGCTTTTGTTTTATTTTTTCTTTTTTTTTGTCTATTTTTCTGTGGGAATCACTGCACATGCAATGCGGAGCCAATCACTGTCGTTGCTCAGTCTACGCCTTTCGGCAGTGATTCAGCAGATGCATGTACATTGCAAAACCCACACGTGTACGCTTAAAGAAATTACATTGACCTGTTGAGATCTGTTTCCCTAATTGGCTTTATTTTATTATTTTTTATACTGATTTAATTAATAAACAATTGGTAGTAATTTTCATTGGCTTAAGGGAATAAACAGAGCGTACAAAAGAGCGCTCTCTCCTCAGTTATCACATTAGTATTCAAATATAATTCTGAGCAAATTAAATTAGCATATAAAGAGCACTTTTATAGAACTAAAGTTTTTATACGATGAAACTATAGTTAATAATTTCTCGCGGTATATAAAAAGGAGGAAGGATATGGAATCGATCAGAAGGCCTCTGACCCTCGAGCAAACTCTAGCAAAGAGTGCATCTCAAATTCCCAAGTACAAATTCGGTGACACGCTGGTATATAACCGCTCAAATGTTAAAAACGGATAATTTGTTTTTTATATATTTTTTTGTCTGCAGAATTGCCATTTAATAAAAAACTTTTGATGTGCTCTACCAAGTCTTGAGCTTTACGGATTAAATAGGCCCAGCATACCCTTGAGTTGTCACAAACTCCAGCTTCAAACAACTTGCAATATTTATTTAAATATTTTTTATAATTCATGGATTATTTTTTCGAGTGCACTGTATTTGGGGGCAAAGCCTCGACTCAATGCATACAATTTTTTTGTTTGCGTTCTCCCTGGCATTTGACCCAAATCACCGCATTAGACTCGGATTACAGTCGAAACTGTTGCGTTCGGAACGGGGAATCCTTTTTGACGGATACAGGATATGCCTTCCGTTTTCGGGGGCGTGGCTGTCAGGACGACATGCCAACATAACACTGCTATTGTTAATTTGCCAGAGAGCAACGAACTCAAAGAACTCGAACTCGGAGTCAAAAATAAAAAAAAGGAAACGATAAAAATGGCTTTTGTAATTACATTTGAAGAGGCGGCGCCGGTGGACGGACTGTAAAACTTTTCCCATTGTTGCCGGTTTTGTCAGAGCAAAAGTTAAGCAACTCTCTGGCTATAGCAACAGTAATCGTCGGCAAATGACGTGTTTTCATATCATTTTTACATATCAACAACGTTTACAGAGGCGGTCGAAAGAATTGGATTTTAAATATTATAACTTAAGTTATTTTATAGTTGAATAATAGAAAAGGCTGCAGGTTTTAAACCCTTTAAAATTTTACCCACAATTATGTTGCAAAATGTATGTGAAATATTTCTACAATTAATTTGTTCACTTAAAGTTTCATTTGACCACTTTAATGCAATAATCTTAATCTAAGCTAGCAAAAAAAAAACCTATAATATAGGGGTGCTTATGTGGTTTCTTGAAACTTTTAGGAATAAGGCCTACAGAAGCTTAAAATCCCAGCATGTCAACATTTCAGGCTGTCAAGACCAGAATGTCAAGAATCAGAAACAGAGTACCTATAATGTCGACCGCGACTGTTGGCACATGCTGGCATGGCCCCCAGCGAAGCGGACATATACCTTGGTGTTGTTGCTGTTGTTGTTATTGCTGCTTATTTTTCCAGTGCACAACCGTTGACGTTGCCATACACAATCAGCCCACTTTGTAACTGTTTATGAACCAACAGCAAGCGATGCAAAACAAAAACACAAGACGACAAAATAACAAAATAAAAAAAAAGGAGAACAACAAAGAAAACCACGCACCGCAGAACGGGTGGGGGGCAGAGAGAGCGAGAGCAAAACTGCATGCACTTCTCGGGTGCTCCCCTTTTCTGCTCTCCACTCGTAAATGTGTCAAGTGAGCTTGTGTCTCCCTCCCCACATGTACTTACTTCTCACTTATGGGTGAGTATGGTGGAGAGCGTGAGAGAGTTAATCAGCGGAATTAAAATCGCGTGCAGCCGTAAACAACACGGGTGATAGAAATGAAAGGGGGATCGTCCATACATATGCCATTTAACGGTTAATCAGCAGAAGCAAAAATAAAAAAGGTTCCTTGGAAACAACTGTTAAGAGAGCTGGGGAAAAAACAAATCAATCGAGAATCGAGAGGTGCAGACTAATAAAAATATTGTCTAATATAGTCTGCCTGGTGATGAAAATTAATATAGCAATTACGCGGCCTTCAGTCAGCTGCTATGCTATTAAGCCGTGCCTATCAAGTATCAACTATCAGCTGCCTGCTGGCACAAACAATCCCACAAAGTGTCGCGTCATTATGCAAGCTTTTTATATGGAAAGTGGGAGGCAAATAGTTGTGGGCGTGACCAGAGGGGGCTCAATTACCAGGCTCGGCAGTTGTCAACTGCCTCACTAAATTCCATGTTGATATAAAACTGTGGTAGTTCTACAGAAATAGCAATGAATTAACCTAAATAGGGCCGCCGAAAGTATGCAATAAAAATAGCTCAACATGTGTTACTTACTCGAATTAATTAAACATTTCTTTAAAATGTCATATTTTTTAAGGAAATATTTTCTTTAGCCAGTATCTTTAGTTTTCTATTTAGTTTGGAATTAGAGAGTTTGTACTGATCAAAGACCTTTCTTTTGTAAATTAGAAACCATTATTAGGCCGGGCACTCAATGGGCATAATAAATTAGCCAGCCTAGGTACTTTGCCCTGCGTTTTGGATCAGGTGACGAGCCTACCTCTATACTTTGTGTGTCCTCGGAAAATGTACAAAATGGAAACGGACATTGTAGGACAACAAGGTC